TTCTTGTGTCGAATTATTATTTTGTAAACTGATTTCCTATTGTAGATTTTCAAGTAGAATATAGACTTATTAGATGTTGCTCTTTGCACATTAGATTGTTACTATAACTTTCAGCTATGTGTATGTGTATTTGTTATGCCCCTTTTAAGAAATTCAGTGCAGCAAAATGGAATTCTGGTCTAATTGTCCTGGACGCACAATATTTTTTCAAATTTTATTATAAAATGTTGGTTCGTTTTGGCTTTTCAGAAATCCATATATTTTTCAATAATTTCAGTTAAAAGGGTGATATTATGTCCTTCTTCAATTTGTAAATAGTAGCTTGCTAAATTTTGGACAAATTTATTACCTGACATTTTTGAGCTTTTATAAATGAATTCAATCATGATTAATAGTAAATGGAGTATTTAATTTGCATGGCTCTTGTAATTGCATGATCCTGATTTTGATTTTCATGTTTTGATCAAATTGTCTAAGACAAACTTATTAATATATATTGAATTTGTGTATGATGTTGGTTTTTATATATATTTATTGTTGTCGTATGTAAATATTGTTTATTGTTATTATTGTCATTTATTTATTAGCTTTTGTTGCTCAGGTTTCCGTTCCATTTTATTTATTTATTCTTGTGTTTGACATGTTCTATTTTTGATATATGGCTTCAAGTTGCTTGTTCTGGCCATATTCTGTTCAACAATTCGTCCATTATTATAATTATTGAAATAAAAAATTGTCATACTTTTTAAATATTCTCTTGTGTTTTTTCTTGATCACCGAATTTTCTATTTGAATTTAAAAGCATATTCTGCCATGCAATCTTGTAAGTACATGTATATCATTGGCCTGTCATGAGGCACATCGAATTGAACAGGATGTTGAAGAGGTTTTCTAAAAAATTTCATGTATCTTGTACACTGAGAGCATAAATTTGCGCCATTCCAGTTTTCAGTCAGATGTTTGTTGGGAAGGAAAAGACTATAGCCATCACAAGCCAGGGAAAATTTCCCTGTTGCAAACTGTATATTATCACAAGCCTTTTAAATGACATTACCTTTTCAAACTTTCCTTACAAAAGTCTTGTTAAAAGGACTGGTTGGGGGTTGATTTTAATATGAAAAATATGTAAATAGTCTTCTGTAGTACTAGAAATGTACGAAAATCCAGAATTCCTTGCCAAATACTTCAAACAAGGAATTTTACTCATTTTTTCTATATATCACAGACGAGTCATCACTTCAACATTCAAACACGGATAATTCTGAACACACATGGATTTGAAGGCTCAAATTTCACTGTTACTCATTGGCTTAGCTAAAAAAATTCACAAAAGTGTGATTGGTCAAAAAAATGTCCCTTTAATAAGTTGTCTTTGCAGGTTTTGTTGCGGAAAAGATTTATGGCTTTTTAAACTTATTAACAGGATCTCCATGGGTTTGAATGCATCAATCAGGGATCTATAAGGTTAATTTGACAATTCTAGCAGCCAAACAAATCATTGAAGCTATGCCTTGAAATATTATTAAATATTTTTCATAAGTTTATGTTAGATTATATTATATTGACATGATTAGTATATACACAACTTGATTATTAATAAATAAACAATAATAATAAACATAATTTCACTCAATGACTACTACTAAACTTGACTGTCCTCAGATGGACAATTTTAGCGGAACAGTATTAGTTTCATGGGAATCAACAGCTACAGCATAAAATAGGGCTGAGCAATATACCAGTAAAAGAATTTATATCGTTTGTAATATCTACTAAATAAAAACTTCTGAGATATCTCCATATCGTGATATAGCTAGATTTTATATAAAAAAAAGAATGTTTTGTTACAAAAACCATTATTTTGCCCAAATATACCCATGGTGATATCCACCTGAACCAATATCACCCAGCCCTGGCATAAAACATACTTTTTAGTTAAATAACTTTCTTTCAAAAATTCAATCGAATGAATCTTGAAATATGGCCTAATTAATGAAGTTAGCTGGTTTGAACAATCCCAAGATAGTTTTTATGATTAACCTATGAAATAGCTACTATCACAGGTTGAATAAGAGTTACCAAGTTTCAGACAAAAATATTCCTAACTCAATAATTTTATATGTTATTCTTATACATAAAGCTTTAAAAACAGAACGTCCAAAAATATAACAAATATACAACCTTACATAAAAGATAGCTTGCCAGGCAAGGTAACATATGTCCACTACCAGCTGTCAGAAATGATAAAGTCTGTAGTGGTTTAATATGTGAAACCAATCATCCGATTTATACTAATTTCAAGCTTTACTGAGATCTCATACCAAGTTTCATCACAATTGGATAAAAAATGTAGTCTCTATCAGGCCTACAAGCCAAATTAAACGCATTGAATTAATTCAAGGGCAATAACTCAAAAACCATTCATCAGATTGTTACCAACTTCAAACTTGACTGAGATCTTGGCCATATATACATACATACCAAGTTTCATCGAGATCAGATAAACAATGTAGCCTCTATTGTGCTGCATTTATCGTGCATACAAGACAAATTCAACTAAGTCAAGGGCAATAACTCTGAAACCATTCCAACTGGACTGAGATCTCATCAATATATACATGCATACAAAGTTTCATCAAGATCAGATAAAAACTGCAGCCTTGATCATGCATACAAGAAATGTGGGCGGACAGATGGACAGGGGCAACAGCAATTTACATCCCCGTTTCCATGTGGGCGTATAAAAAGTAGCAGAAACCAATCAATTTTTTACTTATATCAAACATGATAAAATACTACATTAAAATCAAATATCATTGAAAAATATAGCATTCTTATCTGTTAGTATCTAAAATATCATCATGACACTGAAACATGTTAACTGTGACCCATGTTTTTAGAATATCTAGGCTTATGGACATATTTAAGGGGAGTGTAATCCAGCTAAATGAAAGACTGATGCCTGAAACAAAACTTCATAAAGGGTCCCTCAATCCATAGCAATTACCAGCTGCATATGGTTGCGAACAAGAACAGTGGTCATAAGTTTCGAAAGCAACTCTCATTCAGTTGCCTTTGGTGCTCATGACCACTTTCATTTTTATATATATTTATATATGTAGGGCATATTTAGCGAATAATTCTGTGTGGACCTAAGTCTATGCATTTGCAAAATTAAATTGTTCTTTGTTTGAAACATCTGTTTGGGAATATTTTTTTGACTGTGATATGTGTTTTATAGAAACATTTGTACAAAACATATAATGTACAACACATTTGAACCCTGTGGTCATATGACAATATCGTGGAAAAGATGTCAAGTAAGTTTTAAAACAAGTACATTTATATAACAGAGACAGATTGTACTGACCACATATGAACTAATGATATTAATATGACATTACCAACATGAGTGCAGAGTGTTATTGGTTGCATACCATGGACATCTTTACTTAAGATATTATTACTATCATTTGATCTGCATAAAATATTCAATATACAAAATTATACAATAAATAACAAGATACATAATTATACAACATAATGTTTTGAGCTGCAATTTTTTTGCCTTCAAATACTAACTATAAGTTTTAATCACATATCAACACTTCCAAACTAATTGATTAAAGATAATCTCTTCATAGTTACTCAGATTATATCTTCCTGTTCATTTCATTTCATTTCTGGTCAGAACTCTGACTTATTTCATATATCTGAGATTTCTGTATACAAATTTTTATAATTGCAAACTTCCATTGTAAAATATTTGGAGAAAAAGGGCCTAGCTTATATATGATCCAGAATCGATATACTGTTTCTCTGTGAATACAAAATACATCCACAAACATAAGCTCATTTTTTATGAAAATCTGGTCTGACCAAAGTCACAGTTGGAAAGGCAAGACAAGCAAACTGAATGTTCTACGGGTGAACCACTTGCCCTTCATAAAACTTAAAAGCATTCATCTTCTGATCGCTTAATTCCACTCTGCAATGAACTTAATCAATTGTTTGTTATGGAAGCCATGTTGAAAACATTTTTGTGCTGCTTGATTGTTAATTATAAGTACTTAGATACATTATTTGGTAAATGAAAAAAAAAACTAAGACAATTTATAAGGGTTGTGTACCATTTGTGAAAACTGAAATACACAAATCATCTTGTACAACTTTAAATCTAATAAGCAAAACACTCCAATCAAACATGCAAAAGCTTATTTTTGCAAAGTTTTAAACATGTTTCTAAACTCTAAAGAAAGCTAACCTAACAACCCTTAAACCCTGCTAAACATTTAGACACTACATACTCATTAGTGACAACCCTGATTTCAAATTTTTTTGCAAAATATTTTTCTGTAGCAATATTTGTGCTTATTTCTTTAGCGCAAATTTAGCTTGTTCTGTAGCAAAAATTGTTCTTATTTCTGTAGTTTTTTTCTGTAGCACAATTTTAGCTTATTTTGTAGCACAATTTTTGCTTATTTTTGGTACAATTTGTGCTTGTTTCTGTAGCAAAATTTGTGCTCATTTCTGTAGAAATATTTGTGCTTAATCATTGACTTTTTGTTGTGTTCTTAGCAATGAGCTGAAACATCAGCGAGTGATATAAAGCATTATCATTAATAAAAAGATCTAACACAGTCCTTGAGGGGGAATATAATAAATATGTACTCTAGGTCACTCCTTCATTGCATTTCAAGACCATTTAATGCTGAAAGGTCTCCATTGAACATTCAGAAAAATATCTGTGGGACTTTACTTCTGCTGACCATCAACGCTACCATGACAACAATCAACATGAATATGAGCTACTATTAAAAGTTTTTCACGTCACAATATTCAGTTGAAGTAGTTGAACAGTATATAACATATTAGTCATACACATTTGGTAGGTCAAAAATATCTATTGCGTTTTTAATTGAGTCCATAGGTATATTTTACGACAGTTTGTCAGAACTAGGTGGTGAAGATAGATCCATTTTGTCAGTTGAAGAGTTAGTATCATTTTCTTCTTCATCTTCCTCTTCTGACATGAGTTTTTTGGCTAGTTGAACTGCTTGGTATTCATTATAATGTAATTTACGTTTTAATTCAAAATTATGACGTTGCTCTGAAATACCAGAAAAGAGATCATTAAATTGGGCATTATTTCTAGATTGGCATTGCTCTGAAATATCAGAATGAGCGTGTTCTAAAAAAAAGTTATACACATATATAGCATCAAATTTCACAAGCCCTTTTTTGATATATTTTGAATAAGTCAAGGACAATAACTAAAATATTGTTCTTGAACAATTAGCACTAACCTTTTTGTTCTTCATCTTCTTCTTCCTCCTCTTCTTCATCATCATCGTCGTCATCATTGTCTCCTGCTACTCTGGCATGACGTAGACTTTTAGAATCCACATTCTTTAATCTAAAAAGATCAGATCAGAAAAACATAGCACATTTCAATGTTGTATTTAAATGTGTACTAAAAAAAATAGATCACAGCTTCCATCACTGCCAACCCCCCTACCCCCCATTTCTCTCTCATTGTTCTATGGTCTATCCCATCTGGACACAAAATGACAAAATCCCAGCCCCCATTTTTTCCTGGCGACAGGTTGTTTAATTACCATATTTCGTTTTGTTTATTGTCTGTGGGCTACCTCACTTGATTTGGAACTGACAGGTTGATCAGATGATAAATAATTTTGGCTTAACAACCCCAGGCAAACTACACATAAGAAGGTTTACAATACAAATACAAGAGAATGTTTGATAGGCTTTTATCTCTTATATTTTCATCGTTGTTAGTGGAAAACTCTTTCTAAACGTGGCATCTGATTGGTCAATTGATAAATCAAACCAATCAATATATTATATCTTATATGTCATTAGATCTGGAATGAAGGTTTATTTTATTTCTAACCATTAGTATGCATGAGTCCAATCTTTAATTTAAGATTTAAACATCTCATGCTAAGATATTACGTTACCTGGAAGCTAGAGCATTGGGATCCATATCAGGTTTTTCTCCAACAGAACCCCTTCTTGTTTCTTCTCCCCCTTCATCTTCCACGTCACTTAATTTACTGTAGGGGGTGGGAGGTTCATCTATTTTCATATGACCATAGTCTTTATCTGCTGGATGATGTGTTGCTAAAATATTCATTTCATCCCAAGTCATTTCTTTATGCCTGGAAAAGATAGGAATGGGTATAAAATGCATATGGACAGTAATGAATAGTCTACATTCACTTAAAAGCCTATAGATGTCACGACTGGCAAAGTACATCAGTGCCAGGCTTTAGTTTGGATAGGCTTAACTGACACTGTGACATCAATGATAGTTTTAAACGTAAGAAAAGATTTGACCTGTTCTCCGACCAAAATGAGCTTTCTCTCATTTTACCCATGGACCTTCCTCTTAGCATTAGTGGACTTCTCACACTGTGAAAGTGACTGACACATGACATGCCATATAAGTAGGCCTATATGTCAGGATTTAGTCAGATCTGAATCATAACTCACATCATATCAGTGACTGAATGAATAAGTTGAAGTTTGGAAAACCAACACACATGATTATTAAGCCTTAAGCCAGGTCAAAATTTCACGAATAAACATTAGAAAGAGAAAACAAAATGATCAGAGGATAAAACCTATAATAAATTCATCCATATCATATACTTACGAAACGCTATCTCTGTGATCAAGACTGGAGGAATGTTTTAAAATTCCTTTGGGTTTGACAGTCTCATTTGACGCCATTTTGACAAGTTAGTGACTAACAAGACTAACTCGTTCAATCTTTAAATAAATTCAACTATGATGTCGTGTACATAGCCATAATAGAAAAATGTAGTCTTGATTGTCTAATAATAATATAAAATTTAGATTTATTTTCAGTCTGGTAGATAAATATGAAAAGACTCTATTTTCAAGACTGAAAAGTAAATGACATTTCCATATATTAAAAATACTGGAAGGAAAAAATCAAAATATATTGCGCACGCAAAGTTAGGAAAGAGAAAGTAAAAACAACATTAGAACAGAATAATTTAATTTTGTACGAATTTTATATTTTGCTGGTATTTTATCTTCTAGTTTTTGTGTAACTTTGGTTATTGAAATACTTAATAAATAAAGGCGATGCATTCGGTTCATCTATATTCCATTGGAAAGATTTGCCATCTGTCTTATTTACAAATACAACTATCTTGGTTCCAATTTATTATTCCTTCCACTGCTAGTGCTAGTAAACTGTCTATTTTTAGAAAATATATCAATGATATCTGCAGGCACCCTTAATATTCCACATCAAATTTGAACTGGTATGATTTATGCATTGTGAATTATAAACATTTGACTATTGTGTTCAGAACCAAAGGGATATTGGGCTTACATTAGATCCCTTTTTTTCCACACTGAAAGAACGCATATAAATAAGACAGACACTGAGTTGAGGGAAGACACTTTAGTGGCAGCGCTTTAATGCTTTAAAAATATAGTTTTATTATCATCAAATTAACCCATAGTAGATTTCATGTGTCAATCCCCCATCTATGATCTGGCAAAGATTTATACTTGAAATGTTCTATTTGGTTACTTAAATTCTGTTGTTTAGTACTGTCTACTAAATTGAATTTTGACGTCAATAGGGGCTGAAGAATATCAGTTTTCTGAGTACGAACAAACTTCAGGCTCTGTTTTAATGTTTGTAAATTTTTGTTTAGTTTTATTAAATTTGTATATTTCAGAAGATATTGGTAGAAAATGCCAAAAACCAAATTAAGCGATAAATTGTCAGATGACTACCAAGTGTTGAAAGGTAGATGCCCAGATGAAAAATGTCAAGCACAACTTTTCTTCCCCAAATTAGAGACCAGCATAGAATGTACAAACTGTGGTCAAAGACATGCCAAATCTACCATTCAAAATGTTGAAGAAGTGAAAAATACAGAGGTTGCCTTGCATAATTTGTTGAAAAATGTATTACTTGGGAATATCAAGCCTCAAAAAGGTCCAGAGAATGTCAAAGTTCTTGGTTTGTCTAACTATGAATGTAAACTAGTCTCATTTATTCTTACAACTTATGGTATGGACAAAACAACAGGCAAAGCTAAGCTACTGACAGATATGGGACAACAGACTGTATTTGATTGTAGTCTATTAGGAGACAGGGCGTTTCAAATTGATAAGGAGCATTTAGATGTTATTGGTTATGGACGGGATAGATCGGGCAGTCAGTCTTACCTATCAGGTATATTGAATGTTATTGATGAAATCAATGAAGGTGAAGAAAGGTTGGTACCAATACATGCTGATGGAGATGGTCATTGTTTGGTTCATGCTATATCTAGAGCACTGGTAGGAAGAGAACTATTTTGGCATGCACTGAGAGTCAATCTTCAACAACATTTTCAACAAAATCAAGACAAGTACAAAATAATGTTTAAAGATTTCATAGATGTTGATGAATGGAGTGAAATAATTGCTGAATGTGACCCAAATTTTGAACCACGCGTCAACGAATCCATGGGATTGAGAAATATTCACATTTTTGGATTGGCTAATGTTTTGAAGAGACCAATTATTTTGTTAGATTCTGTAGAAGGTTTACAGAGCTCGGGAGACTATTCTGGTAAGCAACAATATGATTCTGGATACTTATGCTTACACTATGCTTTTATGCTCATGCAATTGCTGTATCATGGGCTGTTGATTTGCCACTTGTACAATTTCTGTGAAGTTCAAGTTCAAGAGGGTTTTGGACATGAACTCAAGACCTAAAAGCTAATATGTAAAGGAATGATCTGTGGTATAGTTTTGTCCACTAGCAGAATCATTGTCCTCTGATGTGTAATAAATATACCAAATAAATAATAATAGCTATTGGATCTCCCCTTTGTTGAGTTGACAAACCTGGTTACAGAAATAGATTTATTTTAAATTTTAATTCTTAAAAATGTCAGATGGTATTTGCAAATATTTCATATCAACAGAGTAAAGATTTTCCTTCAACTTAACAAATTATTATGTTATTAATTTATTATTTAGGTGTATTTTTACCAGTATTACATGAAGTAGAGAAATGTCGAGGTAAAGATGGTCAATTAAGTAAACCGTTGTGTATAGCTTGGAGTAGTTCATTTAGACATCATTTTATACCGCTAGTTAGTATAAAAGGTAAGCCTTAATCCAGAGATACATGTTTTACTTACATTAGCTTGATTTATCTAGCATATGATGCATATTGACACTGGAAAATTTGGTGCTCTGTTTACTACAAGATGTGTAAGATATTGTCAACGTTAAAAAAAAATTCTATCTTCATCACTTGGGAAAATTTCTCTCTTCGCACACAAAATTGATTTGTCTGAAATCAATTTCCAGTAATTAATAAATAATGGCATGGGATATTATATTTTTAAGGTCAGAAGTTACCTAGGTTACCAAGATATCTTATTAAAAGGGTATGGGGTATAAGTGATCGTAATATAGATAAATATATAGAATTTGATGCAGATGATATGTGTACTGTAGGTGGTGATAAATGTCTTCAGGTAATGTTCTATAATATTATTGGTTGAGTCTTGAGTCTTCATAATGATGACAGGGGCTTCAGTGTGACAGAAACCTGTCAATTAGTCCTGATATTATGACCTATGATCGGCAGCTAAAGGCCGGCACACATTTACTGATTTTTTGACTGATGGAACTCTATTGGTGGACCTTTAACAAGATCACAACACTTGCCATCAAGGCACATCAGGACATCTTTCGATCAAACATGCCAGATATCTCCCGATCACTCCTGATTTTTGACGTAAGGCTGTGGTTGGCCAACGCACATTGGCATCTTAAATATCAATAAGTGTGTGCCAGTCTTAAACTGTTTCACCAACCAAACAGTGTATTAATAATAAGTTGATTATCAAATGTTATAAAATGTATGTTAGAACCTAGTCTGTGAGTTACCCAACTTCTCTTTCAAACATTCCCGAACAGCTGTTTAGATAGTTGTTTTTACCAGTAGAAGAATAAAACTTTTATAAACAGTTCAAGCAATGAACTACTATTTTTGATCTATAATGGAACTGCCTTTGTTTTGATCATTGTTCAGACCATGAGTCCATAATCCAAATCAATATGAATCGCTTTATGTTTCTGATATTTAAGGATCGGTATTTACAAAGACTAGTAAAATGTATGGAAGAAATATTTTATCAGAAATATGGTGTACACCCATCTCTAGTTGCTGATGTTCATCAATATATTTATAAAAGTGCTGGTAAGCTTGGTCAATTTAACGTTCTTGGTTCTAGAAATTCTTGTCTTGAAAACAGTGCTAAATACATTACAGTAGAGTGATATGGAAATATTAAAACATAACCTAAACAAAATATGCTCTGTTTTAATATTTCTAGTCTAAAACCATAGAACCAATTCCATGAGCCACGTGAAAAGTAATTCCAATTTTCATAAGAATGGCTGCCAATCAGATTGATTTTTTTAATGATTTTTTGGCTAGGAACGGTGACAAATATTGGTTCCTGACATTTCCTAGAATCAGTCATGTTACATCTATGATGATTTAAGTAATCAAAAGTTAAATATATCAACAAACTGTCACATAATGGTGTCTGTTGCCAACCTTTTTCTTTTTGTATTTTTTTTATAAAAAATGTTTATGTGAAAGAGTTTGCTTGTGGCACTTGTCTGAGATGGTTATGTTATTGAAACTATTTTCAGGAATGGCCAGTGTTCCTGTAGATATTGTTATTAATACAACTCAGAGAACAGTAGAGAAGAAATTACTATATAGATGTTTAACATGTGATGCTTTAACAGAATATAATTTAACTATAGATATGTTTATAGCTGGTGGTAGTTTATATCAACTTGCTTTAGAGACTCATGGTCCTCTGGCTACAGATAAACGTTACTCTTTTCCAATGCAAGGTTTGTAGAATCTACCTGGCATTTCTAGCCATATACCGTCAGCCATATTGAAAAGAAAAACAAGGATCATAAACAAAACAAAAAAAGGTGGCAGTGAAATTGCAACCTTGATGTCTTTATCGCCTACTTTTCCAATACCACAAACTAAAATCTAATCATATTTTACATCATTAAAATACGAATTGATTATGACACATTTTCGTGTTGTTGATTGATTATTTAATAACGTCATATAGACTATTCCTTCATATGCCGTTGCCATCTTTTCAATAGATAAAGTACTTTGTGTTGTGAGCCTCTCTTTCTATCGTTCCAAAATGAGATGTGAATGAGGTCTATTAAAAAATCAAACAGAACTATATTTTTCAATGTGTTGTTTCTGATAGATAACTGAATTTAATTTCAGCCAAAAAGAAATTCCTATCATTTAACCAAATATTCAAATTATATTCCAAACTTTACAATTTGAACATTACATACAGTTGAATACAAAATTTTAATTGTATGTATTTTTAGGTATTATTTGTTCATATAATGCCGAAGAAGATTGTTTAGTTCCAGATATGGACAAAAGTCAACTAACAAAATGTGCATTTTGTCAAGGGTAAGTTGAATCCCAAATTAATCACACCAATTTTAACCAGCTTTTAACATACTTTAAATAATTTTACTAAGGTGAAATTTGAAGAATGGAATCTACAAATAAGAATAGTGTTAAAAACAGACTCTGTGCAAAAAAAAATCTTTGTTTTTTATATCTTTTATTCTATGATTTAAATATAGATTGCAGTAAATGGTATATGTTCTAAAATCTATCTTTAAAGTAATATTTTTGTGACTGAGCGCGATATAAGTATCTGTATATACACCTATATTCTAGTGACCTAGTGACTTATTGTCGGTATATACACCTATATTCTAGTGACCTAGTGACTAATTGTCGGTATATACACCTATATTCTAGTGACCTAGTGACTTATTGTCAGTATATACACCTATATTTTAGTGACCGAGTCCGCCATGTTAAAGGTGATGGTAGTATTATGTATAAAAATAGTGATAAAACAACGACACCCTCTCAATCAACTCACTGTACTTGTGGATTTAAACATTATTGGGATGGTAAAGAATATGATAATATGCCTAAAATGTAAGTAACTGCTTCAAATGATTTTAGCTCATTTCATGAGTTTATGAATATGTATGTTATGTTACAATTCTCACAAATTTATCCTCGTGCAGGAGAAGTCCATACAGCTGCTGCAGAAGGGATTTAACTACAACCATTAAAATCAGAAGTATATCAGATCATAGCTATAACTAGTGCTGATATCAGTGAATCGTTACAGGGCGGTTTAAAAGTAGTAAGTTAATTTCATATTTATTGTTCTATTTCAGTTTACCTGTCAGTCTAGAATGGAGTGGTAAAGTTATTAAAGAGAAGGTCCCCTGGTTTGAAAATGAATCAGATATCTGTTTAAACAGTAATGTTTATGAGGTAGCCCAGTCTTTAGTACAGAAACATTTTCCAGGTAACAACATTATATAAGAGTTCATTTTAGGCTGCCAACATTGTTTCAGATATAAAATCGTCATCAGGGAAGCTTGTTTGGCAAATGGTTTTTACTGTCTTATATAAGACATTTGGCATACAAGTTAAGTTAGCGAGCACACTGAACCACTGAATGAAGGTTCCAAGATGGATCTGCCGTGTTTGAAAATTGAGCAATTTTTTGACAAGAATCTATGCGATGTTTGGTTATGCCATGCTTTTTCAACATTATAATAACATCCAGCTGAATCTGTAGATCTAATGTATTGTCCAGATTGTTTGAGTGCTTTAACTTGTGTGACCATTTAGGTTTGTATCGTATAAGGATTCACTAGTAGACGCGATACTTGGAGCATAAGAAGTCAGACTTGAAGAATATTGATGATTGTCTCCTTCTTTTTGAAGTCATCATAATTAAGAAAACATATGTCAAATATGCAAGAGAATCATCATTTTTTTTTTTTGTCCTGACATCATACCTTTTGATGGACTTGATTTTGTTTGTTATCTTGAGTTTAGAATTAATGATGCTTATTTTAATTTAGGAGAGTTTGGTAGTGAGAGGTTGGTTCAGAAAGTAGTTGATCATATATTAAGACTAACAGCTCTACCAGAACAACCCAAGACAGAAGAACCTGTACCAATAGACTTACCTTGGTCTCCTAATTCACCCTCTAAAATAATCATCACAGGACAACAGGTAAAAATTAAACACTTCCTCTGAAACCATTTTGTGAGCCGCGGTGGCTCTGTGAGTTAGACGCTTGCTCACTAACCTGAAGGTCCAGGGTTCAATCCTGGCATAGGTCGAGATAATACCTTCGGATTTTTCAACCGGTTTCCCCCTGTCAGTGATGCAGGACATTGCTGAAAAAGCGTCTAGTCGTTCGGATGGGACAATAAACCGAGGCCCCGTGTGCTACAGGCTGTGCACGTTAAAGATCCCTCGACAGTTGGAAATCGAAAAAGAGCAGACTAATGCCGCTGTCCTGGCAAAATTTCCCTCATCGCACCCTGCATGGCGTTGCCCGTCTTCATTAGCCACATGTTGCAGAAAAGTAGGACGTAAAACTCCATTCATTTCATTTCATTTCATTTCTGCAACCATTAAAATAGAGTGTTTTGTGTAGGAGAACATCCAGCACATATTGAGCATCACCAGTAGGTCATCCAGTACTATTTTAGACACCATCAGTAGTACATTCAATCCTATTTTGATCACCTTACGAAATTGAGTTCTATTTTGGATACCACCAGTAGGTTAATACATCCAATGTATCTGTAAATAGCTTTAATTTCAACACTTATTCTTTAAAGTTGAGACTCAATAGATCTGGCTCTGGATCTCTATTAAGTAGTTTAGCATTATAATTGTAGAGAAAGAGTGTTCACAAGGAGGAACTGGATAAAAGTCAAACAGAGAAGAATATCAGACAGAAAATCACAGCAAATGCTCCTGTTAAACAGAAAAAGAAAACCACAGATATTCAACCAGTGAAATCAAAGACTATCTCAGAATCACCAGTAAAAAAAATATCCACCAGAGTTCCATCTTCAACAGTGACTAGTCACTCAATATCTGAATCTACAGAATCTACACCTATTATTAAACCAGATAAAAAAGTCAAACTGGTGTGTTCTAATGGAAAACAGGTGAGATTTATGTACTTTTTATAAGCCCACCTGAAAATATGAACATATTTTGTCATAGCTATTATGGTCTGTCGATTCGTCAACATTTCTTGTGAGGATAAAAAAGTTTTCATCTGATTTAAATGAAACTTAATGTGATTGTTTATATTGATGAGACCTCGGTCAAGTTCGTATGACGATTTTTCGATGAACCTTTTTTGAGTTATTGCCCTTAGTAACATGCAACAAAGTAATGTTAGTGAACAAATTTGGTGTGATCATTTATAATGATGAGACAATGGTTAAGTTCAAATTTGATGATTTTTTGATTAAAATGTAAGCTGATATAGTAATTCGCATTTAAACAAAAGAATCAAAATTTACATGTTAAAAGTTAATGTCCATATTGTTCAAAAAAAAAACCTAGTGGTTCAAATTGATTAAATTGTTTCTATACAAGAATTTTATTATTAGATTATATTTTCAGACTACACTGACATTAAGAAATGATGTAACATTTAAACAACTACAGAAACTTATCTGTGATACTGTTAATATACCACCTGATAAACAGAAGATTAGATTAGGATTTCCACCAAAAGAATTAAAAGCACCAAGAGATGGGGATATAGAGCCTATAGTTCCAATACAACATGGTGATAAAATAACTTTAGATATTATCAACGAAAATAAAACTTCTCCACCTTCAACATCTCAAAGTAATTTGTTATGTTTTTTTTTATTATCTATACTAACTTTAACTACTTTTAAATAGAGTAATGCTTAATCTGAATGAATGTATAATTTTAAGAACATTTTTTAGCTTTCAAGGGACATCCGTTTGACCAATCATAACTTAGTCTCTTTATATTTAGCGAAGCTAATCAGTATAAGTGTTCACATTTTCACCATCGAAATTTGAGCCCTCAAATCAATGTGTGTCTACAATTATTCATGTTTGAAAAATGGATGATGACAATTTTGAGATTGTTGTATTTGACTGAAGTTTTAATGTAATATTGTGTACAATAATGTTGTTGCCTTAATATTTATTGATAAATTGACTATATAGTAGATAATAGGTATTTTGAATTATGATTGATTTGTTGAAGTATATATTGATTTGTTGATTGATTTATTGATGTATATGTTGATTTGTTAATTGATTGAATGATTATTGATTTTGTTTCCAGTGAAAGTATGTCATGGAGATATAAGAACTAGTAGAAGTAGTTGGGGATCTTTTGATGAAACAGAAACAGTTCATTCCGCTGATAGTCTACTAGATAGTCTACGTGATAGTAATAATGGTTGGTTTAACTTTAATTACCTTGATCCGAGTGGAATTATCACTCATTATCTCCTATGTAACTGCATTAAGATCAGATGACCATTTATGTCATGTTTAACAGATGTTCAGCTGGTCGAAATAACTGTATGAATTACTTACTACCTTCTACCTACTACCCTACCCTACCCTATCTGTACTTGTTTGATCATGACCTAATTATTGAAAAGGAAAATCATGTTTTAGGAAGCTTATAAATTATCAATACATATTCTATATTAATAAATGTCTAATAAACAGTATTGACTTTGGCCTGTAACTTCAATAACATCTTAAAGGGATATTGATTTCAATGGTACTCTTCAAATTTTATTCTTAAAAGTTCCTTAGTGACCGAAAATTTATTTTATTATTTTAATGACTGTGACCTTTATAAAGTTTCAAAATTGCACATATCTTGCAGTTTCAAAATTTAATCTTAAAATGACAGCCTTTCTGTTATGTTTAAGGAAATCTACAACAGTTCCCTTTTAATTTTCCCAACATTTTTGATCATCTTTGATGTGTTCGCAGGAGTCAGGGTGCCTCATTTTCATTGGCCTGTCTTCACTAGCTCAATCATGTAAAATATTTTCAGCTACTGACAGTATAGATACATCAATAGCTTCATTATCAGTACTAGCTAGTTTGTCTGGTAAAGATTTATGGACGTATGTACAATCTATGCCTCATCTATTCTCTGTTGGTGGACTGTTTTATCAACAAGTTGATAGAGATTTAGGTTTAACAGATGGTAAACATTGTACGTTACCAGCTTTACCAGGAAAGGTTGGTGAAATTCTTCATTAAATTTATTCAGCCTAAATTTGTTAAACAGACACTATCACTAGTTCTTTGAGGCTCAAAGTAGTAAGTGGTGCAATAGTGAATGAATGCAATGTACAATGCACTTTCAAAGAGTGAAGCGTTATAAAAAATATGTATTGTACCTTATAATCCTTGGTCTCTTCAACATGTCTGAAAATATTACGTACTGTTTCACTGTGGCAAGATTTTTTTTGCATCAGGGATCAGTTTATAAATATCCTATTGATCTTTCATCATTAGTATTTTGTAACCAAAGCTAGAGGAAAGTCTGGTAAATAAATATCTGCATGCAACGACTCTTTAAAGAAAATATTGTTTTGATTGGTTAAAAATCACTACCTAATATGAAATTATATGTCTACGCAACTATTAGTTTTCATTAATACAGTGGTGTGGATATATACCACATTGCTTGTAACGGAAAAGATTGGAATGGAAATGGAAATGCCATTTTACTCCAGTAAATTCCTGAAAATTCTTCTTTTTTTTAAGGTTTTTCGTTTCAATGGGCATGACAGTAGATTGGAACTATGCCTGGAACCATATGGACACTTTCCTGTTGAACCAAATATAGAGAGAAAAGTAACAGAACCACAGCAGAATTCGTCTACCCAATCTCATGTTAGATTTGGGTCTAGTGGTGCTGTGTCTCACAAAGACTCTTGTGTAGCTTTTTCTGGACATGGACATTCATTGATTGCATCAACCGAGACGCGAATGCCAAAAGAAATGACTGAAACTATGACATTCAATTCTTCAAGTGCTAAAAATATCCACAATTTGTGTACACCTGTTAAAAAAGAAGATTCTATTGAAGAAGAAGAATGTGATGTTGAAGATGAGACTGTTAACAATTATAACCGGATTGGACCCGGTTTTAGTGTTTTGAGACCAAACCCACCAGACCCACTTGAACAAAATACAGCTAATGAAAGTGTTGAAATCTTTAAAAAGGTGGCTGAAATGTTAGAGCGTAGTGTAGCTGACAATGAGGATTTAGATTGTTTTGGTGGTTTTAGTAGTAGTCCAAGTTCTGAAAGACCATCAGCACACTCTGCAGTTTCTACGGCAACAGAGGATAGTAAAGAACAAAATGCTGGAAATCAAATGGAAGATGAAGATCTCAAATTATGGGATGTAAGTGACACAAATCTTATATTTCTTGAAATTTGTGTGTATACCGTTCTGTTAACAGACGTGGCTTGGCAACAAATATTAATTTTTGCACAAAAGATTTTTGTAGTTGTCAAAGTTATTTGCAGAGAGATGATTGATTGAACAGAACAGTACCCTAAAAAAGTACCAATCGTGCAAGATTGGAAGATCTATTTAATCATCCAATATTGGTATCTGATGTAAATTTTGTACACCTCGCAATGATTCTTAGGTTTTTAATGTGCCTCATTTCAGGGAGAAGAAGATACAATGGATACAGAATAACATTGTTGTTTCACATTTTTGGTTGTTTTCTGTGATAAAAGCTTACTGGTATTCTATAATTAGCCAAAAAGTGACAATATTATATATGTAGAGTTACAAAGCTTGAAATAATGTCTGCAAATTCCCTCCCTTATATGCATAATCCTTTTTGCTAAATCAATTCTTTTGTTAACCTCCACTTCCAAAAAAATCCTTATGGTGTTAAATTAAATCCTCTTTTAAATTAAATGTTCTTGGTCTGAGATTTTTCAGTTTCCTTATGACTGTTATTTAGTGGACTTTAAATTAATAATGGCATCAATTCTTTGACATATCAAAACTCATTGTGTTGTATAGTTTTAAACTGCTGAAATTTTGTGCAATTTGCAATTTTTGGGCTTAACGTACAATTGTTATATTCATATTTTGGTATTTGGTAGTTTCGTTATGTGCACAAATATAAATGAGCAACTAAAGGACAATTAAATGATGTCCTTCTTTAAAAGAATGTACATAATAATTATCCTTTAAGTGCTTTTTCCACATGCAATGCTTTTTGGTGAATGATATCATTTGAAAATATTTAGTAAAGCATTTTTACATATTGTTTACATGATGGCAATTATTAACTCCATTCTAATCACTTTCGTTTTTGTTTTTTAAACTTTTATTTTTGATATAGCCACTTCAGTTACAGACAGCCCTCTTGAACGTTAGTCAAATTAACCTTTTGACCTAACCTGATATCTGGTTAGTTTAAGGTTAATTAAGGACCTTAAAAAAACAAAGTTTAAGATTTCTATGTTTATCATGGTAAAATTAATTATAAGACACATTCTCAAAAATATTATGATCAATTTTGTCAGAAGGTATAATCATAAATTCCATGCTCATGACAAATTCAATTGTATTGTTATAGAGTAAATTTTGTTAGAATATCTTATTTCTATTGACATGTATTACAATCAAATTTATCTGATACACAATAAAAGCCCACATGATTGGTTATGTTATAGAAGTTCTTGAACCTTAGAGTGTGGTCACACTGACAGTCTTGGACGACGATTTTTGCAGATAATCATTAGTGCATCATGCAATTGAAAGCAAAATGAATCTGATTGGATGATGACGCTCCGTCTTGTTGACGATAAAACAATCGGCAACAAATATTTTAAAGGTTTGATTTAAATCCTGTCAACGCGATAATTTTGTTGTGGAAGCGCTGACACACGCAACATTTTACTCGAAAGATTTTACTTGACAACTGTGACAATTCGTTATGAAATAATGGGAGATTTGAGCATTGGAATCTTTTCATGGCGTTATTTGCTTAATTACATCAAACAAATGGTGGTTGTGGGTTCTTATTTGATGGTGAACCAAAATATATAATTATCTTTCACAATTAATTTTCATAAGTCATTAATTCTTGCATATGTTGTCAATTAGTAAGCAGGCTGTCAGTTACCTTCAAAACGGTTAAGGTCAAGGATGACAAAATAAGCTTGAATGTTTTAATATTTTTAATGGAAAACTGTAATACAAAATAATATCAAATGAAAATGATGGGTTTGTAAATTTGATCATACATATTGACAGTCTAATGTATGTTGTATTTTATTTGAAACTCTTGTTGTAAACTGACAATAACTGGATGAAATGCTAACACATATAATACTAGTAGCAGGGCAACATAATAATGAGTATATCAATATAATAAGACCAAACTAGCAACTGGTATTTCAGTCTATTGAAGGTTTTGACTATAAAATGTACTCATTTCTGTATCACTACATATCTGTCCATTTGACTTGAAATTCAGTTACATTACAACAGTACTGTAATGGATATGGTCTAGCTATAAAATAAAATATGATTTTAATACTTATATCTTTATAATTACAATTGTGACTAGTATAATATATAATATAATTCAAATTAATACATATTGAGAATTTGTTCTGCACCAAATTTCTGTTGTTCACTCCTCTCATTTTGCTCGGATGTGAAATTTTTTACCAAACGACAAACTTAAATTCAAGTTAATCTGTATCATTAACAAAATTTAATTTTAAGAACATTTATACATTTCAAGGCCTAAAAAGTGAAAGTAATTCATGAACATGTTTAAAACTATAACACAATTGAACACATGTAAATTAACAATAAATTGGCACAAAATTAACAATCTATGGAAGGAGGAGGTATTGCTTATCTTTCAAGCCTAAAGGTGTTCAGATATTTGCTAAACTGCTTAAAGACTTACAATAATCGTTGCAATTTGAACAACAATGGTAAAGTAAAAGGATTAAATGAACAAGTGATATGTTCTTTGGAGCATTTGGATTTCTAAGATACTAATTCCTACAGAAAATTAATTCATGCAACTAAATATGTCACAAAATCATCTTGACCAATAAAGGCTAAAGTCATATGACTAACAAACTACAAGCTACTTTGGTTTAGAAGCAAAGTTCTACAAAGCAGCAAATTATCTAAGGGAAATTTAGATTGAAGCCAACCAAAACTTAAAAAGTTAGTCGTGGTTTCATTTAGCATTGTGGTACAACTGGCAAGAAATCTCCTCCATAAATTCAAGAACATTATTTATAAAACACACAATTAAAATCTTTTGTTTCCAAGATCTACCTTAAGAACGGTTTTCTCATTGATCCTGTTCACACCTACAGCACAAATTGGATGAAACTGAACTGTTCACATTAACACTCTGTTCACATATACACTGCGTTCAATTATTAAAATCTAACTTCACCATCTTTAAAACTCGTCGTGTCTGGTGAGAGCTTCACCAAAATCTGTTGCTTGGCTACCAACAAACATATCATGTTTGTCAAGAATTTCTTGTTTAGTTAATCGGTTATCCTGAAAAAGATATAAATGTATAACTTCCAATGACAATAAAGTTTAAAGATGCATCCATGAAATAAATACAGATGTATCTTGATTAAGATTTTAGTGTATGACATTAGCATTTCTCATTCATACTTTGTCAATTTAGCAATCCTGTTTTGTGAGTTCAGAATTCCTATTTTGGCAACATAGCATTCCTGTCAATTTAACAATCCTGTTTTGTCAATTTAGCAATCCTGTTTTGTCAATTTAGCATTCCTGTTTTGTCAATTTAGCAATCATCTTTGTCAATTTAGCAATCCTGTTTTGTCAATTAAGCATTCCTGTTTTGTCAATTTAGATCCTGCTTTGTAAATTCAAAATTCCTTTTTTGTCAACATAGCACTCCTGTTTTGTAAATTCAAAATTCCTATTTTGTCAATTTAGCAATTCCTCTTTTGTCAATTTAGCATTCCTCTTTTGTCAATTTAGCATTCCTCTTTTGTCAATTTAGCATTCCTCTTTTGTATATTTAGCATTTCTGTTTGGTTACACAGACTACTTTAAAGATGTTACAAATAAAATTTCATGGTAGCCACTTTGACTATATATCTCTGTGAAATAGAGTAGAAAACAGTAAGCAAGAAGTTAACCCTGGATCTGCCTATGGCACCATTGCTTCAAAAATTTATGCCAAGTCTCATAAATGCCTGTTCCAAAATTAAGTCGTATAATTTTACAAATACACACAAAAGTAGCCAATGAGATGATACTAGAAGAAAGTTAAGAAAAATAACAATTTTTCATGCAAAACAAAAACGGTGTGTTGATGAAGAGGTTATGAAAGAAGGGCAAGAAAAAAGGGTTTGAAGTTGAGGATGTGTACCAACCAACGAACTAATATAATAACTAAATAACAAAACATGAAAAACCAGAACCTCTGTATAGTGTTATGTTGCCAGAATGTAGAATGAATCATGCACCAAATGAGAAAATGAGACAGGCTTACAAACCTTGTCTACGTCTGATTCGTAAATCAAATGTTTAGATTCTGCGGCAGAATGATCATAGTCGGCTGGAATAATCCAATCCATGACTTCCTTGGGGTCCATCTTTCCATCCTTATTTTTATCTCGGAAATCGTGAAATTGTTTTCGTTCGCTAGCTACCCAATCTGGCTCTGGATCTCCAATTTTGTGATCTGGCAACATATCACCTACAAAGGTCAAGGTTACAGATGAGATGATGATTGGTTAAAGCAAACAACATGCAGACTAACCCTATCAACGTCAGAATTTTTAATCAGGTGGTCAACTTCAGCAGAAACATGATCATAATCATCTGGAATAATCCAATGACGAATTTCATCTTTATCTAATTTGCCATCTTTATTTGTGTCTCTGGTCTGATGAAATTGTTCACGTTCAGTTGCCACCCATTCTGGCTCTTTTTTGCCATTAGCATTTCGTTTGTAACGTTCTGCTCCATCCTCATCTTCTTCATCTTCATCATCATCTTCCTCTTCATCATAGATATCATCTATATATAGTAACAAATCACTTCATATCTTTGTTATGACTTGTTAGACCTTATTTATCCATGTTTTTGCGAAATTTGGCAAGAGTCATTTAAACCTGTTAAATACAGGGCCTGATGCAAGATCTTATGTTACACCATGGCTATTAGAAGATGTATCTAGCAATCATTTTCCACTAAAAGCAATTCAATTCAAAAGCAATTCGCCTTTTAAGCAGAAAATTGCCAATTTCCAATCATGATAACTATGTGATCTATTTATCTATAAATTCTCAGTCAATTTTCAACTATTTGTCCTGAAAAGATTATATTTTATATCCAAAGCATGTGACTTCAGCTTGATTTCTCGTTGGATTTGTTTTGTATTCGGTCTATGTTTTAGAAGCAAAGTAATCAGAAATTACAGACTCTTATCTGGCCTCCAGATATTTTTAGGTAACCAGTATTTCTACTTTTATGTGCAATTTCTACACATAATTTTCCTATCTAAGAGTTAAGTATAAGCTAATCCTATATAGATATATAAGATTTACAAAATACAATACATATTAAACACACTTCAAACTAGAATTGTAGCTTTTTTTTTGGATTATAACTGGCCAACACCTGTCACAATATGTTTCTAATGAAGTTAGATAAAGAGTTGGTTATTTTCAGATTGGAAGCTGTGATGGGAGATTAGATAAAGTTGTGTTACCTATATACTCATCTTCATTAATAAAACCATCTTTATCTTTATCAATATCTTCTAATGTTTCCTGTAATATAATAAATACTTTAATAATCTACTTACTAGATACATATCAGATACAGATACATATGTGTTAAAGGAACAGATTTGCCATTTTCTCAGGTTGATTTGGGTCATTAATACATGTATATGTAAATAGTCTTCAGAAGTATTAGAAATATACAAAAATCGCATAATTCCTTCAATAAAACCTCAAACTAGGAAATGCACTTTGACAGCGTGCTGTGAGAACTATTAAATGTACTAATAAGCTTAGCTAAATAATTTCCATTTCGGAGACTAAGGTACAATTGGTCAAATGGATGGCGAATCTGTCCCTTTAATGGTATAATTGATAATAAAATTGTTCAATCTGTGATAAATAAATAAGTACTTTTAAATCAAGAGTAATTCCCATATCAATAGATAACATATGCATCACATGTGATAATAAAAATAAATAACAAAAACGCACTATCTATAATCATGGCTGACAGAAAAGAAGTATTGGAATATAACCATGTGTGTAAGGATTTAAAGGTTTGTTAAATGATAAAACATAAGATAATATTGAATTACACTCAACTCTAGAAATGATAACTAACAAAGCTTTAATGAAGATCGAATGTCAATATAGATTGTATAAAACTTTTTACAGCAAGCCTTCTACAATTCTATATATTTGTGTATGAAAAGGATAATATGTCCAGACACTAATTATATGCATCCTAGTTGCATGAAAATCAACTAAATTCTAAGGAACAGGCAATAATTTTGTCTCAGGTTCGTTGCATACATAAGTCTCATATGAAAAGTGGGTAAGCGTTGTTAACATTTTGAACATTCAGGACAAGGGTGACAACTCATGTTCTAGTTGCAATGCATTCAGATTTTCTCTTACTTTTAATCCAAGATTCATTGAAATTGGTGACCAATAGATTATTTGTTCAAAAAAAGTGGAAATGGACAGGCAAACAGGGATGTGGGCTCAAAAAAATTATGAAGTCTTACAAGAACAACAATTTCCCTCATATGTTCTGCATCTTCAGGATGTAAAAAGTTGCTGAATTCTTCTTTATTTAGTTGATTATCTTTATCAGTATCAGCTCTTTCCCATCTCCTTTTATCTCTAGAGATCATGTCTTTATATTCCAACACTTCATCATGACCTGTAACATCAATATCAATCACCTACTATCACTTTGATGTTGAGTGTTCAACAAATTAGAACAAGTTTAACAGGTTTTTCCAGTTAGAGTATAATAAACATGTTATAATAGGATAGTTTATAGTTCAATTTATGGTTAAACATCCAAAAGCTAGGATGCAATGAAACAACCTCATAATAATACCTCCATATCAGCTAATCTCTCATCATCAATGGCTATAGTACAATCATTACTTAAAAAATAGAATGTTATAGGTCAAATTTTCTGCAAAAACTGGTATAGCCATGCAATGAGAGATTTGCAGAATTATTCTCCTCTTTTTCAAATTTAAAAAGTCTAGGGATCTTTAACGTACAAAGCACGGAGCAAACAAAGCCTTCCAAAGAATAACATACTTTTTTTCATATTAGCTCATCTAATGTGCATCACAAAAAGAAGGAAACAGGGTTGAAAAATCCAGACACTGTGAAAGGAACAAACCTAAATTAGCAAGCCATCTTTAAAGTCACAGAGAGACCCAAGCATCCTTACACAACCGAAGGGAAGGTGGTTAAGTGACCAGTTAATGTTCGCTTCCAGCAGATGCTGATATCGCAACACAACCGAAGATGATTCAAATGTGTTAATAGTCAAAGTAAAATTTCAGATAAACAATTAATACACCTACCCTCAGAATAACCATAAGTACGCTTCATATAGGCATCCCAAGTTATTTTATTATCTTCTGTAGTATCATAATCTTTCCACATACGATCTGTATCAGTTGAAATATAACGTTTCTGTACATATTGTATCCAGTCTTTTAATTCATCTTCTGATACAAAACCATCTTTATTTTTATCTATTTTATCTATGATTAAACTGAAATATAACCGAGCCAAGATATAAATGCATGTCAAAGACCGTGTCAGACACAATCTTGTCAACTTCCAAATTGGTCCACTTTCAGTCACAAACCAAGCCTGTCATTCTATAATTTTTTTGGATAATATTTACTGATTCTAGAAATGGCTGTCAGAAGAGAGAGAAAACAAACTAAGACAAGTCAGCTTGTCAGATTGAAAATTGATTGAAAAATCTACAAATAAGATACTGATTTTTTAAAATTTAAATTATTAGACGAACAAAATAACAGTAACAAATTAATCACTATATCAGTTCATATGGTAGTCAACATAGAATACACAACCAATTAATCAAAATATCAAGAAAATATGTGTGAAGTATTTCCTAAAGGAAATGGACATTTCCTGTAATTTGGGAAATAACTCTGCACCTCTAATAAGCACGAGGTTGTCCTTGCACCATTTTATATGTGGTTCTCTTATCAAGTATGGTAATGGTATGCTCTCTTGTCTGACCTCAACAATAAAAATTTGGACATTCACAACTTTTAATTTGATCATTACTGCACCTCATTGGAATAATCACAATGGCATAAAGTAAGCAAAGATGCATTCTTGCAACCACAATGTAGCAATTAACATAATCATTTTCTTCAATTCCTTTGATTAATCTTTAAAATATTAAAATGTGATAGGCTTATATCTCTTTAGTCTTTAAAATTTTATGAAAATAACAATTCTGTCTACCTACCCCAATCTTTCTCTACTCTCTTCTGGTGATAACTGATCAAAGGTCTGTCTTTCTTCTTTTCCTAAAAATGCTTCATGATCATAATCAGCATTGTGTTCACCATTTTCTATATGATCTTCACCACTTAATTGCTAAGAAAGAAAAACAAGAATCATGGACACTAAGTAAACTTTAAGGCATCAACGAAAAAGAAATTGGAAAACTGTCTTTGAAACATCAAAAGTTAGCATCTCAAATCATGCTAAGATTGAAAATAAGACCCATCAGTTGGAAGACAAGAGTCAAACTCCCATTGGTACCCCAGAAGTTCTAAGAAAGCATTTGATCCACAGTAAAAACTAGTGATAACATATATTTCATTAACGTTCAAGATTCATCTCCTTAATCTTACTTTAAAACTTGCTCAATCATGAAATTTGGCATCGAGAAAGTTTAATAGAATATCAATTCAATTGTTTAGAGAAGAATAATACAAAACATCAGCATATGCAATAAATACTGCATTTCTGGCCAAACATTTACTTCCCTACAACAATAACAGAACTATGGGCAAAGTGCCAAATAAAGGTCATTTCCTTTGGTTAAAGATAATAAGATTGGGTCAAAAATACTTATCTTTAACATTTTGATAAAGAGAAAATGTTCTTGATCAAAACATATTAAGTGAAAATGGCATTAAAAAAAGATAGCGGATCCGTTCTAAATATGCCAACTTTGTCATGCAATCGGTCAAGTGTTGACCAATGGGTAAAAACCAACAGAATATTGTGGAGTCACAGTTCAACTTAAAACTGGTTCTAACCTTATCCTTTACACGTTTCTTGTTGTCATCTGCCTTAGTTGGAATAGCTGTTGCTACCAATACCAGAACTAATATCAATAAGGCAAAAAAAGGAACAACTTCTTTTGAACAGTGTGCCTGGAATAAAAGTATAAATTCAATCATAATTCAATTAGTAACCTAATTTCGTGCTAACCTAGTATTTGAACGTAAAACTATAAATCAACTCATCTCATAAAAAGGACTTGACAAAATGGCAATAATTGATATAGATTTGTTAACAAGCAAGTAGGTTTCTGGCATAAAATTATTCATTTTGCTACCTTGACTATGAAAGGTTTGTTACTATACTAAATATTTGATTGGGTGTAAAAGAAGTACATTTCATTCCTGCAATAAAAGAGTGCTTATTAGAACCAGATTTTTTACTGACCAACCTAATTTTCCAAATCCCCAGCCGAGTGCACAGATAATCTCTGCAAAATTAAATTTAAAGGTCCCAAAAATCAAAGAGGACCTTTTAATGTGCCTTATTAAAAATGTTTGCAGCATTCATTAAATCAGAAAAATTACGGACAAGTATATCCCTACTACAATCTGAACATAAGTTTGATTGAACTTTTTTTTTCACTTCATCACTCAGTCTTTTAGCTCTGTGACTGGTGGGTCTGTGGTCAGTGACAATTGACAGCAACTTTCATTTTCGTGTTTTCGTATCAATTGCCATTTGAATAAACTTACCATTGTGTCGATTTATCAACCAATCCAAGCTCTGAAGATTACTGTTGACAACAGCTGCAAAAGGCCGAAGGCACTTTATCGATTAACGGTTCTACTAACAATGGAAAACAACTTTACTAAGCAAATTCAGTTTGTTTCTCTTTCAATGCGTGGCTGACCTCTTACCTTAACCTCTATTTCCATGAATTCGACCAATGAAACATTTCTATTTAGCCATGTGGCTTCAATTGTCCAATCAAATCGTTGTCCACGTGGAAGTGTCAAAATTTTAACCAATCAAAAGTATTACCGGAAGTCCAGCGTGGCAGAAATTTGATACGCCAACTTTGGTGCCAACATTTCCCGCGGAAAAGTTGCATCAGAGAAGATTCAAGAAAAACACACCCATTGCCATTGAATGCATTGTATTTTACTGCTAAGGAGATGATGTAATAATTTTAAATTAACAAACGTGTTCAATCACACAAATGAACACCTAAAATTTGAATAATGAACGTATGGGCCTGGAATTACATTGTAATTTTTTTTTGCCGCCCGAAAACTGGTTTTTGGGAATAGAGTAGACACTTTTCCACCCGAACCAAAGTCACTTCCGATAAAACAAATTTGGGGGCAAAAGGTTCATTTCAATTAACTTCTGTATTTTAAAAATCTTCTACTCATTCAGCTATTCCACGAAAAAGTAAAAAATCACACATGATCATTAAGGGTGTCTGAAGCTGGTGTGAGTTATGTCCCTTATAAATTGTTACTCTTTTATTAAAAAGATAAAATTTGTTGTCTACTTTCAATTTTCCAATTTTCAGTGTTTGGATCTTTTAAAACACACTTTCTTTATTTTGAACAATAGTAACATTAAAATATTTACCTGCTTTTGAACCTTTCTATGATCGATAATAATTTAAGGATACGTTCATCCGCTTAATTGTTGATGTTGCCTTTTTGGTCTATATTGTTATTATCATTGAACAATATTTATTTTTACTGAGTTCATCTGTAAAGCCAAGGAATATTGACTGGACATTATTAAGGAAATAGAAGTGTCTATGACATGGATCTAACTTTTCAGTTTTTGAAGAAGTTGGCATATCAATTTGTTCATCTATCATGTGAATTACTTTCTTAGTCTAAGATGATCAAAAGATTTTTTGCTAAGACTTCAGGAGTTGTGTTTTATTCAGTCAGTTTTGCATCTGTTTTTCACTGCTTTTTTGAACATATTGCCAGCTTAATTGTGGTAAGCAAAAAAAAAACAAAAAAAAGTAGTAGCTCTGTCTAATTGAAATTAGACCACACTTTGGTTCCTTTTTCTATTAGTTTTTAAAATAGACACTTCACTAAGGGTCTAACGACTTGGCTTCTTGAACATTCATCCCTTTGATGACACTTACCTTCCAACTTGATAACTGTCTGTAGCACATTAGCTGGTGTGTTTATCAAAGGTTGTAATTGAATTGGACACTAAACTTTCCATCTGAAAGCTGTATAGGACAAATCAGCTATTTCGATGACTTTATCATTTTACATAGACATATCTGGTGCCTTTTGATTTTTTTTTAATTTTGAATATTTTTGCATTATGTAGATTGCTGAGAGCTCAGATACTTTTGAACATGGTTATAGGTTTAAATGAATGTTTTCTTCCCCTTTAAGGCAGATGGACCATCTATGCAGCCCACCATTTATACTGATGATATATTGTTATCCGAGCAAATTAGTGTAAAGAATGAAAAGATTATAAAGTAAGTCCTACGTTTGAAAATGAATGTTTTTCTGTGATAACTTGATTTTTTCCAGAACCAGTGTACATCAAGATGAGTATGATTGATTAAACAGTCTGAAGGTTTCATGTACACCTTGTGCTGTCACTTGATGAATATTATGATTTGAAACCTTCAGCTATCAAAAATTTGAATTTTGAAACTATGGTTCCTGTAATTTTATGCAAACTATTGCTTATATCATTCAAGCAAAATGATTGTTTGTGTTGGAGATTTAATAATGTTAAAAGTTTTTTTGACACCAAAGGAACTTCAGATCAGATCAACTATGAGGAAATTTGTACACGAATATACATACAAGGGTTAAGAAAACTCTATCCTATCCAATCATTTTAAATGTAGGGCCGATTTATTAAATACATATACCATCGCATTTTATTTTGCAGGGGTGATGTTGTACTAGTGAAATCCCCTACTGATCCATTAGGTATTATAATTAAACGAGTGATTGGTATGGAGGGAGATATGGTCTTTAATTATTCATCACAATCTTTTAAATATGTAGGTATTAGAGAATAATACTATGAATGAGCACAATATTTGATTTCTTAAGTTTGGCCATGATTGTGTATTTATCAGTGGAATTTCCTGGTATTATGATTAAGCAGCAGAATCTGTATGTAATCTGATAAATCTCTTGAACTAACTTATTATTGAAAAGTGTTAACATAATGCACAAATGTGTCAAGATTATCGCACAAATGGGTCAAGATTAACGCACAAAAGTGTCAAGAGTTTTGCGTCTGTTTTTGACTGCTTTTTTGAACATGTTGCAAGCTTAATTGTGGTAAGCGAGAAAAAAACCAATGATTATGTGTTTAAATGTGTTAAGATTAATTAATGGACATCTTCTATTACAGGTACCAAGAGGTCATGTATGGCTAGAAGGTGATAATAAATCTAATTCTACTGATTCTCGAGAATATGGTCCAGTACCTTATAATTTACTACATGGCAGAATATTTCTGAAGGTAAACAGTTGTGTTGATAGGGAAAGAATTTTTAATCATTTGCACCTTCCACATTGATTGATAAGAATGTCTTTACATGATATTTGCTTGTTTACGTCAAACAAATGGTGGTCATGGATTCTTATCTCTGTCTGCAGGTGAAAGTCTTATAATAAAATTTTTACAGTATTGTTGCAAAATCTCAGATTAGTTTGAATGTAATCTTCCATTATGTTTTGTGTGGAGTTCATAGCCTTGACTAAAAAACATATCAAATACCAGTAGCTTTGATCAACAATGACTTAACTAAAACTGTCTGTCTGTTTTCAGGTGTGGCCAATTGGTGATGTAGGATTTTTAGGACTGCGAGACTAGTTTCATTTATTCAACATTTGTATATAGGAGACATTTTAATAATTTTTATATGATAAAGAACCAAAGAATAAAATTTTAGAAGAAATTAAACGTGACATATTTCATTTTTTTCTAAATCCTATTTCCATATATATGTCTTTTATATATATGGCAGTATCTCAGAGCCAGGACGTTTAGGCTAATCGGTGCATTTGTGAGACAGTTTACCTAACCGTCCAAGTAGGTGGTTAGGCAATTCGATTTGGTGTGACGTCATTGGTAATTTATAATACTATTGGCTAAGTAATATCAATGTTGTCTATATAAACATAGATGTCATTGGCTAGTATTAATAGACAATCTTCTTTTGTTGACAGTGCAGTCAGTCATATTGCCTAATCATTGGTATCATTGGCCACTGCAAATCGTACTTAATCGTACTAGCAAATCGAAACCTAATCGAATCAAATCGAATCGGGTGACAAAAACAACTCAGGTATTATGAATGAAATTCATATACCGATACATTGTGAAGATCAAAAGTCAAATTTGGATTTAAAAAGAAAAAAAAACACAAACATCTCTTGATATATAAGATATTATATTATAATAAATCAATTCAATAAAATAGAAGGCACATAGTTTAAAAATTCATTATGAAGTTAAAATTACAGTATATATCATAATAGATTATAAATATAGACAAAAAGAAAAAAAAACATGATAAAAATTGTCATAAGTAAAGGGATACTACCTCTCAGAATGGACATAAAAACCTCTCAAACTTGGTCAACAAGTATATTTATCAGTTGGACTTACCAGGTACCATGACTAAAAAATTGAATCTGATTATAAGGCAATATATCCATTAAACTAAGTAATTATTGAAAAACGCTTCTAAGCATGTTTCAAAGTAACTTATAATAATGAATTATAAGGTACATAGTTTTTGGATTATAGTGATTCTGTTGTTATGACACCAGGTAAGTCCACTGATAAAGAGGCAAATTTTTGGGTTTGGTCATTCTAAGAGGTAGTATACCTTTAAATATGAGGTAGTCTGTCTTGCAAACTTTTTCAATTAAATTATTATTTTGTTATACGTTCCATTACACATCCCAAACCTGGAAACAATGGTCTCTAAGAGTTACTAGATAGTTCAATGCAGGAAATGATAATCAAGACTACATTTGTACTGAGTGTAGAGTTCATGTATAGCTCAGTGATCGTCATAGTTATAGACATAGACATAAAATGGTTGTAAAGTGGTGTCAAAGTGTATCGAGGTAGATGTCAGATGTCAGCTGCATTGAGTCAGAAAAGTAGCCTGACATCAGAAAGCCATGATTTACAAATTGACATCCTAGATTTAATAAAACGATCGACTGTAGTATTCCTATAAGCAATTAAAATCTCTAAAATTCACTCTCAAAATGACTTAAGTTTTTCTGAATCTGATTTTTGTGGCAGGAAAAAACACTTACAAATCTCCTCTTATGTTTGATTTTAAAAACTATTGAGCAATTCACAGAATTGGATTCCTTAATACTATCTATTGCATCTGATGAAGCTGTCTTGGAGCATACTTAAATGTTTTCATACAATTTAAAATAGCTAAAGTAATGACAGAATTCACTCATTTATCATATAACAAAAAGAGAAAGTTGTCTGATTTCTAATTTAACCTAGTGCAAAACTGAGTGTACCTGCACCAAAACTGTAAATCTGAATTGTAGTACGTCTGTAATTAAATAAACAGGGGACTACTAAAATATGTTCCATTATGTACCAGACGAAAATTAGGGTAAAACTAATGACAGAAATGCATCTTTCCTTCTAAAATATTCATCAAATCGTATCTGAGCATACCTGAAATAAAACCAAAAAGCAGTTGCTATCAGATGATAGACTCATCACTTATCATATGGACAATAGGATGTTTGATGTATCTACAATTAAACAAATCTACAGACAGGTGTGAAAGCAGTCTAAGTTGCAATTATTTTATCTAACATTTATATGTTTTCTTTAAAAAGACAAAGAATACGGATACACCTATGGTTCAGACATTTCTTAGATCTCCAAAAGAGATTAATAGAAAACAATTTCTAGCCAAGATACAATTTTGTTATTTCATTTAACTTTTTTACATGTAGCAGAATGAAGTTTCACTGAGAAGATTAATGAAAGCACGGTTTCTTTAAGTGGTCCAAAACTTTACTTTACCCTGTCAAGAGTCAAAGAAAACAGTGACTGCTCTGCTCATTCGGTTTACAGACTTACTCGTTTCAATATCCCATATAAAAAAAAATATTACTTACTCAAGAAAATCAAAATCTATTGAAGAATTTTTAGCTTGGATGATACCCCATACTCCCCAAAATAAATGGGTTGCCTGAAATACATATTTCTTACAATAGATACCGAAGATATGGTCATTTTCTGTCAAATTTTCAGACTCCTACTTTGTAGTAGTTTTTGGTTGTGGATCAAAATTTTGGAAAGCCTTTGTTTCTGCACATAAGGCTAATGGAGGCAAGCAATGTTCTGCAGTGTACAATAAGGAAATCTTGACAGCAGTATCAGCTTACTATCTTTGATTTTAAAGGTTTATTGCTTGTATCACATGGTTCGATATCCCATCAAACAGATTGAGTATTTTTCCCTAGTCAGACGTTTACTTTAACTTTGAAATGACCTTAAATGAGTTATTGTAAAGGAAAAGTTCTCCTCTTTAAAAGTGGATGGAGTTTAATCTTCAATTCTTTTATGTGAAGGTAACTGATTGAATTATATGTGTGCATATCCCAATTGTTTAAGCATATTCAAACTGAACTTCCAGTTTAGTGAACAAGAACACACTGTAGGTCACCAAGTTGTTTTAAAGTTAGTGATTTAGATCTGAAAAATGTAAGTCTGACATTAAAACCATGTCAACTCACCAGCACACATTTATTTACTTGTACATATAATCTTTCAATATCTGTTGAGGTTACATCTGAAGCCTTATGTCCTTTAGCTTCAAACCAGTTTTCTAAATACACCTTTAGCCATTTCAGCTGAAATTCTTTACTAGGATATCTATCATAGTCCACTACATCTATCCCTATAATAGGTAAATGCATTGCTTTAATGTCTTGTGTCCATCATCTGTAAAATGATTAAAATGCAGATCCATATCTATACTTTAGTGTTATTTTTGCAGGTAACTTCATTTGCAATCTAGGATCTGACCAGATTCTTCTTCAATTTGTGTTCTGTGTAATTTTGACTCCATTAGCATTAAAAGTTGTCATAAATTATGATAACCAACCAAAGTTAAAAGTATAAGTCAAGTAAAATTTAAATAAGAATATTCCAGAATCTCTTGCATTAACTAATAGTGAATTTGTTTTTCATTGTACACATCATTTGATTGGTTAAATATTAATTGACACAGAACAGGTGATGCATACCATTCTCATCAGATTATAGGTGGCAATTGAAGTCACCCACAGAACCAACAGGAAACAAATCATTCAGATAATTTCTAAGGGCCTATGTGATAACTACAGAAGAAAACAATTGGTCGTACATTTGCATACATATTTCCTAGTAATATTAATAACAATGGGAAAATTATATCAAAAACTATTTCAGCTAATATACTTGAAAAGATAATTAATTCTACACAGGATTAGAGTATCAAATTTTATGAAATTAATAAATTCACAAGAGATAATACTGTATATAATATAATCTGTCATCAGAGGTGTCTTATCACCATGAATTATTCAAAATAATATATTAACTTATTATAGCCTAAAATACAGGACTTGATGTGAACAACTCAAGTGAAAATTTGTAATTTTTCTTATGAAGGAAATTACCCAGCCTAATTCAATTATTTCAAACAAAATAGGTTCTATAGGCAGATGAATACTGAATATATTTTTAGGCTCTATCAGATGCAAATATTAGATGGAAAATATATTTTTGGGAAGGCACAGCTTAAGGCTGATATTTCCTTATTTTCTTTAATTAAACTGTCCTGGATAATTGCTCATATGAATAAAATAAAAATTACCACAATAAAAGATATAACATGTACCTGCAAATTCAGCAAAATGATCCGCTATATCATATGCTTGATAATTATAAAATGCATATTCATAATCTATAAATCCTACTTTATCTGAAATAAAGCAATTTTACACTAAATCTTTCTACAGGATTAATGAATGGACATGGATATAATTTGTATTTTGGGGAATATTGCCGAGTACTGTAGAATATTTCTGATTACTGTAGAGTATTTCTGAGTACTCTATAATATTTCTGAGTACCGTAGAATACTTCCGAGTACTGTAGAATACTTCCGAGTACTGTAGAATATTTCTCAGTACTGTAGAGAAATACAGATATTGTAGACTTTGTAGACTTATATCTAGAGCTATATTTTTGCCATTATGTAGACAAGAGATAATGAAAATACACCCCCCACCCTCCTACCTAAGTTCACTGACCTGCTTTTTTATCATAAATAATATTATTTAATAATAAATCATTATGGCAAAACACTATTGGTGACTTTAATGCTTCCAAATGACTTTTTATTTCCGCTACTTCTAAAAATAATTTTTCTTGACTTGGTATTTTTGTACTGTATCTATAACATAGATATATTGTAGAATTATTGGATGAAATAGAAAGAGTCTGTTAGTTACTAAGTTATTCCTTTTTGAAAACCATTTTGTGCAGATAATAATTTTTCAATTTTTTGATAAAACTTTACAAAAACTTTTGTTTAATCACAGGTTGTGAATGAAAAAAATGATCTTTCTTTGTCATCAAATCTTTACGTACTATATTCTGCAAATCAAATCAAAATGTACAATTTTCCTGAAAGTGCTAATTTTGTTAATTCTAGAAATATAGAGATTGCTCCTCTCTTCATATAGCAAAGCGTCAATCTCAGGTGTTTCATGAGCATGCTCTAGTTCGGGCATGACACCCACCTCTACTACAATGGTCAAAATCATTATGTCATAAGTAGTAGACGTAGAAATAGATAATATATACCTGTCTTGTTGTTTAGGGTTGGCAAATGAGGATGGTAAAGCTTCTATATAATTATTCAGTTTATGATATAAATATGTTTTCTGTTCTTTATCAGTATTTTCTAGACTATGAATTTTTACCATTTCTTTTGTAACTTGCCTGAAATGTTGAACATTGCATGATTAATTTACAATCTCTTATGTTTTATCCACTTTATTTCATTACCATACCAGCTGATAAAGCTCAATTTAAGTCGTACAGTTCTGCTACAATTCAACAAAAATGTACCTTTAAATCTACTAGACTGTATTTTAATTTTATTCATATTTTAATGTATTTTAATATATGTAATACTATTGTGTTAAAAACACATGGTGAGAGCTATTTTTAAAACTTGCTCAATTTACAAATTAGGCCGAATAAATTCATCTTCAGTTTTTGAATTACTAATGTATGTATCTATATTCTTCAGAAATTGGTTAATCCATATTTGTAAGAGAGCTTACACATAAATAATATTGTTGTTGAAAAATAAAATAACCATATAAAAACATATAAAGCAGCGCTTACTCAACCGGGGTCCATGTGCAGGTCCTTTCGGGGTAAAATTTGGAAAATGTGGGAATTAGGGGTAAAATTGTACAAAAAGGTGGGAGGGGGAGAGAAATTCCTTCAGGGAATTTCTTAAATTGGACAGAAATAAAAATTTAGTCTTCACTGTTAAAAATTCATAGCATGAAGTCTACTGACAGGGAGCTATAGTATACAAATATCAGCTTTCTAGTTGTATGAATGACCAGTTATCAATGCCCTTCTGCAGTTATATGTTTCAGTTTCAGGTTTCCATACCTTAGGTTTTTAGCAATTTGATGTTGCTAGAGGTGTATGGCTGAGAAGTGGGGTGGTTGATCGTAAAGGTTCAGAAGTACTGATATAAAGGGAGATGTATGTATATGGAAGAATTTTATCAGATGCTGAATTAACTAGATATGAGTCTGATAGCACACATGAGTGAACATTCTTTAATAAATGTCAACAAGAAAACTTAAATGTCAAATAATCAATGTCACCATTATTAAAATTTTATGTAATAATGAGAATTATTTTTTTTTTGTTATAAAATGATAGATTAAAATTCTTGTTCCACCATTTTTTTTTGAAATATTTGTATATACATGTCATAATTCTCATGAATATTCTATTTCTGAAGCAAATTTATGGCTTTTTATATCGCTATTTTTTTAGAAATAAATATGCAATACTATTCTTGCTTTAATTGCAATTTGGAAGAGTATACTTTTGATATTTTACAATAAAATAATGCATAACTTATTCCACAAAACAATTAATGAATCCATTTCAAAACCATTTTCAAAATAACTTATAATTAATATAATACAAACCATTTTCAGAATAACTTAAATCACTGAATATGATGATACAAACCACTTTTAAAATAACTTATAATCAATATAATACAAACCATTTTCAAAATAACTTATATCACAATGTGTTGAATACAACTTTCAATATTACTTATATTCCAATAAAAGTTTTCACTGAACATATCTCAAAATAACTTATAATATATCACAATGTGATGATATTTCAATGAACCATTTTCAATATAACTTGTATCACAATTCACAATAAGATAATACAAACCATTTTCAAAATAACTTATATCAGTTTTAATATGATATTTCAATAGTCCATTTTTATAAGTAGAATATAATCAATATATAGGTTGAATATAACAATATTTATTAAACTGGTATCTTTATGTTGATGTTGTATATTTACATACTAGTATACAAACAAACACAAATTGATACTTCGTTGACACAGGGTTATACTAATACCTCAATCATAACTCAAGTTCACAAACCAAAGGTCAAAACTCAGCTATTGAAAAAATGAAATGGAGTTTTACTTTCCTACTACTGACTATGCAAAACAGAAAATGACATCAGACAGTGACATTAATCAATTATTTTTTTTTAATTCAACTGTTCAAGGGACAGGTTTGCCATCTATTTGACCAATTGCACTTTAGTCTCTGAAACAGAATAAATCAGTAATAGTGTTCACAGCTCACCATCAAAATTTTAGCCTTCAATTTCATGTGTCCAGAATTATTTTGAGACTCTGCCATACATAGAAAAAGACATATTGAAAAAGGAAGTGAAATTACTAATTTCAAGTTTTTTGAAGGAATAATGTAAATATCGTACATTTCTAGTACTTCTGAAGACCATTTACATATATTCAAGAGTCAAATCAACCCCGAAACGGCAAACCTGTCCCTATTAGTGATCTATAACTTTAATGTAGCTCCAAATGAGGCAAACAGCAAAAATGGAAAAAAAAGCTTTAAAGAAATATTTGATAATGTGCAAGTATAAAATGCACCCCAGAAACAAATATGTTGATAAAAAAGAAAACGGCCTACCTGTATATTTTTTCCTCTGTGACCATATCTAAACCTAAAGTTTGACCTTTAACAAAACCATAAGCCATGCCATTATTAAATGCACAATATAATGGGGGTGAACTTCCTGTGGCAAATAATTTAACAAATGTTTGTCTTTCTGCATCTCGATCAATGATTAATTCTGTTTTTTCTCCAAAAATTCGGAACATAACCACATCTTCAGGATCATTTAATAAACTCACGCCAAATAATTTGTTGGTTATTCCATCGTTAAAATGCTGTTAAAAAATCAAAAAGCTTATTAGGCTAATACTACATATGGCATAATAGTAAAAAAAATTTAGGGTAACATGGGGGAGTACGTCCCATAGGGCAAGATGTCTCCTTAGTCATCAGATGGCGTTTTTATCTGTTCTCGTTAGTCACATAATCTCCACCAACATCCAACCATGTTTGTAGCTAATTTGATGGCCTGGTGAAATTCTTAAAGATAATAAAAGGTTTGTATCAGTTTTCATCATATTTGGAGTGTAGGTCGTAATTATTTCAATTTTATTCGAAAAACAATATTTATATCTAGTGAGACATTTCAGCATTCAGCCTTTTAACATTTCTTGATCACCTGTTTACAAAACAGTTAGGGCTTTGTGGCATGTCGACCTCTTATTATCGAGCGAGACGCACTTACGGTGTTGACAGAAAGAAAAAAAGTATAATGTTGAGTCATGAACATTTGTTGATCTTATCCTTAAAAATAAGGCTGTGGGACATGTTGCTCTCTTGATTTCAGCGGGGTGAGACACACTTAGGGTGTTGACAGATGCTCTTTCATATTTAAAATAAGTAAAGTGGTTGCTATATAAAGTCATTAACCTATCTAATCTAGAATGATAATTTTATTTATCACGATCCATACAATATCATTCAACACAATTTCAATTTTCTTCAAAAAAGAGTTCACAGGGGGTGTGTATGTTACCAGAAACATGCATGTATAATCTTAGCTTACTTGAGCCTACCTATTATTGGCCTATTTCTGATTAACAGCATTTATGGTATCATCATCTGCTTAAAGATCATTGCTGGCTTACACAAATACAGCAAACGACAATATTACAAAAACTATCTAAATTTCATAAATCCAAAATTTAGATAATTACCAACAGATAGATAGATGAATATATGTTAAATTCCTACACAACATTTAACCATCATCAAACTCTCCTTTCTTCTTTATCATTTACTAAGATGTCCTTAATAAACAGGTTCAACTGTATCAAATCGAAAAATGCGAAATTAAGATAGAGTTTGGTTCTAAAATAATAGACCCACCTTAATTTTAATGTTATCCAAATCCCAATCGGGTCTCACAATTCTCAGGACTTTTTTAGCATCTTCCTGTTCGTTTGACAAATCAATTGTCAAGTCCAGAACGTAATAACCATCATTGTGTACTCGAGCCATTCTATCGAGGGTCGTAACGCTTAATACACAGTTCACATTATGAGATTCATTGATAGAGTTATTTATATACCGAGTTACTTGACCGTCTAATATCAATCTTGATAACCAAGTCTAGACTGTATTGATTATCCAGACGGTTTATACTTGTATTTAAAGGTGCAGTGCAGTCACTATCAACCCAATCCAACTACCAACTACTACGACTACCAACAACTACCTAGTTTGCGATATCAGCATCCGCTGGAAGCGAACGTTAACTTGTCATCTACCTACCTACCTCAGTATCAACCAACCATCAGTATAAACAACAAGAATGACCATGATCAAAACGAGTTTGGAAGAATGAAGAAGATCGAGTAACTCCCGACACACCACCCAGGGCCGAGTTTCAGCGCCATGTCATTCCACCCGACCAGATCTTACGAAGTATCAACAACCAAACCGACAACACAGCATCATCCAATTTGAACCAACCCAACTACCAACTACTACGACTACCAACAACTACCTAGTTTGCGGTATCAGCAACCGCTGGATTCGAACGCTAACTTGTGATTTACCACCTTGACGCCTGCACGAACCCCTTGAGGCCAGAAATTCGGTCAATCTCAGATATTTCGGCGCCCGGGGGGTTGGCTGTGACCCCTAAATACGCTACTAGTATAGTAAGACAGAAAAAGGCAATGTAAAATTTGATTTTGATTTTAAGCTTAGTCTATGTAGCCTACATAGCCCAATCCCATCATTAGAGTTCATTCCATTAGATTTCCAGTTTTCAGAATAAAAGTCACTTGTTCGTCTGCGCTACCATACCATGATAGCATCTTCAACCAAAGTGAGTTTATTCGGGACCTGGCCTATTCAATTCAAAACCGGGGTTTTCGCGGGGATCAAAGTCATTCCTAACTTAGTGCTGTAACAGGTACCATAGGTGCAAATTCACAGATTGTACTAACATTATTTTGCTAAATATATGCGATGTATAACGTAATACATCACCTTGCAAACGTGCTATAGTAATAATCATTTTATATGTAAGATTAAGAAGGTTATTTTGATCTATTCTATGCAGAAATATACAATACCTTGATTTTTCATAAATTTATTAGAATATTAATAACCATTCTGTCAAAATGGTACTTTAAAATCGACGCCCATATAATAAACTGTATTGTGTCTATATACCTGCGAATACAGTATACCCAGCCATTTTTAATAAAAGGAATATATTGGCTTGTAGTTGTAACAGGTGTTTAAATCTACATATTTATCAATAAAATTTCTATACTATTCTCAATTTACGTACACAGTTTTAATTGGCATATATATGACTCATTACTGCAAAATATTTATATTTTCCCTAAATCTGAAGAATTGATAATTTAGTTTCTATTCAGTATCGTGGATATAGCCTATAGTTTTTGTGGATAAAATGGATTAAAATTCCCACAATTTTGTGATAAGGAATAATTTCTATAGTAAAGTGGGTTAAACATCTGTTTGACATATATTTCTATGGATATTTCATGAACTTTTAGTCCACTGCCATTTTGTTGTTTATTTGTATGTTTCTGAATCATAAGAGACAGTAGCATAAATCGGACATTTTATTTTATGTAAATTGTTAATGTTTGGAAAATGAATAGACTCGATGCCATAATTGATAAATATTTTGAAGAAGGCTTGTTAACATTGACAGGTAAATGTTAATAAAAATTATGGTCTGAAATGAAGTTATTTTCTCGCTTCAGATGTCTTCGATCATGCCGTCATTCTATCTGTATTTCTTTGCCTGTTCGCACCGTCTGTAATCTTAAATGAGCCTGTGTAATATTTTCTTCTGTGTGTTTCTTTAATGATCTGTAAAATCCTTATAATGTATAACGTTTCGCTATGTAGTATTATGTAATACCTAAAGCCTAGGTATAACTCGTAGTATGTCTATATTTCTTTAGCATTTGTTATATTCATATCTTTAGATATATATTTACCCATGAAATATCCCTTTTTATATAAATGTAATATCTAAAGAGCTTCGAAATATTTTTTATATTCCCTATATCTTTTAACCATGATATTACGACTGTACGAACGATACTAATTTTAAACACTCGGCCTCACAGATAACATACCATAAACTGAAAAGTAAGAATGTGTACTGGATTCGTTGCTTTCATATACAATATAGTTGGTACCTATATTTAATTATTCAACGTTCTGTTTAAGGTGCAAGAGATAAATATGGATACCACATCATCACATTACCTGCTCATCATCTGGTGTCCATGGAAACGATGGATGCCAGGTATTTTGTCGCAGTCCTTCACAGATATATTTTGTGGGAACATTTGGTGTTTCAAAACAATCCAGGAATTGCAGTGCTGCTAAATTTAAAGAACACGAGAAAATCAGTTATACAGATTGTTGCAGATGCATTGACCATCTTAGAGGTATGCAACAATTTTCGTACGATTCACACTTGATTTAAAACGGTTCCTTAGTCCCCAGTCTTTCGTTTAGAGCCTACTTTACCGAATTTGGTATAAATTTCATAAATCAATTGATTTTCAGTCCAAGAAAAAAACTATCATTCAAATGGTATACATAGTTAAACCAGATACAAGAGTAAAGTCGCATTTACTGAAGAAATTGCTTGGTATTAAACCACCACAAAGATTGGACAACCCACGACAATTTCAGGTAAGTGATTGACAATAGGAGGGATATAACTAAGTTTTCTGTAGATTCAGGAACTTTCAACCAAATATAATTGTAGACGATACATACGTAGAATTTTCATTCTTAGAAGTGATATTTTCACATTTTATCATACATATATTCAGTTTGATGGTCGATGGGCTCTTTCAATAAACTCTCTGTTCAAAATGACTAAGAAATGCAATAACAAGTAACTAATGCGGTATATAGCAATTTTAGCCTTCAACCCTTGTCAATAAATAGATGAAAGAACATCTAAGAATCGCATCCATGCTTGGCGTCCTCATAGAAATATTTTCTTTGTAGATCCAAATGGTAAAGACATTGGAATTATTGAGAAATTATATAGAACCTGGTCAATTAACTAGAGATTACGGTGGAATGTTATACCATGATCACCAAGCTTGGCTCAAATTCTACAAGGTAAGATTTCTTGATAAAGTCCCTTTAACTACCCAAGGAAAGACAACTCATAAATTGTTGCACTACGAATATAAAATAACGGAATATTTCGTTCCATAGATAGTCCTAGATGTCAGTCTCGTTATAAAGTAGCACTTTTTGCATAAATAGATCAAAAAATTATCCAGGATACTACTAACTAGCAGTTGGATACGAGAAAATCATTTCTTTAAAGCCCTTTGATGTGTCAAGGGACATAACTCCTCTTGCAATGATAAAATAAAATTTATCAAAATAAAATATTTTACAGAAAACCGAACCATGTCTGAATTCTGCTAAGAAATTAATGGTACAGCTGCCTGGTATCAAAGAGAAGGTTGAACTATGGGAAGAATATGCCAGCTCAGATCATAGTGTTGATCAACTTCATCAAGTATTAGATGATATCCCCCAACAGTTTGAAACACTTTTAAAGTAAGAATCACAAAATTTCATTTTGCAAATTGCAATAGGAGCTAATATGGGGTAGTTTTAATGGAGGACAACTTTAGCCTATACATAACGAAGATGGCAAATATTGAAAGGAAACAAGCCTTATGAACTACATTTCTTCAAACATCTAGTTTTCCTAGATAGTGTCCTCTCTCTGTAGATGTGCTTGACACAATGATAGTATTCTGTGGTCAGAATATCAGACTAAAAATGAAAAAGCTGGAAAATGCAATACTGTATCAATTTAAAGTTTAAATTATGAAATACTTTTTCACCAAATTATATTAATGAGTTTTGATTTCAGAGAGTGTAATTTTGAGAGTGTGTTAGAAGATTGTAAGCAGTTATTACATGTCCTAGAAACAACAGATAATGATATAAACAATGCATTAATATCACCAGTTATTGTTACAATACGTAAATATTACCAAGATTTAACTCAATTTCATCAGGATTTGGTACTCTTGTATAAAACTGCTGAAACCAAGATATCAGCTACTTTCCACCTTCTGAAATGTCATGAAAAAGCTAATAAGGTAAGTAACAAACCAGCTATTTTGATGCAATGATTGTTGTCTCTTTAAAATGTCTCAAACTATAACAATATTTCTACCTGTTTTACTATTTCTATTTGGAACTGTTGAAAACGTATTCATTTGATATTCAAACAGGCCAATGAATTTAGTCTTTTTATGGTTTGTTTTGTAAATACGACAACAATCATGCAGGAAATATATGAATAAAGGCAACACCTCTTGATTGGTCATATAAAGCTATTTGGATAAAGTAAAATAGTTGCAGACAGTTTTATGGTAATCTTATTTTGTACATGATTGTAAATATATAGTTAATTTTCAGATTGTTAAAATTATAAAAGAAGAATATGAGAGCCAACTTTTAGAACATCCTGCTGTTGGTTTGTCTTTAAGTCAAGCTGAATTATATAGAAATCATTTTACATCATCAATATATCAACCATGTAAGGTGAGTGACTATATTGCAGCTTCACCAAGAAAAGATATCACACAAAGTAACTTTCACACTGATCAAGACCCTGTCATTGCTGATGATTATTATGAATCATTTTTCTTGCTGATTGTTAAAAGGTCTTTTTGCTTGATTGTTTTAACATAATTACATTTTTCATTGCTGATGATTATTATTAATTCGTTCATTCCTCATGATTGTTATTAATTTGTTCATTCGTCATTGCTGATGATTATTATTAATTTGTTCATTCCTCATGATTGTTATTAATGTGTTTATTCGTCATTGCTGATGATTATTATTAATTTGTTCATTCCTCATGATTGTTATTAATTTGTTCATTCGTCATTGCTGATGATTATTATTAATTTGTTCATTCCTCATGATTGTTATTAATGTGTTTATTCGTCATTGCTGATGATTATTATTAATTTGTTCATTCCTCATGATTGTTATTAATTTGTTCATTCGTCATTGCTGATGATGATCATTAATTTTTTTATTCTTCATTGCTGATAATTGTTATCAATTATTTTATTCATCATTGCTGATGACTGATGATACTAATAATTAGATATTTTGTTATTGTGCTTGATGTTTATGACTTTTTGTCATTGCTGATTTTTGTTAAACATTCTACTTGTCATTGCTGATTGATTTTTATCAAAAACAGAAATAACCATAAAGATAACATATTAAAATGACTCATTCATTACAAGGTCACCAAACTTTCACTCTCTGATATTCTATTTATCATTTGTTATTTGTTTTGATAATGATTATTTTGAAATATATTGTAGAATCTAATCAGTGAAGCAACTGATATTTTAGAAGAATTAAAGAAAGTGGTTACAAAAAGTGAATTAAGAACAAGTATTACTAGTCAGCTGACAGCTACCATAGAACCTTTTACATTAAAATTACATACAGTTCATGAGAGTTACATACAATTACATATCTTCCATACTTTACTGACCAAGGTAATTTGGTTTCAAAATTCACATATCCCTAAACTCTAAGATACATAAGAAGAAAAAACTTTGTATCAATAGAATATTTGCAATAAAAACCTGTGAAAACACTGTCAATTGATCTTCCAAGACACAGATACAACAAGAAAAGAAATCAATGATGTTGAAATACAGTTTTTATATTTAGTTAACAAGAGTCACTTTTCAGAAAGCTTACTTTGGTTATAGGCAGCTTAAAGTAAATCAAACTTCTGCTATTGTTACAAATATTATAAAGTCTTCATGGTTTGTTTCAGTTTGGTAAATGGTATAAAAAGGTGCTCAAGTTTTTGCCAGAATATTTGAGAAAGCAGACGGAAAATGAATCTCAAGATAAAATTATCAATATGCCTGATGAATGGAATTATACAGTTGATACATTTTTATCTAAACACCCACCACCTAGAGAGGAACATATAGTTAAAATAGACCATGATATGCCTTCCTTATTACCAAAACAACTAAAACAACAAGCACATTGTTTGGCCATTCGGTAAGTATTGAAAATTTTGTAAAAAGAATGTTTTCCATATTAACAGCATACATCTATCAGAAAAATATTTGTTTGTTGTAAAGTGAAATAGGAATATAACTCATGAAAAGCAAAGGTTTAGGTCCTAAGCAAGTGTAAGAAAATTATAATTCTCATATTGTGTTTGATGCTTGATTTCAGCACCAAATTGTTGCAGAGATTATTAACTAGCAGACGTCTTCCTGTAAAACTCATCAAGGCTGCTATGACATGGAAAGATGAGCTTCAACCACCAGTAATACCCCTTAAACTGAAACCACAAATCAAAATCAGCAGTCCATCATCTGCATCTTCAAATGAGGAGGAAGAAAAACAAAGATTTAAGCTCAGATCACCAAGACGAAAATCAGTACAAAATGTTTCAGAGAATATGAAGCATGATTTAAGCATTGAAAAAGAATCAAAAGTCAAACCAGATCTGAAAATAGAATCTCCAAAACCAGTAGAAGGAAGTAAAGAAAGATTCATACGCCTGACTTTTACTCCTAAAGATTTTGAAGAAGAAGTTAATGCCAGACAGAGGTTTTCTTTCAGTGATGTTGTAAAGGATACAACTGGTTCAGAATCAGGAATTGAAGTGGTTGATCCTGAAGATCCTTATGACACTATAATAGATAAAATATGCGAAGTCTCTAATAGTCCTATATCTAGCGATCTCAAACTCAAATATGTAACCAACTTATTAAGATGTAGTCTTCGAGATGCTGAACTCCAAAAACCAAGGTATCAGAAAAATACCAGAAGAGCCAGACGTCATTCTAAATTAAAATCAGCTTATGGAAAATCTGTGGGAAATTTGCTAGATATGGAAAGACCTAAAATTCACGAACCAAAAATGTCTTCCTTCCATTCTTTAAGGAACTTAAGCGAGATTGGTGTTGACAATGAAGTGCATCCCTCAGGCTCTGAACTGTTTCTGTCATCTTTAAGACCAACTAGTTCATTACATGATTTATACTCGGAAGTCGAAAGATCGCCAGGAGTAGTTGGGTTACCAGAGGCAACTGGAATGTCTAAGTGGTATCATGGATATGAAAGAAAAGCTAACCAGAAGCCTCTGGAAGAAGATTGTTATTCTGAAAGACTTCAAAATGATATAAGAAGATTGCAGCGATGTCACTCAGATAGGTCAGCGTTTTTAAATTTCTTCCCTCTGAATGATCTTTTCATAGATGTTGATATCTAAACAGAAAGGTTATACATACAATTATCTCAACTTTTCAATTTGGAAAGTTTTTATCCATATTTTATGTTGTAGAATGGAAGAAGAGAGTATTTTGGAGAAAGATAAACAAAGACTAGATGAAATAGTTATGGAAGCTGAACTATATAAACAAGATAGAGTAGAAAATAGTCTCAGAAGATCACATGATATTTTACAGGTAGACAGAATTTGATAATATTGATATTGTCAACATAGTTCAACATTGTGATTCACATATGGCTTGATATGTCTGAAAATAAAGTTGGTCTGAAAGTTGGTAAAAGAGAGAAAGAGAAACATATCAGTATAATACATCACAGTTACAAGAATAAGCGTCATTACTTATATGTAACATATATTCAGATCTATCTGCATTATGAAAAGATTCATACTTTGAGTAATACAGAGAGTAAAATGGACACCATGTTCTCTGCTTTTGTGGATGTCCATTTCATGTATGTGGATGTTTGAAACAAGAAAGCAACTATTATTCTTAACTATAGCATAGATGGCATATGGAAGTTGGACATACAAATAAAATTCATAAACCATAGAGTTTCTAAATACTGCTTATTGTAGACAAAATTCCTTTTCATCCCTGTAAACTTATTTTAGAATGAAGAAATGAGATTAAATGAAGATATGAGCAATTCACCAACTTGGATAAGAAATTATGAAGACTTAGCATCAGGCCATGCAGCAGACTATCGACATCCTAAATCTGATTTAGGTTATGATAGTGTTTCCAGTCCAAGAACATTCAGTCGTATGACCGGATCATCCAGACCTATTCTTAGCAGTAAAACATCTTATGAAGATCCTGACTACCATTATGAAACTAAACACAAAGGTTTGAGAAATTCTGGACATGCTTTGTCAACTCCCACACAACAAACTTCCAAGGCAAGTCAAGCATTGGGTAGTATTTTGCCTAGATTTAACAGTACTGACGAAATAGATGAGTTCTGTGTTCAGCTGAAGTCTAAAAGCTTATATAATAAGACTGTAGCAGAGGTACATCAAAGTGATTTATGCCATAACCAGCCTTCAACAAGTCAATACAGAGAAGATGACAACTTTTTAGATGACACAGATTTTTATTAATTTTGTTATATACCGGAAATGCCTTTTTTGTTCTTCTAAAATCCTCAATATGATTACAATCTGTAAATGTGGATGGTTTGTATAGTGTTTTTTCGTGCAAACCATGATCTGACGAAATCAATATGAGCCTCCTGTTAATATTTAACCAATCAAATGCTCTCTTCAATAAAAGATTTTCTTACTATCATGTGATTGATGATTGGATTTTTATTGTTTAACATTGAATTGTACCATCTGACCACTTTTATATGTCCACTTTATTTCAATTTCACAATATTGTTATGTTATATTGTATAAGATTATATCTATTTATAAAATAAAGATTATGTATCATCTGTACATCTGAAATATAGTACCAGGCCCATGGATAATACTGCCAATGTAAGAGATTGATGATACATCAAGGAGATAATCTCTTACAAACAACAATTGCTATTAAGTATGATACTTATTAAACCAATTGCATTTTCATTTACCAATTCAATTAAAATTTAGTATCTATACAAAGCTGAATGATTAATCATATCATCAATACATGGTAGATATTCTACAATGTCCCTGTGCTTCACACATGCCGATATCCTATTTGTTTATCATGTCCTAGGAACAGAAAGGGCCAGATGTAAACAGGGATACAATGATACATATGATTACAAAAGGTTATGACGATAAATAAATAAATATTTAATAATAAATACAATTTGTATTCTTGCACAAACCATAGTAAACATATAAATAGTAGTAGCGAATCACTTTCAAAGGTGATATAGCATGTCATTGCAGAAAATTAATTCAATTATTAATATTATGCGGTCTCTAATACAGACACAATTTTAACCAAATTGCATTTGTGATAGTGACATCATGATCATGTCAAATTATTCGGTGCAAAAAGGTTCTTATGAGTCCCAAATGTACATACAAATACCAGAAAACTTCTTTTGGATGCCTTAAAATACGTAAACTTAAAATAGCTAATTTATCTGTGAGACGTTCTCTTCTTGCCTCCACCCCAACCAATACTTTTCTCCAACTCAGGTTTTCTCCATGACATCTTTTCTTTTAATTTAATACTTGGTGCAGATGTTGTTTTGATTGGAGGTAAAACAGAGGGTTTGCCTAAAAAATACATGAAATCCAAAATACTTTAGATATCTTGTCATCTATACAGACACAATAAGTGAGATATCCTGTAATCTGTAAATCCAAATACATGTAATTCAGATATCTTATCATCTGTAAATCCACAATAATTTAGATATCCTGTCATCTATACAGTCACAATAAGTGAGATATCTTGTCATCTGTAAATCGAAATAATTCAGATATTTTGTCATCTGTAAATCCACAATAATTTAGATATCCTGTCATCTATACAGTCACAATAAGTGAGATATCATATCATCTGTAAATCCATACATTAAATATCTTGTCATCTGCTGTAAGACAAACATGCACCAAAAATAGGAATGGGAAGGTTTTATGATCTTACCCCAGTAGCTATGTTGTTGTTGATCACCAAAAGAATGTCTTCTGTTCTGTAGACTAACACTTCCAGGACTTTGCTAAAATAAATACGTGAAAATTCAATAAACCAACACATGAACACTAATGGATTTCTCTTACAGGAATATAGACCCTACTTTTTAGTATCTTTAGAACATGTGATTGAACAGCTTAAGAGAATGAGTATTAAAAAAGAACTCACATGACTAATTGTCGATATAAATTTTACTATTCTTTGTCTTTAAAAAATACGCAGTCAGTGGCTAAATTCTTACTTACCATACTCTTCCATCTACCTTCATATTCTGTTTTATTTATATTACCAGTTGATCCAAATCCACTGCCACCATTTAATCTGTAATTAACAAATGTGTATTGAAAAATTCAAAAGTACCATGTCACCAAACCAATCAAAACTGAAAGTAATGAAGTTCACTTACCCTAATAGTAATTATCACAATAATTATAAAGTCACTGTTCAAATAGTGCTCAAATACAATTTTAGAGCGTTATAACTTATTTTTATATAAATTTATTATTACCTGAGCTCTTTCTAAAAGTGCAACATGACAGTATTTGTTACATTTTCATACAAATTGATCTACATCATATTTTAATATTACTGGATGTTTTTCCTTTGATTAGACATCTTCATCAAGTCCCTAACATTATTATCCAGTCTGTAGCCACAAGAATTGACAACTTAACTTTACTACAATTTTGATGAAGGAAGGTAATGAGATGCAAGAATTGTAAGTCACCAAACAGACAAGTTGCCCAATGACATGGCTACTACCTTCTACTGATTCAACTTACTGTGAATGTACTCTTGGGGTAGGTGATGAAATATCATGATGACCAACTTGTGTATGTAACCATTCATATGTTCTACTAACTCTATTTCTATTCTCTGCAGATTTAGCTCTCTCCTGTTGATGTATCTCTTCTAATTTCGCTATATAAAACAAAGATTATGATCAATGATAAGCTTATAATAAATTTTCAAACCTTATCAAAGGTTCACTATTTATTTTATAGACTGATAAATCTATCTATATTGTTTTTAAAAATCTAACAACCGGTTCATTATATGTTTTTATCCAATTGTAGACAAAACATAGCTGAAATCGAAGTTTATCAGTTAAGTAATTGTATACCTTCTTCAAAAAGTCAAATAATATATTCCGTTTTTGCTGCACGGCACTTTGTAATTTGAGTTATTCCAGAGGTTGACATATCAAAAAACACCAAGTACACAAAGAAAGTTCATAAAACAGGTAACAAATTTTAAGAAAGCTTCATAAAGAATCATTACGTTCAGAATAACAATCCCATTTAACTAACCTTGAAAATATTCTTTTCGTGGTAAAATATGTCTGACAGGGGGAGTAACTGGATTCAATACAGCTGTTTCTTCTAATTTACGGAACAGTGCTAATCTTTGTTTTGGATCTAAAATAAAACAAGAAAATCTCCATGGCTTCAACTTTTGAGATACAAGATGAAGATGATTATTGATATATCCAAAATAAGAAAAATATACATAATTTCAGTCAAACTCAAGTGGAACAAATCAGATTAATCATCCAACACATAGTTGGGGCTCTGGTCGCTTTTTGCATTTTTTATGTAATCATATATAACATCATATGAATGTATTTATTTCAAAGAGACGTCTAATGTTGTTACCAAGTTTTCCCAGTTTCTTTTTTCTTTGTGCATTGTATTTCATCTTTTTGGCTCTTTGTAACATCAGTTCAGCTGTTCTAGAATCTTTAAAACCCCTGAAAAAATAAACAACACAGTGTGAGAAGACATAATGCTTAGAAACTGACTCTGAAATTAATCTTACAAATTGTACCATTTGAAAAAACATCACATTTACAACAAACAGTAATTGCAACATTTGAGTAATTGGGACTATTATCTTCCTATGACATACATTCAATCTGGACATTTCCAGATCCAATAGGAAAATTATCCATTAAGATTAAATTACCTGTATTTAAGAATAAAACATGACTACATTAACTTCAATGGTGCTCCACAGAAGAACATAATAACAAAGAAACCAGTGGGGGTCATGATTCAAAATTAACTATGGATAAACCTTGTGTTACTATGTAAAACCAAATTCATGCTATATCTTACCATTCTTCTGATAATTTTTCACTTTTCTTGGATAAATGAGACTCAGCATGACTTCTGTTAGTATGTAAGATGGTAGAGTTCAGTGAGGAGGGTGGCCTAGGTTGTCTACCTTTGTGGATATCTGACAATGGTGAATCCATATTTCTCCAGGCATGTTTTGGTTGTGGTGGAGAGGTTTCCAGTTCTAATGATGGAATAGGCGGTAAACTTCTCTTGCCTGATGGTGGCTTACCCAAAATTGCATGCCTACAAAAGATGTGCCATGCAATAAAAAAATAAGTTTTATCAACAAAGAATCCAATGACAGTATTGATTGCAAAAAAATAGGCAGTTGGCTGCTATGATTACTTATTGCTTGCTTTCTGTTTGACTTGATGATCTTATTTTATGAGTTCTAATGAAAATATGTGTGTAAGATTTACCGCCTTTTCATAAATATAGCTTGCATTGCATGAAAAGAAACTGATCTGCCCAAATAATCATGTGTTTACCTTTGTGGAAATTGAGGAGTGTCTGCTGGTCGCCAATCCATGTCAAAATTATCCTGAAAAAATTAAAAATGGGAACAAAATAATTGTGTCAACCTTTTACAGTCATTACTATAAATGTCACAATTTTAGTCAATAATTGGAATCTTTTAATAGCCATCAAATAAGCTGTTTCTCTGTAAAAAGGAAATAACATATGACAAGTATCTGGATTGCTGAATCCTTTTTTCCAGCAGACATCTAACTTGGCCAGTTTTTTTTTAGCAGTTTTGAAATTGATTCATAACGTTATCAAGGAACTAGCATTATTACCTCATCAAAATTAAATTCATTCATATCAAAATCAGGTAAATCTTCCATATCCTCTTCTGGTTGATGTTGAGCATATTCTAATGCTAAAAATAACCTACATCTTAATCTGTAACCTCTCCATAATGCCTAAAATAAAACATAATTTCTTTATGCATTGAACACAAATCTACAGGTTGTGGTTGTCACTATGAATTCCCTATATGTTTATTCATTAACTTCAGCTGGAGTAATCTTCCTTTGTCAAATAATCTTATTTGGAGTTTTGTTTATCAGCAAAGTCAACCATTTCAATATCCCTTTCATTAGTCCAACATTATGATGATTTTGTTGAAAATCATTACCTGTATCAATGTTGCTCCTCTATGATATTCCTCAGGATAGTCGTCTGCTTGCTGTCTCTTCCAAACATCAAGTAAGTTACGTCTGACAATGTACCCTCTCCAAGCAGCCTGGATTATAATGGCTGCCATCCAAATTCTAGCTCCTTCTTCTTCATCAATACTCATAGAATCACTTACTCTTATGGAACTATTTACTGATGTAGTAGACCTCTGGACAGCTTTCTCAAAGAGGTCCTTTGGATTACTGGAAACTACTGGTGCCTTTTGGACAGCTTGGTTAAATAAATCTTTTGGATTTGTAATGGTTGTAGCATTCTTGACTCCTTGTTCAAACAAATCTTTAGGATTCGAGGGCATTTGTGTGGATTTCTGGACAGCTCCATCAAACAAGTCCTTTGGATTTGAAGAAGGGACCTTTGATGTCAATGAATCACCAGTACTGCTTTGTAAAGCCTTTTCGAACATGTCCTTTGGATTAGAAGATTTAATGCGAGGAGTGTGTGATTGACTGGATTTTGCTTTTTGTGGAGGAGTTGGAAGGTTGATATCACCATATTCATGAGCATAACGGAACTCAACAGCTGTCTGCATGGATTTATCACAATATGTATAGTAGCATTGACATAGTTCACTTTGTTTGGCTGGACCACTTGATTTTAGTTTCCTGATGGACAAGAAAAAAAATAAACAATGTATTATGACATGATATTTGAAAGAAAACAAAAAATATCTTTAAAAAGATTTGAACGTCTGAAGTCTGAAGGACTTCGAATTGGTCATTGATAAATTTGGTCAATCTTCAATAAGGAATTTAAATTTGGTCTATCCATTTAGATCTGTAGGGGGAGTAAACCTTGTTTTATGACTCTCATTTGGTCATAAATTTTTCAAAAAGCATTCTGCTTTTCTCTAAAAAAAAAAAACAGAATCAATTTAGGTTCAGAAGTATCGGTCTGCTATCAAAAATTTTAAAGAACAATACTCACTAATGAACATACATAGAATAGAGAGATTCTATACAAAAAACAACTTACTTGCTACATGTTGTAAACTCTTCATATAAATTATTAGATATTGTGGCTTGATAACAACACATAGTCTCTATAGCACTCACAGGTTTATAAACAGAGTTATCTGCACTTGATATTGCCTCATTATCAACTTTACACAATCTGGGAAATGACTTCTTTAATATACCTCTGAAAATCACAGCAAATCAATAACATTAAACAGGAACCAGAATACTTCCTCTTTTAACGCCAAGAAAGCCAAACACCAGCGTTTAGCCCAAAATTTTCTTGTCATATTGAAGATGCATCTGTCCCAAGCCCCCTTGCCCTTATTCTATGGCACCATTGACTGTGATGTTACAAGACCTAAATGTTTTTAATAATAATTTCAAATGAAGGGAAGACACATCAAAATGATTTCCAAAATATCAAGAGCAATTGTGGTCAAATGATTTAAATTGCAACATAAAACTAAACGTAATTTTGCAATAACTTGTAAACACCATAAACACTTGATCAAGAATGCCAGGTTTTGAAGTTGTGTGAACCACAAAAGATAAACATAGTGTCTGTTCTTACCTTTTATTATTCTCATCAAATGCTGGATTTCCTTCAACTACTATATGTTTTAATTGCTTACAATTACTAAAACTTTTATTAATGCTTTCAGGATCTATAATTAAAAACAATAGAAAATATAGAAATATTGTTAATTTTGAAAATAAACCACACTTTTATTATAAAGATAACTATTAAAAACAACAATACAAATAAGGAATACTTGCCTATTATTTGGTTGTTACTTAAAAACAATGAATTTAGAAGAAACAAGTTATCTAGTTTTGGTAAGTCTTCAATGCTTGAAAGAAAATGCAAAATAAATGTACAAAGTTGAACAGATAATGAAGCAGTTATCAATTTTTGTGATAGTAGAGAAAAACAAATGATGACTATGTATTTCATTAACTTTTGATTCAAATATTTATTGGTATTACTTTTTATAACATATATAAAACATAAATTAGGATATCTAAATTAATGTTCACTGTACCTGTTTTGATCTAGATGTACTATTTGTAATAATGGTAACCATAATGCTGATAATCTTGATAAATCAGATATACTATTATCAGATAAATCAATATCATCTAATAATACACAGTTTGATAAATCAGGAATCTAAAATTATATATAATAATGTAATGATGCATTTGGACCCAAGATTTGTTTGAAGGTATCTTTCTCGACGATTATCTCAGCTATTGGCCTTTGGATGTTTTAAATACAGTAGAAACACGATAAGATACAATAAGATATCTCTTAATATATGTACCATAATCAAGATAAAGTAATACTGACAGTGGTAAATGAAGCCGACGAACAATGTACCACAATCAAGATCAAGATAAAGTAAAGCTGATAGTGGTAAGTGATGTCTACACACAATGTACCAAATAAAGATAAAGTATTACTGACAGTGGTAAATGAAGCCGACACACAATGGACACACAATGTACCATAATCAAGATTAAGATAAAGTAATATTGATAGGTCAGTGCTTTCATGAGACTATGTTCTCATCACCATCTAACACTGATAGTGGTAAATGATATTAACACACAATGTACCATAATAAAGATAAAGTAATACTGACAGTGGTAATTGATGTTAATAAGCAATGTACCATAGTAAAGATGAAGTAATACTGACAGTGGTAAATGAAGCTGACACACAATGTACCATAATCAAGATCAAGATAAAGTAATACCTGTTGTATGTTATTAGAACTAGCATGTAGTTTTTGTAATAAACAGAGTTGTTTGATATCTTCTATAAACTGTATATGATTATTAGAGATATTCAGTATCTGTAATGTCGGTATATCATTTAAGCCCTTCGTATTTAACAGTTGATTATTATTCAGTAATAATGTATGTAATCTTCTTAATGGTGATAAGCCACCTGAAAATATACAGTAAGAAACAAAATCAATTTGCCTTTGATAATTGATAAACTTAAATATTCTGCCTACAAATTTGCAGGGAGCCGAGGGGTCGCGGTGAGTTTTTTTGCGTATCGAAAGTTCAGGGTTCAATCCTGGTCTAGATAATACTTTCAGATTTTTCAACTCGGTGTGCTCCTGTCAGTGATGTGCTACAGGCTGTGCATGTAAAAGATATCACATCAGTTGGAAATCTAATAATAGTAGGCTAAGGCTATGGTTGTGCCAAAGTTTACCTCATTGCATAGCATTGCCCATCCTCATCAGAAAATCAGCTTACAAAAATAGGACAATTTTTTGTTATTTCATTTACATTTGCAATTGCTGAGTTTTACAAATTTCATACGCCTTCAAAAAGAATACCAACCTATTCTGTTGATGTTATTATGAGATAAATCTAAATATCTGATATTCATACAGCCATCTAAACCATGAATAGTTGATATCTTATTATGGGATAGATTTACAACTTGTAACTTTCCTAATTCTTTAATATCAACATATTCTATCATATTATCCTAAAATATATAATAATTTAACAAACTGATTTTGCCAACAGTATTTGTGGTATTGTCAAACAAATCACAGGTGTCAGATAAACAAACTCCACCGGGACAGTCTATTTGTAGAACTTTCCAAACTGGAGATTTGGTGCAAACTCACTGTAGAGGAGCGAGGATCTGGCAAAGGGATGATTCCGCGGTATGAAGATTTGTATTACATGAACAATTTTTCATGAAAATATTGTGTGAAAGCATTATCATAATGCATATAAGGAATAAGAAAAATAGAAATTTCTTTTTTTTAAATTTCATAATCTTGTAAATTTCTTTTATAAGGATACATATGAAAATATTTTGTTTCCATGGAGACAGGATTGACTTACCTGTACATTAAGATATTGTAATTGTTTACATTGTGATATACCATCTACTGTTATCAAGTTACATTTAGTCATAGTTAGATATTGTAAACCCCAACATTGACTTAATGTATTTATACTACATCCTGGTAAATCATGTAACTCTACTGTTGTTACCTGTACAAAAATAGAAGAAATTAACAAAGTGTAAATTAGGGCTGGTTTAAATGCTCAAAATTTATAATGTATAATTACCCATTTTGAATTTTATTAACTTTGGGTACCCAAAACATGTGCTGAGCTTTGCCAACTTAGCTTTTTGAAACATCTTATGCTACTCGGTGACTCAGTTTGTCAACACGCCTGACCTAGTTACCAGAGTAAAATCAAAATCATTATTAACTCTCATGTAAAAGGTGTGAATTAAATCAAATTGCTGTTCTCAATCAAAAATGAATATATACAAAGTAAAACGAAAGCAAGTTGTCAATTTCTTAACAACATGTTGCAACGGAAACATGAGTCCTTATAAATTTACTTTATATAACACTACCAGATTCCAGTTGAGAAAATGTCAAAATGCCTTTCTCACCTGTTTTAATGATTTACACTGAGCAGAAGCCAATATAATTTGATCATCAAGGGGAGGTAACTTCTTAGCAGAGTGAGGTCTTCTTGGTGGTTTCTTACTGCTGTCTGCTTTTAATTTCCATGGTTCATTGCTGATTTTACTGAAAAGGCAGTTCATTATTTCATTAAACGAAAGTAAAATGTTCTATTCATTTAAAAGTTGAATTCTAAGTCAAAACCATGTTTGTATACAAAGAGGCCTCTATATTGGTGAGTTTTGGCTGTTCAGGATTCATGGAATCAACTGGACATTCAATAAAACAAATTGGAAAAGCGTTCAGAACTCGTTCCACATGTGTTGAAAAAATAGTAGGTACACACAGTATTCAAAATGGTAGACAGAGAAACATACAGGAAAATTTTTAATGTGACACGTTCCATCTGGTCGATGGAACATGTTCACCAATCGAGCACCACCTAGAGCAAATTAAGATATGGAAAATACATTAGAAAGCATACCTCCAAGGAAGACAATCTTTAATCCATATCAAACGTCTTGCCTCTAATTCTTCACTTAAGCCTTGTGTCAGAGCATTATATTTTTCTTTTTCTTTCCTTTCCTTTTCTTCTTTTCTTTGTGCTTCTTTTTTTTCTTTCTCTTCTTTTATTTTGCATTTTTCTTCTTCCACTTTCTTTTTTTCTTGAACAGCTTTCAATTTCTCTTCAAGTTTTCTTTTTTCTTCTTCTTCTTTTTTCCTTTGAATTTCAAGATTTTTCTGTCTTTCTTCTTCTTCGAGTCTGAGTTTTTCCTCAGCCCTTTTCTGCTCCTCCTTTAACTTTTCCTCAGATTTTCTTTTTTCTTCTTCATTTCGAATACATTCTTCTTCCAATCTCTGCTTTTCTTTTCTTTGCTCTTCTTCTTTTCTCAATTCTTCCATTCTTTGCTCTTCCTTCTCTTCCTTTTCTATTCTCTCTCTTTCTTTTTTCTCTTTTTCAATTCTTAATTTCTCCTGTTCTTCTCTTTTCTTTCTCTCTTCCTCCAATATCATCTCTTTTTCTTTTCTCTTAGCTTCTGCTTTTCTTTCCTCTTCTTCTTTTTCTCTCTGTTTTCTTTTCAATTCTTCTAACTTCATTTCTTCCTCCAATCTTTTCTCTTCAGTTCTTCTTTTTTCTTCTTCCTCAATATTTTTCCTAATTCAAAAAGCACCTCAATTATAAAAATTCTTCTAAATATTGACAAAATGGCCAGCATAAAATTCCATTAAATTTTAACTTTAATTCTAATTTGCTGACAACAATTTTAACTATTAAATATTTCTTTTTTTCATGGTATTCTACTTCTTACAATGAACATCAAAATTAAAATATCTTCTTAGTATAGTATATATTTATCAGTGGACTTACCTGGTGTCATAAATACACAACAGAATCCCTGTATAATCTGACAAATCCAAACAAACTTATTTTCATTCTATTTTTATTTTATCATTTGAAGACATTCTCTTATTTGCCATGTTAGAAATTTTATGTTCACTCTGTGGAACAATCCCTTTAAGGTAAATTTGGCACATGAAAACTGCCACAATAAAGTAAATATAATCAAATATCACTTACTTGGCCGATGCTTCCTCTACTTGTTTATCTTTCATTTCTTTTTCTACAGTTTTTATTCTTTCATTTATAACCTTTTCTTTTCTTTCTATCTTCAACTTAGTCATAGTTTCTGAATATTCCTTTCTTACCCTAAAAATATTTAATACAGGGTTAACAATTGTCTTAGAGATATGTTTTCTTTTAATACTTTCAAATCATACAATTTCCAGGGGATTCATCTATAAAATTTCTTTCCTGGATTTGGCAAATTCTAAATAAATTCATAACCACAATAAAATTTTAAAGCTCAAACTGTAATGATTGTGTATCTTTAGATAAAACTAAGATGAGAGAACAAAGCCAGAAATTTGATGCATTTATCAATATCAGAGTACATTTTAAAACAGAACTTTCATATACAAGATGAACTGACCTGTATCCCCTGTATGATTTCTGTATAATTAATGATGATTTAAGTTGGAGCTGTGAACGTTTATCTTGTTCAATCTGTATCTGTTCATTTAAACTGTTCTTTTCTTCTTCTAATTTCTGTTCTAATTCACACATTTCAGCCTAAAAATATCAATAAACAAAGAGTTATTACAATTTAGAATTACAATTTTAAGTAAGAGAGAATCACAATTGTAAATAAGAGAGAATTACAATTTTAAATCAGAGGGAATTACAATTTTAAATCAGAGGGAATTACAATTTTAAGTAAGAGGGAATTACAATTACAATATTACCTCAGATGGAATTACAATAACAATTTTAAGTCAGAGGGAATTACAATTTCATAGAATCCAGATTACTGACAAAATTTTACTTTGTGGCATCTAGTTTAAAAGATAAAATGCTTACAATGACAAGAACATGTTCAAATTACAAAGTTTAAAAATTTCATGTAACAGTCATTATGCAGAGTTGAAAATAACTTGGAGACAGGACTGAAATGTTTTTGTGATAACCCAAATAAAAGTAAGGAAATAAGGAGTACACCCTTTACTGCCATTTATAACAAATGTTGTCTGTCACAAACTGCGCCTTATGCAAAGTTTCTAAAGATATTCATTGATTTATTTTCCTTGACCTGTTCTTTTACAACTTTTCTTTATCAATAGAATAAGAAAATTAGACTACTGTAAGTACACCATAAAAGAAATCTAGATTTACCTGAAATCTTTTATTGTCCTGTTCAAATTGTTCTTTCTGTTTATCACTTTCTTTTTCAAGGTCACTTCGTATTTCCTGTAAAACATCAAAATAGTTTAAAAACAAACACTCTAGTGTTAACGTATGTATTTTGGTATATAAAAATAGATTAGAATGTAGTTTCTTCACCAGCAATCAGTTATTCTAATTTAAGAATGCCATGATCAATAATTCAACATATCCACATTCAATCAATAACAAGCAAGTAGTTGTCTCAGGACCAGGGATGTTGCTTTGACTGTTTTTTCCAGACATGAATGGCAGACCAGCTCAAATGTCGTTTATTTTTTTAAGACTATGTCCAACCATCTGTGTTAGAATCAAGATCTGCAGTCAAGATAAATTGTAATTGAATAAAATTTTACCAATGTCTGACCTCTCTCAATTTATTCAAATCATTTTCTTGAAGCTGTAAGACCTGCCTAATAGCAAACCGTTTCTCTTCTTTTTCTGCAACCAGTTTTTCTTCTTCAAGTTTCTTACTTTCATACTCCTTAAAGAACATTCATAATTATTTTTATAGAAATTGAAATGGGAAATGTGCACAAATACTGAGTAAATCCTACAATCTTTCCTTTAATATGTCTATTTACACTTATTTTGATTTTTACTGTGATTTTGCTTGATATTCTAAATTAATAACTAATGTGCCAAACAAAATATGTTATATTTGCTGCAGAACATATGATCCTTTGACCCAGAATATTAATCCTAGCTAAAAGTTTAAAAGTTTTCAAATTGTCTGAAAAATCTTATTATTGTTACTCCTATTGTAGAATATAGATATAGAGGAGAATATATCCAGATTCCTACCTCAATCCATTTCATCTTCTTCTCTTTATAATCTTCATCAACTTGTTTGATTTTCTTGAATATTTCTTGTTTTCTTAGCATATTTTCATCTAACAGCACTAGAGCTTGTTCATCTAGAAATTGTATATAGACAGATGGATGTAGTCCTCTTAATATGATAATGTTCAAATTAGCTATACATACCACTTTTAAGAATTTAAATCTGTTGTCCTGATTTAAAGTTCCTTAAATACTTCAAAGCCTTACATAATGTATGATCATTGGATGATGTTCGAAATAATGATTCTCTTCAATAATATTAGACCTGTGCAAGATCTCAGCTTTGTTGTAGTCATATTTGATACCAAATCAAACAGGTCTTCAGCTTACAACCTTCATGTAAGTTCAATGATAATAATAACATGGAAAGCTTTTACCTTGATTTCTTTCATTAGTTTCATTTTCATTGTCTACTTCTTCATCTTTTTCTAGGTCCGCTAAAATCTATCAACAAAAATTTAAATAGTAATTAATTGTATTTACTATATAAAACCCAGTTGAAAAATCTGAAGGTAGAATGTATGCCAAGATCAAGGATGAATAGATTTACAAGCCAGAATTGTATTAAGCTAAATACAGATATCTTGTAAATCTTAATTATATTTTCAAAAACTGAAAGATTTCTTATCCTAATTTATAGAATTTCACCTGTTTTTGTAGTTCTAATGGGTCTAACCCTCTTGCCTTAGCTTCCTCTTCTAAAAAGACATCACAAACTGGTGCAACAGCTAAAAAAAACAACATTCAAAATCGAAGTATTGAATATAAAGTTAAATTTAAGTTAAGAAAACACACTCCTGTGATAAAAATCTTGCTTATTACAAAAAATTATTAATCATCCACGAGGTAATATTTGTTTGTTTTCTCAACTAATTATCAGTTATGTAACTGTACATTTAAATTTAATACTGGTTAAGACTTGTGCATTGGTTTATTTAATTTATCTGATGACCATAGAAAATGGTTTCATACAAATCTGAAAAACGTTTTTACCAATTGATGCATTAGCTTGATTTAAAACGTCATCACAAGCCTTGAGCTCATCTTCTAATTGCTGAGATTGTTGTTGTACCATGTTAAAATATGCTTCCAGGTCGTTAGGCATTGGCTAATCAAAAAATAAATATAAAAATATTAGTTCCAAATTTAAGGGACACGGTCATCTAGATATTTGTTTTAACAGCTTTTGGCCCCAGTTCCCAACCTGGGGTGTTTTCACCCCTGGAAATGAAATGAATGGAGTTTTACTTTTCTGCAGTTTTCACCCCTGGGGATGTGGGACTAGGGTGTTATGGGTGTGGCCAACTGGTGAAGAATTTATTTTGAATTGAGAAAGCACCTCACATTCTGGAAATGTAGATGAAAAAAATTGTTGAGGGTGTGAAAGGTTCAGGTGATTGCTACAGGGGTGTGAAGGCTGTTCAAAAAGATTGGGGATCAATTCCATCTACCAGTATTTGGAAATAGGAGGCTATCTGACACTTGGTCCTGTTTTTTTTTTTTTTTTATGACATCATAATAGCAGTCATGTATGTTTTTGAAGAATTTTGCAAGAAGAGAATGTCATTACATAGAATTCTTCTACCCCTTAAAATCTAGATCTATTGTCATAAATAAGCTTATAGTTGATATCAAAACTGTACAAAATCATTCTTTAAGTTATCGCAAAACACCATTAACTTGAAATTAATAGAAAGGAAATGACACTGACTGCATCCTTCAAATTGATATCTTCATTAATGAGAACATCATCAATTTCTTCATTTTCAAGATCATTAAAATCATCATTATCATTTATATTTTCTAGATCTATTATTTCGAGCTGTTGATCAATTTCAGCATCAATGATAGCATCTTCTCCATCTCCCATTAAACCAGAAATATTAGATGGTGGCATGCTCATATTTTACTGAAAAATGAAAAGAGTTCAACATAAGCAGGCATAAACGGTAATGTAAAACTGCTAGGCCTACTAAAAGTTTTTCATCAACCCAACAAAGGCAATCTAAGCTAAGACTGTTGATTGTATTAATTTACCCTTTCAGAAGGTTGAATGAATATACAAACCATTAGTTTCTTTTGATTTTTTTCAATATATAGATCCAAGAAAGTAATTTACACGAATAAATTAAATTGGTAATATTTTTCTTGAAAAGATTGTTTACACCGCCATTACATGTTGGTATGCCTTCCCATAATGCAAAGGATACTCCAAATACCAAAATGTACCCGACAGATTAAAATGGAGATGACTGGTGAAATAATGAAAAAAATGGTCATGAATTATTAATATTGAATTGAAATTTTAAGTTAATACCTATAATAAATGACTATACATTGATTATTGTGGCACGTTCAATTTTTTCAAAAATATAAATTGAAGTTTTTTCAGGTGTGGAGTTTTTGGAAAGTCAAACGTTTTCTAAGAGCTTAGAGAATCAAACCCTCCCTTCCCCGAAACCTAATAAACTCATTCGGAACCATTCGCAAGAAGAGTAGAAACTTTGTATGAAACATTTAAGCCTAAAGTAATTTTTTCTAAACCACTTTGTATTGAGAAAGACACCTGAAAGCAAAACTTCTATTAACTCTTACAGATTATATGAAAAAATATAACAATAGTCTTGTATAGTTCTAGCTAATGGGCATCATTCTGTTGAGCTGATAACAATAGAGGTATAAGAAGCATTCACAATAATTTTAATAGATTTATATTGAAGTTTTATCAAACTAAGTACACATTCAAATAATTGCAGTTGTGTGTCTGAGCTGAAAATTATGAATTTGGGAGTATAAGTACTGTTGTATAAAGGAAACGATGCCCACCAAACCGTCCACCCCCATCTCCTGCCACCCCTAACCCAACTTGTCGGTATAATAAACCTTTTCGCCAGTTTGCCAATTTTCTTTCACATGTCTTTTGAGCATCTGACTATGTGAACGCTCAAATACGGAATCTTTTAATTGAATCACGACTCCCAGATCATAGATGCTTTATTAATGGTAAGGATTGGGAAAGAATGCTTCCTTGGTTTTGCAATTCAGGAACATTTCCATCTTGAACGATTCTGGATGACTCACTTCAATTCATATCAAGTCTCTCTAGTCAATTTTGTCATCTAGTATGGATTGACGCTGATGGATTTCAATTTAGGATTAGCATTTCAATTTAGGCAAAAAATATCTTGTCTGATAAGCTAGGTCTCTTTTCAATTTTTCTTAAAATCTCTTTCTGGAAGTAATCCCTTTTATTCACTTCCTATAAAGCTTTGAACTGGTAGATAAAGAAATATAATGAATCTATTATACTATAGTCACCATATTAATCGTTATACTTTTTTTCTTTTTGTTCACCTTATAGCCTAAATGTTTATCGTCGCATTGTATTGTTTCACAGTAGAATTGTCTAATCATACTACCCATAGGACTAAATTGTTTTCGTTGAGTAATCGATATTTTTTTTTCAAACCTTTTAAAGAGAGTCAGAAAACGTTTGGTTTATTCATGCTATTTTTTTATAATATGCCCGTAATAATTTATCTCTTCGAGCGAAGACTTTACGTTGGCAATAATTTTCATTTTGTTTTGTTTCTTATTATTCTTATTACCGTACCTTTTATTTTTTACTCAACCAGTCCATTCAAGGTCTAACAAGTCCCTTCTGATTTCTTCGTATGAATAAAATTTGACTTAAACAGATCACCTCTGATGGAATAATAGAATAACACTGAAATTTGTTACATGAAAATAAAAGCTAATAAAATACGGAAGGAAAGTTCGGTCTAATTTCAATTAAATTGAAAGAGTTCTACATGACATGCTTACATTGGTTGAAAAACGTCATTAAAACTGGATTTTTGTAGATAATTGCTATCCGGAACAAAAGAAACGTAATTAAATAGATTGGAGGCTAGCGTATCAGTTGGATTCAACAGTATGAAGACAGAAGGCAAAACTGACCAACCGTTTAAATTTGAAAGTACGACCAGATCGTCAATTACTATTAAAAGTGTCTAAACTCTATACACGTTGTTTCTAAAGACTTGGAATTTAATAAGAATACTTCTACTGTAGATATATTCCGAGGAGGATGAAGCTAAGTGATATTCAACTTGTTCACATTATGTTATTCCTAACCAATCCAGTTCTTTATCTTTGTGATGGCTCGGGTAGGTATTGTTATTCTGTGGATCATATCCTCTTTCAAAAAACACTTAGCAATCCCTAAATTGTATGCAATTACGTAGTTCCAACAATTTTGTTTTTGAAGAAATGTTCAATTTGGTCTGTATTTCGTTTCGAAACATGGTGAAGGGGAACAGGGAAACTTGCGAGTAGCCCAAAGTTTCCATTTTCAAAATGTTATAAACGGTAATTAATAGATCTAACCTCTTTGGGTTTCGCTATCCCACAATTTCTCATGATTATTAAGAAACAGGTCCCCAAAACACCATTTCATTGGTATAACGTCATACGAACGGGACTGCGAAAGAAAACTTGTAAGATTACAATAAAGTTGAAAAGTATCAGTAAAATCTAAACGACATTGTAATATACGTTTCATTAAATTATTGAGCACCTTAAATCAGTTTGTCAGGATTATTTGATCTTGTTTTGGAAGTAATGGATGATATCATGGCGGAAATGATTTTGACACCCATTTTCGGAATTGCCGGCTTGTGGACCAAGTTGTAGAACTATAAAGCGGTTAAATAATGGTCAACATACATTGAATGTAACTCCGTTTTACAGCTATATGCAAGGAACCACCTCCAGTACCAAATGCTTACAGGGAATGGTCTGGAATAGGTATGACCGCAGAGGTGATTTATACCTGCTATACCCACTATGTATTGATGTCGGGTGATTTGGTGAGGACTTGTGTCAATGGTGTTTATACAGGAGAGGAACCTGTTTGTAAACGTAAGTTTGGTATATATGTTTATCAATTCCATGTTTAAGGATTGATATAAGATCATTTTTGAAAAACTTAAAAACTCACTCAATCCCGTTGTAAAAAGGTTTTCTAATATTTTTTATATATGTGTATCGGGGATACTGGTAGCAACAATTTGAACTATTATAATTTTCGATCCTTTTAATTCCACTAAAACTAAGCGTTTGATAACGTCACTAGTCGCAAAGGGCCTTATGTGATAAAAGCATATTTTGCAGTTAGTGACGTCAATTACAGTGCCAATATAATAGCACCGTAGGCAATGATAAACTTTTACGGCATCACATCGTTAGTGTAGCGATAAGCGAAAACAAATGGGTTCCAATTTAAGGCAATGACCAAAATGAACAAGTAAAAAAGCCGCGCTAAACAACCCAACTGGAAGTCAATTATGATGAGTTATTGCTACTTTTATGAATCACAGATAAACAGAAACATCAGACTGAAATAATTGAATTGGAAGAATACCATCATGTGAATTGCATTGTTTACTTCCGGTTTTGTGAGTATATGATTTGACATCCTTTGCAAATACATAATATATAAACATATATTTCAGTTGATTGTGGAGTACCAAGAAATCTGGAGGGAGCTACAGTTAGTTATTCTTCAACTCTTTCGGATTTCCAGTCTATATCATATGCCGGATACGACTGTTTACCAGGTCTAATTGCCAAGGGGAGTCGCACATTTAAATGTAATGTGATTAAACATAAATGGGGGACCTCGAAGTATTACTGCTATAATGGTAGGTATCCTTTAGGGTGTGAGCTGTAAAAAATAAATAAATGAGCGGAGCATCTAAATTTTACACGCATTTTTCAAGGACATAATGATATACCGCTGCATTCAGAAATCCTCGACAGTTTGCTTAAAGCTGAATCTACCTCTGTAATGAATAATAAATTTCATTGTGATTTCTTGGGCGAGACTCTTCACTTCCGGTGTTTCATGTATGTTTGTCAAGTGATGGTAATATTGCGACATGGAAATAGTCCCTAGCATTAGAGTCTTTTGTGGATATTCCTGACAATGCAATAAATATTATATTGTGACTATCGGATTACTAATATTCTAATAATGCATTTTTCATTATTTTTTGATCAATATCTTGCAATGTTTTTCTTTTTATTGACTTTGTTTAAACTTGTAATCTCGAACGACTAACCACTGATGTTAGAACTACCAAAATCACGCGATCACATGAAAATCTGGACATAGTTCCGGTAAATGATGGCTGTCATTCATACCGTGATATGTTGCAGGGCGCTAGCAGAACTGTTCACGGAGGGTCTGACTATAATTTGTCCTTTTTTGCCGTTATATGCGATTGTTTGCGCTTGTTTAAACTTTGGTTACCCTTCAATTTGAAAGAAGACGTGCTTTGATTTTTCTTCTTCGATCTTTGAATAATGGATATAAGATTGACTCTTTTCAGAAACCGAAAACATTGCCAAAGGAAGTAGGGCCTTTCTAGCTGATGGAAGTAACGTGGACCATGTTGTTGATGGTGATACTACATGTAAACCGCTGACAGATACCTCTATTGATATACACCTTAACGATACCTATAAAATAATAAAGATCGTTATTGTACATAACTTAGGTATGGATTTCAGGACGATTATAGTCCATCATTTCAGCTTACAAAACCGTATCTGTTTTGTTACAATGGGGAATGTACCCAATTCTTGCTGGTAGAACCAATGACATAAATCTGAGATAATGGAAATACATTGATAGCCTAGTGATATCTAGTAATATCTAATTTAATCAAATTGAGTTAATTGTATACCATGTATGATAAATTGCAGTGGCAAATTGAGTAAACTAGTATACTAGACTCTATTTCTGTAATATGTTAGATTGTGCTGGTGGCAAGACTTCTCAGGAATGGTTTTTTTGATTCCCCGAAAAATTCGGTGCAACATTGTGATATGTTTTATGTAGATTTAGATACCATTTTGATGTCCTCGCGTATTTTGTATGCATTTCAGCGAGTATTAATAAGATTTCTGTATCAGCTATACAAAACAGTACAGGGCTAGAAAAAACTTGTGTTGAAATGGACTATGGTGATGGTACTATGGGAATAACCAAGACTTTATACAGCTCCAAGGCTTATGACAGTACAAAATGTTATGGTGATATAGTTAGAATAGTGTTGACTCTATCAACCACCTTGTCAATATGTGACATCATGATATACGGAAATCTTTTTATAGGTAATTGTAATTTTGACTAAAACCAGCTAACTCTTATTTGACCACCTTATATATATTTGTTTCATGTTTAAAAAATCTGTGATTCCATAATATAGACGAAATATTGTGAACGAAATATTGTATTACTTCTAAAGAGTACTTAGTCCCTTAATTTAACATAATTTAAAAGCCCAAATCATCAACAATGGCGAATTATGGCCTAAATTGTGTAAGTTTTATGTAATATTGAATTTCTAAAGGTGATTGTGGTCAGCCGGCAGTGAAATTTGGTCAGACTGTAGAATATACAAATACAACAGAAGGCAGTACAGCTCTGTTAAGCTGTGCACCACCATTCTTTCCAGCAGATAGTCATGGTGTTATAGCGTGTCAAGGTACAGCATGGACATCATCCAAATTAAAATGCACAGGTAAGCTATATCAAGTTTTAGATTAACGAAAATGTAATAAGGTGGCATTAGAATTCTTACCTTCAGGAGATCTGATTATGGTTAAAGTTTCTATTTTCTTAGTCTTTGTGAATACAGCATTTGCTATACAAAAATACCTTACCGACTACGTAAAAAGTGTGATAAGAATAATTATTATGTTTGGATGATATAAATGTAAGTATTGCTACTTTTGAACCAGCCACAAATCAAAGTTTTGAAAACTTAATGCAAATATCAAACCAAAAATCATCCTATTAGATTCATTTTCCTTTCATGAACGACTGGAGATTTTTTGTCTCCACGTGTATCCGAGGCTGATTGGTGAAACACTTGACAAGACTCTTGTCGGCGACAAAAATCGGCCACCAAGACAGGTGTCCGCAGCATAGTCTGCATATTTATTGATACGGCTGAGATAGATAAGATCTCAAATTGGCCATTTTAATGATGATGTATATTTTGGATTATTTTAGACAGGTATGATAATATAGCTGATGAAATACCAAATAATTTATATGATATGGTTCTTGATAATAATTACACTACTTGTGTTAATATCGTCAGTTCTAATGGTATTCCTAGCGAGTGGTCAATAGATCTTGGTCAGGATTATGAAGTTAACAGCTTATCAGTTACTTTTGGCGGTAAGAAAACAGACGTAACGTTATTGCTAAATGGATGTAGTCGTTTCAATATTTGTTCTACCAGCTAATAGCTAAATTTCAGCTATCCAGGTAATAATCCGGATGGTCAAGGTGAAATAAAATCAAATATTTAGACAAATATCCCTCACCATTTGTAAACGCATCTTTATGTTCTTTGGACTGTGTGGAAATACAAAATTAATAAAATAAATATGATATAATACATACAATTTTCAACCTACTGAAATCAAAGCAATTAACTACCTTCCCCTCCTCCACAGTTCTTTCTTCAAAATGGTTGTTATTTATCCATCATATACGTTCAATTCTTCTATCCGATGTGCCAACTTCCGATGCGAGATCAAAAGATTGACTAAGTATACCCCATCGGCTACCAATCGGAAACAGCTGCAAAAAAGTTTAAACTGAAAAGCCCTCGTACAGTTTGCAGTATTTGAGCTATAGGGTTTCTTGTACAACAATACTTTTTTCACTTTTAGATATGGACTTGTCGCAACCAGTTAGAGCAGTAATAGTCCTTAGTTCTGGAAAGGCCACTACTTGTCAGTTTAAACGATCAAAAGGAGCTGGTGTTGTGGTTGCTTTTGTATGTTCATATGCACGTGTAACTCGTAATATTAAATTAACTGGAGGAGATGAGTTAAATCTTTGTGATGTAAAAATTAAAGGAAGATATTATGATGAACGTACGTCAGTCTGATAATTATTGCCAAAGCTTAAAGGGGCAGTATGCAACCTTTATATTATTAAAAATATTTAATTCATTTAAATATGGGTTTCTTATTTTTTAGTATCAAATTAAGCAAACTTTGATTAATTAGTGTTTCTTATGAATAATCATGTATTCTTTATCATATCATTATTTACCTATAATTAAGAGTTTTAACCAATCATAAATGTCCATGTATGTACAGTCTGGATAAACAAAAAAATACTTTTTGACCTGTCTTGATCGGTCACTCATTGGAATTCTCTTCTAATTTAGCTAATTATGAATTAATTATGGACATTTGAGAAATACTGGCATTTTTCCAAGTCATTAGAACACCTCTCCTTTATCATATAAGTATTAGCATTTTCATTTTCATAAATGAAAATAAGGGAACCCATCTTTAAGATGTTCTACTGAGTGATAATTGAATCATTGCTTGAAAGAAAATATCTACCAGCTCAAAAATGATCAAATCTCAACAATGGCATGATCGTATGAACTTGTATTAGGACTTTCCATACCCGTCGTCGTTGAAAGAGTTTTCTTTTTTTCAGCTCTGGAATGTTACAATTCTTTTAAAGGTAAAGATTATAAAGGAACACAAAATGTTACAAGTAATGGGCGTGTGTGCCTTCCATGGGTCTCCATCTCCGAATACAGTTCAACCATTGGAAGCTTTCCTGATGTATCCTATGATGACATCGGCAATCATTGTCGGAACCCCAGCAATGATGGCAGAGACTCGCCATGGTGTTTTATATCGCAAACTAAATGGCATTATTGTTCTATACCTAAATGCGGTAAGTATATTGTCTTTTTTACTTTTATACCATTCTGATCACAGACAGCTACCCATGTGGTCCAAATTTAGATTCCATGGATCAGGTTTACGGATGACATGTTTGAAAAAGGTACAAACCAATCGGCAAAAGAATCGCATGAGGCAAATGTTCAACCGCGTGGTCAACCGGAAACTAAGTATGGGGCTTATCATCACTTATGAACGAAGAGAGTATTAAATCGTGCAAGGTAAAGTAATTATTGGCTGTATAGGGGGATGTCAATATTTTGATTTTTTCCACATTTTTTTGATAAATTGTTCTATGATATTTGATTTCATCGAATATTCCATACAATTTAAAATAGTTTCGTTCCGTTGTATAGAATTTAGTATTACCAACTAATACGCCAAATTCTACTTCCTGTTGTCCCGAAGAAGATCCTCGCAGATTGCGCTAAATTTTTCTAAAATTTAAGCAACATATACAAACGGTGTTGACTCCCGAGTTTTCAGTCGCTGACACGCCCATGTCAAACAAATTCTAATCCTGGACAATTATGAATGGTAAATGGTCAGTCTCTGGGGAAAATTCCCAGATTGTATTGCCTTGCCCATTTTCATTCATATTAGAACCTGAAAGTATCTTATTATTTTTTTTTAAGATAACATTTGTCTAAGAACGTCAGATGGAATGAGTTATAATGGAAATATGACCAAATCTGCTTCTAATAGATTATGTAAGACATGGAGTGACCTACAGTACAATGATAGATTTTATTATGAATTACCATCTAATAATTATTGTGGAAACCACGTATTAGATCAATCTAAACCATGGTGTATTGTTGAAGATGGTTTAAATCTTGTTTATGAACATTGTAATATACCAGGATGTCGTAAGTTATTTTAAAAATAGAACTCAACACCCAACAGTTCTGTCATGAAAAATTTCTCTTGTCCATGACAATATATCTTTTCTTCCTTCCATTTTATCTGAGATACATTGAACTTGTTGGAAATCCAGGCGAACTTTAAATCTACTTGTTGTTGATCTGGATATAAAGCACCTCTTCTCAGGCAGTCCAATAACAATTATAAAAAACTTTTGTTCCATTTTTTGATTTGTGTATCAAATTAACCTTTTGTTTAACTCGATGACGTCCTCTTCAACCAATCAAATTTGTCTCCGCCCCAGCGGTAGCATTTTGTGACGCGGTGTTTATCAGGTCGAAAAGTCAGTTTGACGAATATTTAAGAGGGCTGTCGTTAGACCTTGAATATGAAATTGTTGTTTGTTTTATCGTTTTACCAGTGACACTATACTGAGACAAATCATAATACAGATAGTAGAGTTGAGTGTTGGGGTGGTGGTATTTCAGGAGGCTTTAAGTGTCCCTAAATCATTTAAATTAGTCTTAATTGTACCTGTGGACTTTGATGCCTTTTATATGTAAATGATATTCCCCATCACTAACATGTGAAATAGCTTAAATGGAAAGATGGGTTACCATTCTACAATTCGCTAATTCATTAATAATTGATATTTTTCAGCAAAATCCTCCAATATGGCTACTATGACATTATCACCACAATCCGTCGACAGCCAGTTCCTATCAAACGTCTATCAGTGTTTTTATCACACAGGAAGTGACGCAGTTTATTTTCACAATAGCTATAGATCTGTGTTTGACTCGGCATGTTCAAAGACCAATGCGACAAAGATTCTATATGTGTGTTCATTTTATTTAAAAGAATGGAAAATTATCGAATATCTTTGTGGTATGTTTGAGAAATATTTTATCAAAGATGTATAGTTAAATATTTGCCTTTTCAGCTTTTGGAGCTCAATTTCGACTATCTGTATCCCATTTCGGCACTCCCTTTGGGTTTGTTTGATTCTGTTCGTTCGTCATTTCACTATATGATTGTTATATTCCAGATCCGGTTTCAGTTTCATCAGCTTCTATTGAGTTAACATTTGCTTATGAAGACACATCCAGTACCATGGAATCGGTAACTGGTATTTTGTCCGAGCTATCATCTAGTACCATCATTGAATCGACACCAACATACGACGCTACCATTAGTTTAGACAGTGTCAGTGATGTAATTTCCAATAACAATGATGTCGTGTTCTCAACCGGAAGTATCTCGTACATGAATACGGATTATCTGTTTGGCAGTGAAAGTTGTTGGACATGCTCTACGACTACGTCTACAATTGCGGTTTCTAGTTACGTTACAGAGGCGTTGACATCGACACAACTGGTCTCACGAAGTTGTACATGTTACTGTAGATCAAAACCATCACCGAATATGACTGATCTAGGTACAATATTAAGTCACCTTCCTACAATGGAGAACCTTATTCTGAACAAGAGTAACTTATCACGAACATTTCGCAAGAAAAACAGTGTCCATGATAGTCGAACGTTTTCTATTGCTGTAGGCAGTGTTGGTGTTTTCATCTTAATTAGTTCAGCTCTCTTTCTAGCGTCCAGTGATTTTTCTAGGGTGTTAATGGGAACATCTTATCTCATGAATCGGGTCAGGGCCACCACTAATACAAACAACATTTAGTTGAAAAGAACATTAAACAATCTGTAGTTTCCTATACATTACCAGTGTATATGACTGGCTGATTGGTTTAAATGACCTAGAACATTGAGTGTATAACAATTTGGTCAGATTAAAACACAATGAAAGTAAAACTGCATTAGAGAATAAAAATTGTTTAATATACAGAGGTATTGTTCATAACAATGATTTCAAACTAAAAGAATGAGATTCGTAAGTGCCCTCTCTGAAGTCCGAGTAATTTAGGAATGTAATATCAGCAGTTTGTAATGTGACAGGATTTATTATAGAATATAATAATAGACATACATAACAAAATAAAAAGAGTAAATTATAGTCGAATCTTCACTTCATTTTATATTATTTTAATTAATTTGTACAAAATCGCCACCTTAAAAAGGAATTGAGAAAAGATTTACTACTCTTTGGTAACTGGTCATCAAAGCGTAACGACCCCCTTGTATCGATGACATTTATTGCTTTTATATGTACAATTTCGATTTTCCGTCCGAAGTCTTTGGTTCCTGTAATTCCATGATTAAGATATCTGTATCGTAAATACAATTCAAAGCAAATAGTTATTTATGTGAATTAAGTCATAATTATTTTTTGTGGAATTACAAAAACTAAAGACATCGAAAAGAAAATCAGAATCGGAGTGTCTCTGGTGTTTGTACAAAGGGTAGACATCTTCTTTTGAATCCCTTTAATGTCAACAATAATTGTATCACAGAGGAGTTAAATGCGCCAGAGCTCGTAGCCAAGGGAACAGGAGATTGCAGAGTATGAGGTGAATATAGTCTTGTTTTTGAAAAACTAAACGATTTAGCTGGACTGACTCGAAAGTATTTCCATCAGATGACTTCACTCATAGTAGATCTGACAATTTTCTTTGATTACTTTATCCGTTATATTCTAACCAATGAAATCCGATTTCCAGATAGTAAATTCAATTCATTCAGTTTCTTCACAGAATTCTTCATGCTAAAACTAGAAAAATTAGCAGGGTCTTTCAACTAAGGTGTTCGATTCATTGTGGTTAACTACCCATTTGATAACACTTACATACTGAAATTTGCACTGCAGGTCCCCACCTATCTGAACTTGTTATGTTCCAAATGTCAAGTTCCTACCGTGCAAACTCTGCCTGCTGCAGCACTTTTAGTCTCAGACTTTTTCCACAAACCAAAATATAAACCATTTTCTACTTGAAATTGAGGGTGCAACTTCAAAGTCAAATTTCTCTAAAGTTTTCAAAAAATCAGAATTTCTGTTTTTGACTGAAACAGATAGCAGACATGTTAAACTACCGTTTGCAACAAAAATGATTCCTCTGGGGCCAAAACTGACCGAGTTATGCCAATTTTAGTGGGGGTGGGGGTCGGCAGGCAGCCTATACAGTCTCTATACAGTCTTATTGCACAGGTTGGCGTGAAGACCAAAACTTTGACAGGCTGCCGTTCGAAAACTATCAGAGATGTAAGGCTGAAATTTGCACTGCAGGTCCTCACCCACCTATCTGAACTTGTTATGTTCCAAATTTCAAGTTCCTACCGTGCAAACTCTGCCTGCTGCAGCACTTTTAGTCTCAGTCTTTTTCCCCAAACCAAAATATAAACCATTTTCCACTTGACATTGAGAGTGCAACTTCAAAGTCAAATTTCTCTAAAGTTTTGTACAGTCTTGTTGCACAGGTTGGCGTGAAGAGCAAACTTTTGATAGACTGCCGTTCGAAAACTATCAGAGATGTAAGGCTGAAATTTGCACTGCAGGTCCCCACCTATCTGAACTTGTTATGTTCCAAATTTCAAGTTCCTACCGTGCAAACAAAAATATAAACCATTTTCCACTTGAAATTGAGGGTACTGACCGAGTTATGGCCATTTTAGTGCGGGGGTGGGGGTCGGCAGGCAGCCTATACAGTCTCTATACAATCTTGTTGCACAGGTTGGCGTGAAGACCAAAACTTTGGCAGACTGCCGTTCGAAAACTATGAGAGATGTAAGGCTGGAATTGGCACTGCAGGTCCCCACCTATCTGAACTTGTTATGTTCCAAATTTCAAGTTCCTTCCAAACTAGGTCGGAATGTGGATAATTCTTCGTAGACATTACATTGGAATACGTCATCGGGCCCCATCAGCTGATCAAATTTTATATATGGTTATTAATTGCCCTGTAAAATGGATAATCAATTAGTTGATATTGACTATGAAATTTTGATTAGAAATAATAGCATGTATGACATTGTTTTGTTGTCGTGTGGTTATTCTTGTGTTTTAATTCATTGACACTTTTTTCATATTACCGATTGCGTTCGGTTCGGATATAGGGGTGTATTTATTTAGGAAGGTAAGCACCAACTTGATTTCCTTTTAGAAAATTGAAATATAGAATTATTCAATTTGTCTCTCGATGTTACATAAGTTTTTTTTATAAGTGATTTTATTTGATATAAAGATATTCCTTTTGTCATATTTAGGAAAATTCGGTTTACCAATTCAGGTACGCCATTTAATAGGGCTGATTTGGACATTGAATATTATCTAACTAGTCTTCAGAAGTGATAGAAATGTACAAAAATCGCATAATTTCTTTGATATTTAAACATACATTTACCTGCGCAAAATTTCCCGTAAAAGATGAGCCACATTTCGAGAATGAAAATTCCCGTTCCTAGTGAAAAATAAAACAGTTTCGGATTGCAGATGTCTTCCAATTCATACAAAAAATATTCCGCAAAAGGCGAATTTTGTCAACATCATTGTCAGTCAGTAAAAACCACAGATATCTTACGATACACTTTATTATAAGATATAATAACAGCATTGCAAAACTGTTTCTAGTTGAGGTGATAAAATGTTTAGTTCATTATCAATGTGAATATTTAGTAAAACACGTGGTCGATCATGACTTCAGTTCACGTGACCTTCAACAGAATATTTATACCTGTGAAACAGTGTAATGCGGTCCGACTGAAAAGCGCAAACAAGAGCAAACGAGCGTAAACAAGAGCAAACGAGCACAAACAAGCTGAGTGTAAACAAGAGCTAATAAAGGGTAAAAAGGCACAGAAAACATAAATTTATATAATATCGGTTGATATTAAAAGAAGCGATTGCCTACTATGCGTGTTGTATATTCTGTAGTCTAATGTTCCCACATTAAAGGGAAAGCTTCGCCATTTTCGAAGGTTGAAAAATACCTCAAAGTCTCGAGCAAAAAGGAATCGTATTTTTAACTTATCCTGGACTCAAATTTGGACGTTGAGCCGTAGAAACTATTACTGATTAGCTTCCCGTTTCATATAAGGTACATTTGATAAAACGGCTGACGAATCTGAAACACTGCTTTTTTATAGCTTAGAGTATAATTTTCTTTAAATAGTTGATAAATATGTTTTAAACGTACTTACTAAAAAATGAAACTACCAAAAACAAGTATCAAGGAAGAATGTGAATCTTCGCCCGATTTTATCAAATCATAACGCATTGTTTATTTCACAATGAGGCAATGATAATAACAAACTGAGAATTCGGTTTAAATGACCTAGAACATTTGGTATAAAACAATTTTGTCACAATGAGAGTAAAACTGCATTAGTAAGTCTTAGTGAGCTCCGGAACTCAATCAACCGTGATACAAATCTTTTAGTTTAAGTTGAGCTTCTTTTAACTTTTTAACTTTTAAAGTGTCTGGATTTTGATATTGTGTACAGCATAATGGATAACGAACCACTGTGTGCCGAAATCGCCAATGAATATGTCAAAGAAGTAATGACTAACTCACACACCGCCGAAAGTGATCAGAATAATGATAGGAAAAGATTTTACTCCGATGATAGTGATGTTGAGGACATGTCTGGAGCATTCAGGGAGCGAAAGAAAAGTAAGAGCTGTTTTGAAAGGGACGGAGAATCATCAGAAGGACTCAACGCACAATTTATGAAGTTTGCTAATAGTATGCAGGATTCCTTCAAGAAATTAAACATGAGGATAGATGATTTAGAAGATAATCTGGAAAAGAAAATAGTAGGTAGAATTTCACAATCTATTAATGCTAAAATCGAGGAAAGTGTCAAGAATCGTGTGACAGCAGAAGTGACAATTATGAAGGCAGAAATTTCTGAAAACATTAAAACAATAGAACATAAAATTGAGAATTTGAAAATGACCAGGGAACCAGTCGACCAGAACGTAGAGAGCAGTCGAACAAAGAATATAGTGATTAAAAATCTCCTGCCCTGCCAGGCTGAGGTGAACGATTCGAACTTAGTAGTGAACACCGTTGACCGCCTTGTATCTTACTCACGCGTCAAGAATACAAACACGTGCGAACAACAACAGGATTAAACCTATCGTAGCTACTGTTGAGAACATTGATCAAAAACAAAGAATAATGAAAGCTAAACCAGGGATGAAGAAAACTCAGGATTTCTATAGAGTGTACATAGAACATGATTTACCTCAAGATGTAAGAAATAGTAACTATAATTTGATGAACATTCTGAAAATAGTTGGTGGTGATAGGGAGTACAGGGTTGTTGGGGGACGAATTACTCGACATGTCACTAGTACGTATACTAGAAGGTAGGACAACATCAGGCTAGGTACTTGGAATGTGAATGGGTGGTCACGTTTTAACTCTTCTGATAATTTTTTAATTCGTGAGACAGTGCTTAAGTTTCTTAAAGTGGATATGTTATGTGTATGTGAAACATTTTTAAAAGGAAACGATAAATTAAATATTCCCGGTTTTGATTGGTTTGGTCGAAACAGGACAGATGTGCATAGAAACGCGAAGAGAGGTTCAGGAGGGGTTGGAATATTGGTGAATTCTGAGATACTTGGACTATATGATGCTACTGTATTGGATGATTCTAAAGAAGACATTTTGTGGTTAAAACTATCGAATAAGACTCTTCGTAATAGTGACCTGTGTATTTGTGCCTGTTACGTTCCGCCTTCGAACTCTACTCGAGCAGGGGACGTAGACACTTTTTTTAATGATCTATTGCAACAAGTTTACTGTTTTCGAAATGAAGGAATACTATATATGGCGGGTGATTTTAATGCACGATGTGGTGACGAACAGGATTTTATTGCTGGGATGGATGATATACCAGGCAGAGACATAATTGATACTACAAGTAACCTTTATGGAGATAAACTTATTGACTTTTTGACAAGCTGTAATTTATGTATGCTAAATGGGAGAGTATATAGTGAGCATGGTTCCAATAATTTTACGTGTGTGTCTAAACGAGGAAAATTTGTGGTTGATTATGCTATTACAACTCATGAACAATTATCAAACTGTAAATCGCGCAGTGTTTATCTTATGTCTGATTTAATAAACCTATGTGGAATTCAGTTTGAAAAGTCGGTTCCTGACCATGGACCTATAATCTGGACAATTGATGTACAAAACGCCACGTCGAATGCAGATCATTTTCCAGTGCTGAATAAAACTATACGATATGACACTCGTAAAATACCAAGAGACTTTCTTACAAATATTAGCGGTGTAGAAGAAAAAATTATTGGACTAGAATAAGAGCTTTCTGACAATCGAAATATATGTGAAGCTTATTCCAGTTTTGTAGATATTATCGAAATTGAACTGACGCAACGAGTGCCACAACTAAAGACATCATCGTGTTCATCAAAAAAGGGGAAAAGCTTACACAAACCTCACTGGAATGACGAACTTTCAAAACTATGGAAATCAGTCTGTAACAAGGAACAGGCTTGGATCAAGTGTAACGAACACTGTTCTAAAAGAAAACTGCGCAAGGAATTCTGTGATGTAAGAGACATTTTTGATAAAACAAACCGTAGGTTTAAGAGACTGCATCAATCACATGAACAGGATCGATTACTGAACCTTTACAAATCAGCCAATAAACAAGATTTTTGGAAACAATTTGGAAAAATTGGAATCGCTAATGACCGGAAAAGTTCAATACCAATGAAAGTAGAAACGGACAGTGGATTCTCGAGTGACCCGGGAGATGTCTTACAGCGTTGGAAACATGACTTTCATAATTTATTGAACAAGCCCTTAAGTAGTGAATTCGATGACATACATTTAGATTTTATCAAAACCGGAAGTCACACATTCCCGAGTGTAAACTGTGATTCACTTAACCGCGATATAACTGAAGAGGAAGTGCGCAAGTCAGTGTACAAGACTAAGTTAGGGAAAGCAGCCGGAATTGACTCTATCATTAATGAGTGTATACGTAACGATACTTATGTAAAACTGCTATATAAGATCATAAACTTATGTTTCCAAACCGGAGAAGTTCCTAAAATGTGGTTAAAAGGTATTATCACACCTATCCCCAAGACTGACGGTGGTAACAAATGGGACCCCCTGTCGTATAGAGGAATTACCCTTTTATCAGTCCCGTGTAAAGTGTATGCAACTATACTTAACTCAAGACTGTCAGAATGGCTGGAAGATAAGGGAACTTTAGCACAAGAACAAAATGGATTTCGTAAAGGCAAAAACTGTATTGACCATCTTTATATATTGAACAATATTATTAGAAACAGGAAGTCTTCCAAACAGCAAACTTTTGCCTGTTTTGTGGACGTAAAAAAAGCCTTTGACACTTTAAACAGGGACTGTTTGATGTTTAAACTGAACTCTATAGGTGTGAGTGGTAGATTTTTGCATAGTATTTCGTCTTTGTACAATAACGTTTCATGCTCTGTTATGGTAAATAGTACATTAACTGAGTGGTTCCCAGTTACTCAAGGGGTTAAACAGGGTTGTGTATTGTCACCAACATTATTTTCAATATATGTTAACGATCTAGTTAAAGATTTAAATGAAGCTAACTGTGGAATTGATATTGATGGCACATTAATTTCGGTATTGCTATATGCTGACGATATTGTTCTTCTGGCCCCAGATGAACAAAAACTACAAATTCTAATGAATACCCTAAATAATTGGTGTAATAAATGGAGGTTAGTCGTGAATGAGTCTAAAACAAAAATTGTACATTTTAGAAACCCTGGTATAGTTAGAAGTAACTTTAAGTTCCATAGTGGTGAATTAAATGTTAAATACGCAGATGCATATAAATACCTAGGCCTGTGGGTGAACGAATTCTGTGACTATTCATACAGCGCTAAAGAGTTATCAAAATCGGCTAATAGGGCTTTGGCTGTGATTAAAACTAAATCGATACAGTTTGGTGGATTTAGCTACGATGTTTACACAAAATTATATGACTCGCTTGTCAGGCCTGTATTTACTTATGCATCTGGTATTTGGGGTATTAATACACATAACTGTATTAATGCGCTCCATAGTAACGCATGCAAATTCTTCCTTGGTTTGAGCAAAAGAAGTAGTAATTTGGCAGCAATGGGGGACATGGGATGGCTGAAGGGTGATAATTTAGTTAAGATTGAATCGTTTAGATATTGGAATAGACTTAAACTCAACGATGATATTCTTTGTAAAACTGTACATAAATGGGCCAATAGACGTAAGTCTTCCTGGGATCACCGAGTATTAAGTATCGGTCGAGAACTACATGTATTAAATGATCAAAGTGACACTGTATGTATTGATGATGTGTGGGATAGTCTATGGCAAAGGGAAGTGGGTCAGTGGTCAAGGGATGTATGGAATGACCGCACACATGTTAATGGAAACAAACTCCGGTCATACCGCATGTACAAAACTGAATTCGGAACAGAACCGTCTGTCAAAATTATTAAAAATAGAGCTCACAGACGCGTGTTGTCCAAACTTAGAGCGGGTTCACTCCCTTTGAGAATTGAAACTGGAAGGTTTGTTAGACCCCCGAACCTCTCTGCTTAAGGAAGTGTCTTTTATGTGATAATGGGGAAATTGAAAATGAGGAGCATTTTATTTTTAACTGTAAATTATACACTGATATAAGAAAAGTTTTATGTAATGAAGCCTGTTTTATTAATCCAGATTTTTTATTTTATAATAATGTAAATAAATTGTGTTTTTTAATGACAAACGAACGAATTTTACCATATTTTGCCGCATGTATTTTTAAAATGTTTGAACGTAGAAAACAGACTGTGATACCCTGAGCCTTTTTATTTATCATAATGTTTATTTTACTTGTATATTTGTGTTTTTACACATTGAATGTAGTTTTATGATATAATTCTAAGGTGTCTCATAAGTCGAATCCGGCTGGCGTCCATTTTATAATGCTGTAATTATTTTATTGTTGTTATTCTCTGTATATATGGACGGTGACACTTAAATAAATAAATTATTATTATTATTATTAGTAATTTAAGTGTTTAATAAACAGAAGCATTGTTCATTACAATGAATTAATAACAATGGCTAGATATTCATAAGTGTCCTCACTTGAATCATTTAGAAATATGTCAGCAATTAGTTAAGTGTACATGTTATATATTTCTATTGTTATATTCAATATTTAGTACATGTACACTTAACTAAATATTGAATATAACAATAGAAATATATAACAGGTTTGAGGAGCAATTTTAAACAGTAGCCGAATCTTGTACTCAATTTCCTGTTGGTCAATTTAGCACTTTGCCTTTCTCGCTTAGTGTTAAAACATGAATAGGACACTACTTATAGATTTTAAAGGGACAGTTGCGCTATTTTTTGACCAATCATACTTTGGTCTTAGAAACGGGAATTTTCTATTAGCTACACCAATCAGTAATAGTGTTCACAGCTCATCGTCGAAATTTGTGCCTTGAAATCCATGTCCAGAATTATCTGCGTTTGAGTCGTCTTTTTGAGGCACTGCCAGAAAAAATAGAAGAAGTAGAAGTTCCTAGTTTGAGATATTTTCTGAAGGAATTGTGCGTTTTTTCGATCGTTCATTGCTGAAGACTATTCACATATATTTCAAGACTCTAATCAAATTCCCAGAATGTCGAACATGTCCCTATAAATATGCCATTCCTGTAATTCCAGTGATATCTCCATGATAAATACAATTCTTTCCACAATAGTATTTTACGATAATGAAATAGTCTAACAATTATCCTGGAATTACATTGTACAAAAAAAAAAATCAAAAGAAAAGCAGTTTGAATGCCTGGTACTTATTCTTAGGCTATGAAAAGTCTATTGAATCGCCTACCGAGATAAATATAACGATATGTATCACAGACCAGAGTAACATGCTTATACATTCGGCTCAACCTTCGCCAATGTTCGAAAGTTTCTATGAGTTGAACGGCGATTAAAAGCACAAAGGCTGACATATTGTCAGGTAAATAGGCAAGAGCAGACGACTCTTTCTGAAGATTGATTTTGATTGGCTAGAATAGCGTTATTTGCACACGGTTGTCATTTCGTTTCCTTTGTAAACAAAAAGTTTGGGATTTATATTAATAGTAGTTATCTTTGATGTAAGTTGAAGGAGTCGTAACAATGGTAGGCTACAAGACTAAATCGTCGTCGAAGACTGGAGAAGTCTGGGTGTCAGAGACAGAATCATCCAATTTGATACCAATCCAACTACCTAGATATCAGCATCCGCTGGAAGCAAACTGTAACTTATCATCAACCAACCAACAGGTTGCTACCGCCTATGGGGCTCTAACAATTAAGTTTAAAATTAAATTTGATTAAGATTGGATATATTTTTTTTCTAATATTTTTAGTCCACATTAAAGATGGATTTCCTTATTTCTTAATGTCAAATTAAGCAATCTATTTGATTAATTGGTCGTTCTAATGAATTAACATGTATTCTCCATAATATCATTATGTTCTTATTGCATAGCCTATAATTAAGAGTTTTAACCAGTCATAAATGTCCATGTATGTACAGTCTATATAAACAAAAAAAGGACTCATTGGAGTTCAGCTGGTAATTCTCTTCTAATTTAGCTAATTATGAATTAATTATGGACATGAGAGACAAACTGGTATTTTTCCAAGTTTTTAGAACACCTCTTCTTTCTATTCAAATAATTATGAGCATTTTCATTTCATAAATGAAAATAAGGGCACCCATCTTTAATTATAATCCAAATAAATTTCTAACAAAAGCCCCATACGAAACTACGCATTGAGTACGTAGTTCACAGCCATATTGAAACTCTTACTGGATTTAATAAGTCGAAAGGTTGTAATATTTCAAAAAAGCCTTCAAATCACATTTAAAGGTTTAGAAATGGTTTGAAATGTGATATGAAGGCCTTTTGAAAATGTGTTTTATTAAAGCAAGAGAGTTGTGTTTGTGAACTGCGTTCGTGTATGTTATTTCCATACAAAGTGTTCTCACGGGGCTGCGAGGAACATGACTGAAGATATGGTACGATAAAAAACAAAGTTAAACGATGTTGACTTCAACTTTATTTGATGTTAACATACTAATGACAAAACGAACACAAACGAATGAAGGCTTTCAAACAATAAGAGCTATACGTAGTTTCGTATGGCAAAGACCTGTCCAATCACAGCGTAAAGATAAAGCCTCCATTATGCTCACAAAGAATATTGTTATGTAAATGTATATATTTTTATATATTTAATCTGCAAAACTAGCCTTTAGGCAACTGTTGGACTGAGAATAATGGAGGTATTATAAAAATTTATAATCCTTTTTATAAATCTATATGTAAGGTTTGTCAAACTAAAGAACAAATTTGAATTTAAAACTACTACGATTCGAATTTGAGAATATATGTACTGGCGTATGTAGGTAGGGAATGCTACCCATATCGGAACACCTAACACCATACCGAGACTAAGTTTGGTACGACATCTATTTGGGAAAGTCATAATGAGATGGTATAGCGATCCTACGAGACCTATTGTTCAATATCAAACTCGTCAAATTACATTTTGATCCAATCATGTGCACGAAATGAGAACTAATTATGGCCCAATGTACCATCTCTCATTCTGATGGGCTCGATTTAGCTTGTAACAATCCAACAACAATAACATTATCTGTTAACATTAGACTGCTGAAATTTCATCTTTCCTGATATATTACAACAACGTATTCGCTAGGAATTCAATTTTCTTTTACACGGCTTTTGAGCACCTTGACCATGTGAACGCTCACAAACGGAATCAGAGATGCTTTATGATTTGAAGAATTAGTTGTGGAAGGAGCGCTTCGGTGTATACCTTTTCTTTGGCCTTGTAATTCAGTAACATTTTCATCTAGACGATTCTGGATGACTCATTTCAACCCTCTCTTTCAGGGCAGAACGGCGCATGATACCTTGTCTGACAAACTAGGCCTACCTCAATTTTAAATCTCTAGAGGTTTCTAAAAGTAATCCCTTTTTATTGACTTCCTATAAACCTTTTAACTGGTAGATTAAGAAAGACAATAAAACCATTATACTAGTCACTATATTAATCTAAAATGATTTTTTGCCTTATATCTTGACTACAATAACCACCTTTCTTCACAGAATGAGGCACATTGAGTAGATTCCCTCTACATAAAACCTGCAAACATTGTGGCTGATTATTTGCTGTCGAAAACTCTGATTGGCTGTATTCTCAAAGATACAATCCAACCGAAAAGCTACATTTACAAACTTCCGTAATACAAGAAGGCTATTGCAATCAAGGTATGAGATGAAGTAATAGCTTGACATTGTGAAGATGATACAACCGATACATTGTTACAGTTGAGTAATTGATTAAAATTTTACGAACCTTTAACAGAGCGTCAAGAAACAATTTTGGTTCATTCGCGCTTTTATTCTGTTAAATATTACAAAAATTAGTTATCTCTTCGTGCGAACAGTTAAGATTTATCAATATAGTTGCTCAGTTTAGTGTGTGTGATGTCACTATCGAAAAAGTTACCCACAGATAATTCATTTAACGCTTAGTTTGAATGGAATTGCAAGACCCACAGACTAAAATTGGCTATCAATGTCTCATCAAAAGTTAAGAAAGTTTTTAAACAATCAGATATGCCATAATCTAATCATGACTTATTTTTAAAGACAAGCAATTAGCAATTATCGTAGCAATTATCAAAGTACCTTCACCATGGGTTCCAATCGGTCTAGGGTTTTTGGAAGGTTTTTTTATGTATCCAGACGGAATAGATACTTTAGGCTAATATGTCAAATGGATTAATGGAAGCCAGAAGGCGAAACTAACCAGCCTTTAATTTTTTTACACAATGAAGTCGTCAATTGTATTACTATTAAAAGCGTCTTAATTCCATACATATTGTGTGCACAGACTTGAAATAGAATAAGAAGACTTCTTCTGTAGATATATTCGGAGAAGGATGAAGCTAAATGATTTTCAACTTTTTCACGTTGTGTTATTCCTCATCAATCGTGTACTTTATTTTTGTGATGGCTCGGGTAGGTATATATGTGATAAAACTGCGGATGTTTGCAACATGGGTACTATAGTAATAATGTGTTGTGGGAAATATTCACTTTTACAAAGCACTAAGAAAGCGTAAAAAAAATAGTTTCCATCTTGAAATTGGATTTAATACGAAAACTGTTAAATAAGGGCGGGAGGTGGGGCGATTTAACCAAACTGTGCCAATGGTGTGGAATCTATATTACCCCGTGCTTCAGTAAATCTAATCTCTGCAGTAAGAGATGGTCGTCTGGAACGGAGGAGTATTTGTACTATTTCATGGGCTTTGTCACCCATTTTCATCTTAAGTTGTTGGTTTGTGAATCAAATTGTATCCCCACAAGGAGGGAAAATATTGGAACAATAACGACATTGATGTCTTCTTTGCAGTTTTATGCCAAGAACCATCTCCAGTACCAAATGCTTACAGGGAATGGTCTGGAATAGGTATGACCGCGGAGGTGAACTATACCTGCTATACCCACTATGTATTGATGTCGGGTGATTTGGTGAGGACTTGTGTCAATGGTGTTTATACAGGAGATGAACCTGTTTGTAAACGTAAGTTTAGGCTATTAGATTATGTATTCGATGTAAAGGATCGGTCTAAAATCATTTTCGGTTTAAAATCTTACCCGGGTGTTTTGTACAACCGTCATCTGACATCCACAAGCCCCTTATACAATCTGAGAAAAAAGGAATGGATTTGGTGCATTCTGACACATAATTCAGGACTATAATGTATAGAAAATGATTTTTTTTTAAAGTTGTTTAGAATAAAGAATACGATTGGGGAAGCATATCATTCACTGACAATATAATAACACCATAGACAATGGCACACATAATCTAGTCAAAAAACACGCACAATGACCCATGGATTTTCAGACACGAGTCACGTTTCCAGTGCCGATATAATATCACAAAAGGCAATAACCAGCGTGAACAAGTAAAAAAACCGCGCTAAACCGGAAGTAAACAATGATGAGGTATTGCTACTTTTGCGGATAATAGATTATGGACCCATCAGATTAAATTTGGCAGGACATCGAAGGACGTGAATGGATACCATCATGTTAAAAGCATTGCTTTACCATCAGTAAAGTGAGTATATAAGAGACATTTCTCAAGTTAAATCATTCAATCTACAATAAGGATATATGTACATATTTTCAGTTGATTGTGGAGTACCAAGAAATCTGGAGGGAGCTACAGTTAGTTATCCTTCAACTACCTCAGATTTAACATCTGTATCCAAAGCCAAATACGACTGTTTACCAGGTCTTAAGGTCAAGGGGAATAGTAAAAGTATATGCAATGTACACAAACACAGATGGTGGAACACCAAATTTGACTGCTATAATGGTAAATATTCTGTATTTCCTAAACTGATATGTGATAGACAAGTAGTGCTAAACATTTTCTACTCGGATTGTTCATGGATAAACAAGGTAATCCTGACACCTTTCTCCGAGGGACGTTGCCGGATAACCCCGTAAATATGTAAATAATGTAGATATCAACCAATCGAATTTCAATTAAGGAAAGACCAACCAAGAAAATCTCGAGATCGTGACATGAACGACATGAACTCTGAATATACTATAGCTTTATAAATCACTTCCTCCTCTTTCAGACACCGAAAATATTGCTGAAGGATGTAAAGCCTTTCTAGCTGATGGAAGTAACGTGGACCATGTTGTTGATGGTGATACTACATGTAAACCGCTGACAGATACCTCTATTGATATACACCTTAATGATACCTATAAAATAATGAAGATCTTTATTGTACATAACTTAGGTATGAAAACAATGACCAAAATACCTTCTGCTTGTTTTACTGTGACCACAATTCCCTATGCACGTATTAATGTTACCAAAATACCCTGTGCCCGTATTAATGTGACCAAATTTCCTGTCACCAACTTACCTACAACCATCAGAAGAACCCATGACATTAATCTGGGATAATAGAGATATATTAATGTCTTGTTTTATCGAATTTAATATAACCAAGACAAATCGCAAAACGAAACCCAAAAGCTAAAACAACATCTTAATATAAATTTCAGCGAGTATTAATAAGATTTCTGTATCAGCTATACAAAACAGTACAGGACTAGAAAAAACTTGTGTTGAAATGGACTATGGTGATGGTACCGTGGGAATAACCAAGACTTTATACAGCTCCAAATTTTATGCCAGTGCAAAATGTTATGGTGATATAGTTAGAATAGTCTTGACTCTATCAACCACCTTGTCAATATGTGATATCATGATATACGGAAATCTTTTTATAGGTAGGTTGTTCTTCGTTTTGACTGAAACTAGCTAACTCTCTGACACTCTGATAACTATTTATTTTAAAACAAGGAACATTCGTCAGTTTGATAATACCACCAGCCAATCAAATTTCTGCTCTCTCCATCGCTTGGAACAAAGGGTGCATTTAGTGTCTAATGCTTCTCATATGCTTTTCGCCTCACAAAATCCCATCGCTCGAGAGAGCAGAAATTTGACCGACTGGCGGTATCATCAAACTGACGAATGTTCAAGAAGACCGTCTTTAGACCCAAACTGAAGTTGCTACGATAAGAAATATAAGCTAAATAAAAACGGAAGGAAAGTTTGGTCTAATTTTAATTAGACACATACATGTGAGCAAAGCGTCTAACGTGGATTGAGATCAATTAATATGGTTTGCTTATATCTTGAATGTGTACAATTTTAGGATTTTTTTTCTCAGTTTGTGAGTTTGTTGCCTTTCATTACGGTACTTATTTTTTTAAATATGGGTATGTATTCTTTATGTAGTAATTCAATAAGGTCTGTATTGAATTGTTGTCAGAATTTTTATATGTTCAAATTTACAATTTCACTGTTTATTTCTGTTGATCAAATGCTACCTCTGCAAATTTGGACACCAATCCGGAATATAGAATATGCTGATAACTATACTCAGCAGTATCAGTTAAATTATGTATTTATGTAATATTGGATTTCTAAAGGTGATTGTGGTCAGCCGGCAGTGAAATTTGGTCAGACTGTAGAATATACAAATACAACAGAAGGCAGTACAGCTCTGTTAAGCTGTGTACCTCCATTCTATCCTGAAAATAATCATGGTGTTATAACGTGTCAAGGTACAGCATGGACATCATCCAAACTGATATGCACAGGTAAGCTACATCAGTTTTTAGATTACCGAAAATGTAATAAGTTTATAGGAGCTGAAAACCGGAATTTGCTATTTTGCCCCTTTCCCTTATCGTCCCTCCTTAATTTGCAACTTTCACTATTCGCCTTTTACCCATTTCGTCCCTTCGTTCTTCACCACTTCTCGGTTCGCCCCTTCACACTTCGATCCCTTTTTTTAATGTTAATTTGCTTATTTGTTATTCAAATCCATTATTTATTTCAGTTCTTTCTGTTTATTCATTAATAAGCCTTTTTAATGATTTCTGTCAAAACATTTTGTAAATGGGAGGTAAGGAATGACGCGCGCAAAAACGAAAAAAGGGTCGACTCGGAAAGTGGTGGAATGGGAATAGATTGGGGGACGAATTAGGAAAAGGCGATATGGAAATAAACCGAAAAATTGACCATTTTAATCATGATGTATATTTTGGATTATTTTAGACAGGCATGATAATATAGCTGATGAAATACCAAATAATTTATATGATATGGTTCTTGATAATAATTACACTACTTGTGTTAATATCGGCAGTTCTAATGGTATTCCTAGCGAGTGGTCAATAGATCTTGGTCAGGATTATGAAGTTAACAGCTTATCAGTTACTTTTGGCGGTAAGAAAATAACAGGGATTTAGTCGTTTGAATATTTGTTTTACCGGCTGATAAAGCTCAATTGCAGCTATCCGGATAACTTTTAAAGCTAAAGTCTTGATGTGTGATATTAATTCGGATGGCTAAATTCAGACGATATTTCTCGAACATTTTAAAAGTACTGAAATCAAAGCAATCCCTCTTACTTCTTCAAAATGGTTAATGTTTACATATCTTTGAAGTTGATTGTGTCTGCCCGTTTTGCCAATATTCGTGGAAGTGTTTACTTCCTGTGCAAGACCAAGTATACCTTATGCTTTTACCTTAAAATCAGTTGTAGAAATGCACGCCCCTTAAAGATGGGTATCGTTATCTTTAGTGTTAAATTAAGCAAAGTATTTGATTAATTGGTGTTTCTAATGAATTATCATGCATTGTTAATAATATCATTATTTTCTTATTGCATATAAATAAGAGTTTTAACCATTTATTAATGTCCATGTATGTGTAAACAAAAAAGACTTTTTTACCTTTCTTGATCGGTCACTCATTGGAATTCTGCTGGTAATTTTCTTGTAATTTAGCTAATTATGAATTAATCATGGACATGTGAGATAAACTGGTATTTTTTTTAAGTCATTAGAACACCTCTACTCTCTATTCATATAAGTATTAGCATTTTCATTTTCATAAATGAAAAAAAGGGAACCCATCTTTAACTGAAATGCCCTTGTAGAGATTACAATATTTGAGCAAAATTATCAAATGGAATAATAAAAGATGTAAGAAGATAGCTTTAAGTATTTTATTCTACGAACTTTCGTCGTTGTTAAGGCGACTTCATCGGGTGAAAATATTCACGACGCAACTAAAGACGTTGAAACATCATAACCCTATGTTCTATCTTGTCTGTGCTAGTGATTTCTGTCTATTCACTAATTTTCCGTTTCATGCGACAATATGTCGGTCATTGTAGATTTAATCGGATCAGCAGATAGAACATAGGGTTATGATCTTTCAACATCTGTAGTTACGTCATGAATATTTTCCAAATCATTTCACCTGGTGAAGTCATCTCGACGACGACGAAAGCTCGGAGAATAAAATAACTCTTAAAAGCTGTTTCCTTACTTCTTTTATTATACAACAGAGAGTGATACGTCATTTCCTACGATGGAATATCTTCGAGGGCTTCAAGTGAAATAGCTGTAGGGTTTCTTCCAATACTTTTTTTCACTTTAAGATATGGACCTGTCGCAACCAGTTAAAGCAGTAATAGTCCATAGTTCTGGAAAGGCCACTACCTGTCAGTATGAACGACCAAAGGGAGCTGGTGTTGTGGTTGCTTTTGTATGTTCATATGCACGTGTAACTCGTAATATTAAATTAACTGGAGGAGATGAGTTAAATCTTTGTGATGTAAAAATTAAAGGAAGATATTATGATGAACGTACGTCAGTCTGATAATTATTGCCAATTATTTGATCATAACTACTTGTGAAAAGTGACAAACATGGAAATTCCCAAAAAAGTTTTGAAGCAGAACCAGACATCGGATATTGATTCTGAAAAATGATTCTCATAGCTGGAATTGAACTTTTGTCAAACAAATATATTGATGGAGTATACGTTTAAGATGTTCTACTGATTCACAATGTAATAATTGCTTGAAAGAAAATATACCAGCTCAAAAATGCTCAAATAACCATATATATTTCGGGCTACATCTCAACAATGGCCGTATGAAGTTGTAATATTAGGGCTTCCCATACCGAATCGTCGTTGAAAGAGTGTAATTGCCAAAATGTTTTCTTTTTTTTTTCAGCTCTGGAATGTTACAATTCTTTTAAAGGTATAGATTATAAAGGAACGCAAAATGTTACAAGTAATGGGCGTGTGTGCCTTCCATGGGTCTCCATCCCCGAATACAGTTCAACCATTGAAAACTTTCCTGATGTATCCTATGATGAGACCGGCAATCATTGTCGGAACCCCAGCAAGGATGGTAGAGGCTCGCCATGGTGTTTTATATCGCCAATTGAATGGCATTATTGTTCTGTACCTAAATGCGGTAAATATATTGTCTTTGCATCGTATCACGAATATGGTTAGTAAAAGCATTATTATCCACTTCTGCGCCAAATTCTACTTCCGGTTGTTCGATTTTTTATTACAGATTCCGACTAGTCGCCAAATTTTTGCAAGGAAGTTGAGCATGAGCAATTGATAGCAACTGTGACGACACCTTTCCAGGTTTACATAGGTCGAAAAAATCCAGCAACTGATCAATTATTCTCATATTTGCCAGTCCGAAGGTCGAACTAGCCCATCCTTCTTAACATTTACAACCTTGACCTCGACAGTTATGATAAAATGAAATGAAATGAATGGAGTTTTACGTCCTATACAGTTATGATAAAACATGACAAAGTGTTTAATGATATTTAAAATCCCACACCCCGATGAATTTTCCGAGCGAAAGGGTTTGAAATGTCATAAAAACCCGAGGATTGAGATTTTTTTCTTTGAATAAGCAATAAGATAAGGGGCGCTACTGGTGCCCTTAAAGGTTCATCAACCAGTGAGCTAGACTTACCATATGTAAGACTAGGAACATTCGTTTATCATTGCAACTTTCATCTCTCCCCGATACTCTGCAATTCGACGAAAGTATGTCATATCTCGTTCATTTCGATTGACTCTCAGAAATACTAACATTTTCCAGAGAAAATATCGTACATGACTTACTATTGAAAACCACCAGCGTTCAAGGTTCTGTATTCATCCTTAAAACTTGTAGCAGTACCTTGTTAGTCAAAACCAACAAGAATTACGCTTGACCGAAAACTGACTGACAAGGTTTTGCCATTGGGTGGTAGAAGTGTTAAGTATCATTTTACCAAATCTGATATACAATACAAAATGTAAGACAAAATCATCGCTCGAGCACAACTTGTCCACTGTAAGAGAACGTAATCTCTATTGTTTATAAATCCAAAGCCTTCTCGGGTATAAGGGAGTCTGGAGTCAACATATACTCCCAGGATTTTATGAAATAAAACTTTCACTGTATGTTATGAGTAAAATCCCACGAAAGTAGATGCAAATCTGAAATCTCTGGGATTTAGTATATAAAATCCCAGGTTTTAAGTGGCGAATATTCCGCCAGAAGTATGAGATGACTTCACCAGAGGTTTAAGTAAATAGTCAGTCTGGGGGGAAAATTCAACGATTGCACGGTGTTGCCCGTTTTCATTCAAAATAGAACTTTGAACTATTTGTTTTTTTTTTCAAAGATGACATTTGTCTCAGAACGTCAGATGGAATGAGTTATAATGGAAATATGACCAAATCTGCTTCTAATAGATTATGTAAGACATGGAGTGACCTACAGTACAATGATAGATTTTATTATGAATTACCATCTAATAATTATTGTGGAAACCACGTATTAGATCAATCTAAACCATGGTGTATTGTTGAAGATGGTTTAAATCTTGTTTATGAACATTGTAATATACCAGGATGTCGTAAGTTATTTTTAAAATAGACCTCATCAGTTCTGTCGTGAACAATGTCTCATGTTCCATGAAAATTTATCTTTTCTGCCTTCCTTCCGCAGTCGTATATAGACCATGTCCAACAACTTGGAAATCCAGGAGATCTTTAAATATACTGTTATAAGACAGTATCATTAAAATTAAATCATACTTTCGTTCCGTTTTTTTATTTGTTCGTCAAATTAACCTTGGCCTAACTAGATGACGTCTTCTTCAAACAACCAAATTTCTCCCCGCTCCAGCGCTAGCATTTTGTGACGCGATCTTTATCAGGTCGAAAAGTCAGTTTGACGAACGTTTAAGAGTGCTGTCGTTACACCTTGAATATAAAATTGTTTATCGTTTTACCAGTGACACTATACTGAGTCATATCATAATACTGATAGTATCAAATAGAGTTGAGTGCTGGGGTGGTGGTATTTCAGGAGGCTTTAAGTGTCCCTAAATCATTTAAATTAGTCTTAATTGTACCTGTGGACTTTGATGCCTTTTATATGTAAATGATGTTCCCCATCACTAACATGTGAAATAGCTTAAATGGGTTACCATTCTGCAATTCGCTAATTCATTAATAATTGATATTTTTCAGCAAAATCCTCCAATATGGCTACTATGACATTATCACCACAATCCGTCGACAGTCGGTTCCTATCAAACGTCTATCAGTGTTTTTATCACACAGGAAGTGACGCAGTTTATTTTCACAGTAGTTATAGATCTGTGTTTGACTCAGCATGTTCAAAGACCAATGCAACAAAGATTCTATATGTGTGTTCATTTTATTTAGAAGAATGGAAAATTATCGAATATCTTTGTGGTATGTTTGAGAAATATTTTATCAAAGATGTATAGTTAAATATTTGCCTTTTCAGCTTTTAGAGACTATCTGTATCCCATTTCGGCACTCCCTTTGGATTTGTTTGATTCTGTTCGTTCGTCATTTGACTATATTATTGTTATATTCCAGATTCGGTTTCAGTTTTGTCATCTTCTATTGAATCAACATCTGCTTATGAAGACACATCCAGTACCATGGAATCGGTAACTGGTATTTTGTCCGAGCTATCATCTAGTACCATCATTGAATCGACACCAACATACGACGCTACCATTAGTTTAGACAGTGTCAGTGATGTAATTTCCAATAACAATGATGTCGTGTTCTCAACCGGAAGTTTCTCGTACATGAATACGGATTATCTGTTTGGCAGTGAAAGTTGTTGGACATGCTCTACGACTACGTCTACAATTGCAGTTTCTAGTTACGTTACAGAAGCGTTGATATCGACACAACTGGTCTCACGAAGTTGTACATGTTACTGTAGACCAAAACCATCACCTAATACTACTGATCTGGGTACTAAGTCAAATCACCTTCCTACAATGGAGAACCTTATTCTGAACAAGAGTAACTTATCACGAACATTTCGCAAGAAAAACAGTGTCCATGATAGTCGAACGTTTTCTATTGCTGTAGGCAGTGTTGGTGTTTTCATCATAATTGGTTCAGCTCTATTTCTAGCGTCCAGTGATTTTTCTAGGGTGTTAATGGGAACATCTGATATTATGAATCGGGTCAGGGCCACCACTAATACCAACGACAGTTGAAAAGAAATATTAAACAATCTGTAGTTTCCTATACATTACCAGTGTATATGACTGGCTGATTGGTTTAAATAACCTAGAACATTGAGTGTATAACAATTTGGTCAGATTAAAACACAATGAGAGTAAAACTGCATTAGAGAATAAAAATTGTTTAATATACAGAGGTATTGTTCATAACAATGATTTCAAACTAAAAGAATGAGATTCGTAAGTGCCCTCTCTGAAGTCCGAGTAATTTAGGAATGTAATATCAGCAGTTTGTAATGTGACAGGATTTATTATAGAATATAATAATAGACATACATAACAAAATAAAAAGAGTAAATTATAGTCGAATCTTCACTTCATTTTATATTATGTTAATATAATTTGTACAAAATTGCCACCTTAAAAGGAATTGAGAAAAGATTTACTACCCTTTGGTAACTGGTCATCAAAGCATGTCGATGATGATTTATTGCTTTTATATGTACCATTCCGATTTTCCGTCCGAAGTCTTTGGTTCCTGTAATTCCATGATTAAGATATCTGTATCGTTAATACAATTCAAGGCAAATAGTTATTTATGTGAATTAAGTCATAATTATTTTTTGTGGAATTACTAAAACTAAAGACATCGAAAAGAAAGTGTCTCTGGTGTTTGTACAAAGGGTAGACATCTTCTTTTGAATCCCTTTAACATCAACAATAATTGTATCATAGAGGAGTTACATGCGCCAGGGCCCGTAGCCAAGGGAACAGGAGATTTGAGAGTATGGGGTGAGTATCTATAGTCTTGTTCTTGAAAAACTACACGATTTGGCTGGACTGACTGCGGACGTTGCCATACTTTTTTTGCTTATAGCATACGAGCGTATGGAATTAAGGCTATGTCTTATTTTCGAGATTAAATGAATCTGTTTTGCCTGAATTCTTCTTCTTAACACACTTCAAGACTTCAGCAATTATATAAGCAAGAACAAGGATAGCAAGATACACGAACCATATTATCAAATTATGGGTTGCTGTCACGGACAATAGTACTCCTAATGATATATTTATTAACGCAAACACTAATGCAGTTCTTCCACAATTAAGATGTATAAATTCCCAGATTTTACGCCGTAGAGATTTTTCTTCTCCAACTGATGGTTTATGTGGACGGCTGAAATTATATAAAACTTGATTACGAAGTAAGCAATATAAACATAATGTTTTTTATCTCTTCTGTGAGATGGACATTTTTTAATACTAATAAAATACATATGAACAAGTTTAAAGGGAAATTCAGCTCCTTATACTTTGTCTCGAAATGATTTAGCTGGACTGACTCGAAAGTATTTCCATCAGATGACTTCACTCATAGTAGATCTGACAATTTTCTTTGATTACTTTATCCGTTATATTCTAACCAATGAAATCCGATTTCCAGATAGTAAGTTCAATTCATTCAGTTTCATAAACAGAATATCAAAGAATTCTTCAGGGTAAAACTAGAAATTTTGATTGTTCGAATCAGCAGGGTCTTTCAACTGAGGTGATCGATTCATTGTGGTTAACTACACATTTGATAAGATGGGTTTAACGAAGTGAATATATTGAAAGCAATACTTACATAGCGGCATTGATAGGTTGTAAAATACCCAATATCATTACAATAATACCAATAATAGCATGGGGAAACTTCAGATGATCAAATGGTACTGATACTATAGCAAATGCTAATCCACAGATAGATAACACTAAGCCAACCACCTAAAATATAGGATTGGAAAATATTGACATCATAATAATAGCCTACTATACAATTCTACAGGTTAAAAGGTTTAGAAACTTAAAACTATAAGCTTCTACTTCATTTCTGTTCGACAACTTGTGCTCTTGTAACTTACCTTTTCAGATTTCTGCAAATCAGAATGGTGTGAAGAAAGTTCCTTCAGTTGTATCACATGATTTTGACCATTGTAGTAGTTGTGGGTGTCGCGCGCGAAGCAGACCACGCTTTTTCTATTCGAAATACCCGATGGTACTTCTCTTTGGAGGTATCAACTACTATACTACCTTTACTCCCGATTTTGCCATTCTTGACTGAATTGTCCTGCATGTACCGATTTTTACCCCTTCGAGTTACTTATTCTAGAAAGCTTCTTTTGAGACCCTTTAAGTGGTTAAGATGTCGTACGATCCTATAGCAATCATGGGATACCATGCACAGTTTTATCTCTACCAAGAATCCAGGTTGCCAGACGCTTCCAGAAAAATGCTTCTTGTCATAATATTGGAAAAGGAACCGAGACCCTTGAAACGCAGGAATAGTCATAGTTTCGAGACTGTGAGATCCTTCAACGATTGGAAATCAAAATACAGAAGGCTAATTCCACCTTGATCTCAACATTTACATCTCTACTATAAAATCAACATACCTGAAAACCTCTATGCAAATGGAACCACAATGGATCCTTGAATTTCATATATCGGGCAATAAAAGCACCCCACTGAAGTAAAACACCCCATCCTGTTACCATGAATATACCATGAATTGTTAGAAAGTCTATAAAATTTGATGTGCAGTCTACTTTTTCTCCATTGTCAACATCATTAGCATTTCCTTTCAATATCCATAGATCATTCATTGCTGCCGAGCTAAATTTAAATTTGCATTGTTAACAGCATAAAACAATATCACTCGTTGTTGGAACATCAAGTACCTCGAAAAGAATACAAGAAGAGTAGTTCAATCTGCTTTCGAAATCTTTTTGTTGAGAATCGAATTGGTATTAGTTATCCTGCAGAAATAACACATATTGTGTTAGTTGCAAATGATTTCTTAAAAGCTCAAAGAGGAGTAATATTTCACTTCAATAAGAACAATGATGCTTTACCTTATGCCTCCAAACATATAAATTCCAGTTGGACCCGCCACCATGCCAGACTTCTGTCTTTTGGAAGGATGGTTATTACTCTAAAATGAAATACATCAGAAATTGTATTAATAGGCTTGATCAAGATTGGTTTGTCGACTAAATGCTTTTATGACAATAATATGTATAATAATCATATTTCTTATAAATTATTTGGCATTCCGTGTTATGGAAGGGACTTCCAGGAATTGCTAAATAATAACCCAGGCTGCCAGGCTGAAAATGTGTTCAGTCGACTCGCCGACAGATAACTCATCGACAAACCTGGATAACTCGTCGACAACATTCAGACAACTCGACGACATATATTGCTAAATAAATCATTTGAGAAAGAGTCAGAGTCCGTTCTCACTAATACGCGTTCGCTACTGTTAGTCTTCATCATATTAGAATTTTCTTGCGAACGGAACCAGGTGAACGTGTACGGAACCAGGTGAACGTGTATATATAAGGCGATGACAATAGGAACAAGGACTATAGAGTTATGTAATCTAAGAGCGTTTCATGTTGTATAATATATTAAGATCAGGATTATTTTTAGAAGTTTATCCATTAAGGTCAGAAGCGAAAAAATATTTGGTGGACAAATAGAGACTAAGATATAATTTTTCATATTCTGTTTATTTGCCCACATCGTAACTTTAAGATCTAAGATTAAAGATTTAAAGATGAAGAAAAATGAAAGATAATAATCTAAGCCTACTTACAAGAGCTGACGTTTTCCTGATGGTCCATTCATCTGTATCAGGATCAAATACTGAGATCTGGTCAGCTTGTATTCCATCAGTCTGAAATACATGTATTACATAAATAATACTTATATGGCTCTAGTTAGAAACATGAGATGGCTATCATCATGGCAAAATATCCATGGGGAAAATGATACCTAGGCCTTATGATTTATATTGGGAAATAAATTCAAGAAAAATTTGATCTGGCTTCTTAAATATTCCCATATTTTTCCAGTGCCAAATTGTCATTTAAACCGAAATGTCTTATTCTGCTGCGTTTAAGCTTGTATTTCAGAAATCTTCGACGTTGCATGGAATATTGGAATGGTGCTAAGTGAAGCCATGAATATTCCTAGTGAACATAAATTATAAAATTGTATAAATTCACAATATATTCAAGGCTTACATTGATAACGTTTTTAGATGTATCTCGTCCTCCATACATCACAACTCGTTTTTTACTGGGTGATGAAGGCAACATAGCCATTGCACCATACATTCTGAAAATTATAATAATAAGGCAGGTATTAGATTACGGACCAGAATGGTCAGTCGTGAAATATAACTTATTCTTTCCAAAAAAAGAGATGGCTATAATCCTTTTGAGGTTGTCTTACAAATTGAATCGGCTTACATTTGAAAGTTGATGCATACGGAAATAGCGTCCAATTACACAGTGAGAGTTTTTCGTAGTCAGATTGATGGTTGTTATTTAATAAACGATCTGCATTAATGTCGAATTGTACTTTTATTTTGAAAGGGTGTTAACAATACCTTGGAGCAGCACAATCAGGAAGACGTTTCCATGTCTTAGATTTTCCATATCTCCAGGAATCACCCCCAGGACATGGGCCACCAGTTCCACCTCCCCTAAAGTCAAAGATTTAATATTATTTTATATAATACATCAATGATTTAGACAATTAAAGGGACAGGTGTGCCATTCTTTTTGACATATCATACTTTAGTTTCAGAAACGGGATATTTGTGACTAAGGCAATCAACAATAATGTTCACAGCTCAAAATTTGAGCCTACAAAATTCATGTGAGTCCAGAATTACCTGCGTTTGAATGTCAAAATGACGATTCGTCATCTTTAAATAAATGATATATAGAAAAGATATATATATAGAAATAGTGAGTACAATTCCTAGTTTGAGATATTTTTGAAGGAATTATTCGATTTTCGTACATTTCTGATACTTTTGAAGACTATTTAAATATTTTCATGACTCAAATCAACCCCCCAACAAGGTCCACCTGTCCCTTTAAAAAATCCCTATATAGAAGTTCATTAAATCATACTCCTGAAAATTGGAGGTAAAAAAGTATGTTTAAGTGTTAGATCTATTATTCTTTTCAACCTGCTTTTATTCACATTATTGGGTGATCAAGCATCCGAAAAACCATCTATACATACCCCAAACAGCCACCAAACAGTATAAATTCATCTTTATCTATCATAGTACCAGTATGTAAACATCGTGAATGGGGATGACTTGGATCATAATCATTACAATTTCCACAGTTTTCTGCAATAGTTTCAATATTGTTTTTTAATCATCTAAGTCGAGCATTTTTTTATACATCCGTTTTAAATAGCAAACACAAGCTATCCACGTGAGGTAAGGTAATTGCATTATTTATAAACGCAATATGCATATAAGCAGGTTTTGCAGGTCGGATGGACATGGAAACGCGACTAGTAGTGTTATAGGCTGTGCACGTTATAGATCCTTGGGCCTGTTAAAAAAAGTTTCCTCATTGTACACTGCATGGCGCCCATCTTCATGAGCCCATCTAGGTAGAGAAAAGAACGACGTAAAACTCCATTCATTTTCCCAATTACTATGTATTTAGACCGACAAATATGACCCTACCAGTTCATCAGACGAGATAAACGGATGTGATATCGTCACGGATAGAAATAAAATGTCACATGTATCTAATCCATGAATTAATTAAATAAACGAATGAATGAATGAATAAAATAGCCACCTAATTTCCACTTCCGTTCAATAATATTGTAAGTGTATGTGTTGGGGTATCTGACTGAAGCAAAACCCATGTTTACATAGAACTCATCTGCCCCGTTAAATATTCCACCAACACCTCCATATCGAACTTCTGGTGATGTACTGTATTATCAAAAAAATATGTTGATTGCAAAATGAATTCGTTTCAATAGATTAATTATATGTATACCTACTGAGCCAATATCGATAAAAGTCGTGAGCAAATTACCAATTATCCTTGGTCGTTGACCTTGTGATCATATTTCATTTTATCTTGTGACTGATTGTGACCAAATTACGAAGTGTGACCGAATTACTCAGTGTGACCAAATTAATCAATTTGACCAAAATTATTGAGACCAATTCATATTTATATTATGAACTACTGTGATATGACTATTTTACCATGTGACAAATTTATCTCGGTGCATATTCTTGTAACCAATTTACCTTGTGGCAAAAGGTTTAGCTCCCGAAAGTAGCAAGGTCCCAAAACTCTAAAATTGTGTATTGTCGTTCGTAATCAAGACAGAGATAACTAAACTCAAGATGTACTCACCCATCTGGCTCTGGAAGCTTCTCCCAAAGCTCAGTTCTGAGATAAAAACAGATTTTAAGATAATAATTAGACGCCAGAAAATTATCACAAAACGACATGAAAATGTAATAGACTATATTGTATGGAATATTACATTTCAGTTGATAGGGCTCGGGAACCCTGAGGGGGGTAGTGGGTGGGCAAAAATGAGAGCCTCCAACCCCTCCCTTAGCGAGGTCTGAGGGCCGGGTTCCGGGAACTTTCAGAGGACCCCAGAAGCCAATAAATTTCAGATGGCCCGAGGTGCATTTTGAGCATTTTTTTCTAAAAAGTTTTCATTATCAAAAACGTCGTGAATTATAACTGAAAATATTTCTAAAGTATGTTATTTATCTATGTATCTATGAATTTGTTTTAAGATGGTTAATTAAAAACGGAGAGTACTAATTGTTAATTGTAAGTTTCGGTGATTGACTTTATAATGGCTCGTTATAATCCTTCGAAAACGCAGGAGACATAATATTTGCTCTACGATTAGGCGTTTATTTTAAATCCGTTCAGTAGTTTTCTAACAACTTCCAAAAAACATAACGAACTTAAAAACCGTGTAATAGTTTTAAATATTTTGGCGTTTAAGAATTAACGGCTGGATTATTTTAGTTAGACCCATTTCTCTAGATTTTGGTGTAGCCTACAGTTTTCATAAATTTGAACATGAGGACTCGGTCCCATGCGATGGCAACTTGCGTCACACCAGAAGGAAACGGCGATGGGTACGTACGTTTCCCAACAGTTTATTATCAAGTAAAAGTTACAAACATAGCTTACAGTATATCGAATCTCCAAATATCATTGAAGAATACTTTGTTAGCTCCTTCCCCAGTTGATATATAGAAATTACCATTGCTAAAACCGGATACCATACTGAATCTGGCTTCAGGTCCATTTGTAACAACCACCTCTTTCCAAATACCTACAAGTTTAAGATATTTGATTCAACAGCGTGCCTTATAAAGCACCGCGGAGTTTTATAATTGTCATCCCAGTATCGAGTGTAATCATTCTTTTTCCTATCCTGTGGTAATAGTGACTAAGGCAAACAGTGCTTGTAGGTTTCGTGTAGATTTTAAATAGTTGTTTTTATAAGATTTTTAAAGGTATTTCTTTACCACTATAGTGATGTAAATGACAAGCATAAATCATTTATTATGTCTTGGTTTGATTAAACTCTTAGCATCTAGTACCAATGAATTTTTTTCTTTATCCGCCAATTCATCGAGTCTTTAGGCGAGATAATGTAATAAAATCCATGCTACTGATACCTTTCACAATAAATACATGTATCTCTTAGAAACCTAGGACTACCATAACCTTATTAGATACTGAATTATCTTTATACGACAATAAAATTTGTCGAGTCTTTAGGCGAGATATTGTTTGATAAAATCTAAATCTATCTACTAAAATCTATAAATACATGTATCGCTCATAGGACTGGAACTACTATCAAATTTTATCTTATCAGATACTGGATCGTCTTTATCCGACAATTCATCGAGTCGTTAGGAGAGATAGTGTTCAATTACACCTATGCTACTGATGCCTTAACAATACAATAATACATGTATCACTTATAGGACTAGAACTACCACGAAATACTATTATTACATACTGGATCCTCGTGGCCGACAAGTCTTTCGGAGAGAGAATGTTTAAGAAGTTATTTTACATAAAATGCCTTACCTGAAGTCACGTCATAAATCCAGGTATCGTTCATAGGACCAGGACCACCTCCAAATACTATAATTTTATTAGACGCGAGATCATAACCAAACCCCATACTAACTCTAGCACTAGGTGCTATCCCAGCACCATCATGTAATCTCTCCCATTCTAATTGTCCTCTAACACAGACTACCAACACAGTAAACAACACACATGTTGACACAGCCATACTGTAATTAGATGTTAAATCAATTCTAAAGCATAGTTACTATATAAACAACTTACTCTAGGTCATATACTAGGCTGCATTGAGAAATCAATATACATGGATATACTATTCCACATGCTCATATAGACAGCGTTATCAAGACAAACTGTATCCGTATTATCCTGTGCTTCTTTACCTATTTTTCTATGTCGTGTGTACTATAATAATATAAACAACTGTATACTAAGCTATAGTGGGAAATCAATAGGAAATTAATAAATTCTAGGTTATAAGAGAATGACAATGGATTTTGATATCCTTGTTTATACGACTAAGTCATACTTTCGGCTAAGACGTATAAGAGACAATATATGTCATATTTTTGGCTTAGACATATAAGAGATAATGGACATCTTGAACGGAAGGAAGTCATTACATTATTTAATAAGGAGTGTTTTCTTTGCTGAGACTAAACAAGTATTACAGAAGCATAAATATCTGAAAACTTAAAACTTATGTTGAATATACAGATAAGTTAAAAATCTTACCTTTGGTCAAATGACATCATTCACACTATATTTCACATTTGAATGAGTATATTTTTCTACCAACTTGTTCTATGCATAATATAATACTATAATGTGAATTACCCAAGCGCATCAAAACTAATATAGTACGAAAACGTCTACTCTACTAGCGTGGTGGTTTAGAAGGTTATTAATTGTGACCTGTGATGTCTAGCTAAAACCTAAAAAAAAGTGTGAAAATAAACTTATATCTATGGCTTCAAATTCCTTTCATCTCAAACATGTTTGAAAAATTGAAAAATGCGATAGTCTCATATATTTATCTCGTAATTTTTGATGTTCTTTAACTGATGTCGTCACACTGAGAGAAATCTAGAAAATTGAAAGGACGCCTTGTGGACAAAACGTTTTCTTGACTACTTTACTGACATCAAGGATTATAATAATTCGTAATGGAAGAATTCGTAAGTAATGGTATGAACATATCGGACTAATGAATAGTCAGCAAAATAAATAAAATGGTATTATGTCCATGTTTTTGCTATGTCATTCATATTCTGATGTCTGTGCCTTTGCTTCCGAGAGTCGTCCTAGTGTCGGCATTCACCATCTAATACCTAAGACACACTGACCAAACAAATATTGATGTGTATATTGATTATTTTTTGAATGATCCACTTTACTTTTATTTTTCAGGAATCGGGAGATAAATTCAATACGCTACAAGTCTTCAGATATATTATGAGATATGTTAATTATTAAATAAATATATTTGGGTGGGATGACAAAGTATTGCGTTCACTATGGAAAAATCATTAAAAAAATGTGACTCATAGAATTTTAAAACGTATCTGTAAATGTAATTTATTTATTTATTCACTCATTCACTGCAGTAAAGCCGGTTTTACAAGTTCGAATGAATTCTTCATTTTGTCAAGTCATGGTTATAAAAACGACATACAAACCTAAACAAGTATGATTTGACAAGGATGTATGAAAAAACATGATTTTCGAGATATTCCTCTTCCTAAGTTTTCCCGAATCGTTTCTTGTCATTTAGAAGTCCAAATCGAGATTGGAATTTCAGACTCCCAAATTTTGGCGTTTTATCATGCCCTAAATATATCAAGATAGGCCTGTGAATGAAATTTCATCAAGTTTGAAAGTGTAAATTGATGTATTTTCAAATTTTCAAACTATATACTCTCTTTTTTTGTAACACGTCAGGGAATTTCAGTCAAGGTATTAGACGAAGTTCGTAATAGCTCGACATTGTGAAGATGATATTGATAATGAGTTAGATTTTCATGATTTCTGATAAAATTTATTTGCTATTTATTACTAAAATATCAAGATAAATGGTCGATTCCTTTTCCTTCATGAAAACTGCAATACCTTTTCTTAAATAGTTTTTTTTATAACTCCAAAACATTTTCAGAACAGTCCTAAGCCATGAAAGCTATGGCTGATATTTTACACCGTACTTCGGGCCGAGTGATATGGCCTAGCTCATAATGCACGGAGCATGTTTGTCATAGTCGAACGACTAGGTAATTTTTCCTCTCGACTATTTTGGCCTGTATCACCGAGCAGATGAAAAATGAAATATAACAAATGTTACTGACAAAACCACTATGTTAACCTCAAGTCAAAAGTTTGTTTCCGTTCTATTGGTTCTACATTGCCGTTGCTGTCGATATGCATATTAGGATATTATCAACACCAGCATCTTCACAATGTCAAGCTGTTACGAACTTCGTACTAATTCCTTGACTGTAACCAGCTTTCTTATATTACGGATTGTGGCGATTTGATTTGATTGTACGCTAGGGAATACAAATCAGAGTCTTCGACAGAAGGCTGTATTCTGGTAACGTACAATCCATTCATATCGGATCATTTACAAACTTCCATGATACAAAAAAGGTGTCTTGCTGTCAAGGTATAAGTTTATGATAACTTGACATTCCAAACCCAAATTATGTCACCATAGCAGAAAAGATTTTAATTAACTAAGGTTAACTAAATATGTATAAGAATCCAGTCTTTGTTTTGTAAAATCATCACTAGTCTTATCATGTAATAGAAAGTAGGCCAATAATTCAAGGTCAAGTGCGGGAGTCATTTTGACCGATCTTGATCAACGTGTGAGAGCATTTCCACATGACTCCACAAATAATATATTTAACATGATGTCCTATGTCATTCTGGGGTTGATAGTCGAGCTAGCACCATGGGTATTTTAAAGGTAACACTACTGTTAGGATGTGTTACTACAGTATTGGGCGTGACATCTGAAATTCTCTCACCATTAAAAACTTCTGGAGTTGATGCTGCTTTAATTATTGTTCCTGGTGCAGATATTAAAGGTGGAGCCTACAGACCATTAGGTATGTTTCGCTCACAATATTGAAATACTATGGCGTAAAGTGATTTTCAAATCGAACAATCAACGCTCTTCAACAAGCAATTTGTTTTGTAAACGGTTCCAGGAGACGTGGTTTGAAGGACAATAAATATGCGTTCATTTATTAGGTATTACCTCCAATGTTAAGTTATTTGTAATGATATTTGGTTAATTTCGTTGGGGCCAATTTGCGGTTCATACTTCGTTACGTAAGGTACCTTCTACTACTGAAGCAGAAAAGTACATGTCAATTTTCATTATTTGGCTGAAGTATTTGTAATCCTGGATCTGCTAATAATAATAGTGCTTCATCAGAAGATATCCAACATGTTTACTGGGGGTTAATATTTGCAATGCTTTACTCCGGAAGCCGTTATCAAATCTATAGTCTACGAGTTACACCCCTTTGCCAGAAAATGTCTCGATTGTGATTAGATTATAAATAATTGTAATATTCATCAAATTGGACAGGTCATTATTTAATTCATTTGAGGAACGAGATCATTAGCATGTCACATGGGTCACCTGTGGATGCTGGAAACTGTCATCAAGCACAATTGATAAAAGTTTCAAAGTCTTACAAATTGTAAGTCTAGGTCACTGGTTTATGAACTGACCTAGTCTTGCAGGCACGAGTTGCGCCCCTTTTTTCATTAATATTTTTTCCAACCTTGTCTGTTTATAAGTCAGAAAAAAAACTTTCACTCAGATTTTTTATGACATAAAAAACAATGTTCATCGTAAATTCATTCTGGATGCTGGATATTATTCTAAACATAAAAACCAGAAACCAGGAATCAGCAATGGTTAAAATCAATATCTTTGAATTCCAGCAAGACACATCCAAGAAACATCTGATTTAAAATTATGGGTCGCTTTATTGGAAGATTTCCCATTCAACCTTCCTAATCCTCTACAGTTGAACGGTGCCATATCCCAGGCTGTGTCCAGAATAAAGGCAGCAGGAATGAAAACAAATAATGTGTTTGTAGCTGGTCACAGTTTAGGGGGTAAGATTAATTTCAAAACGTTAAACCATTTCAGAAATCATGGCTGTTCACTTCGCATTTCTTTGACGGTTTTGGCAACCTTTTAATGCTTCAACATTATAGATTTCCAAATTTAGCGTAGCAACGGTCCCGATCAGGCTAGAACACTTTTCTATTTTTATCAGAAGAGACTGTCGACGTCGTGTAATGTGCAATGAGATTTTACAAAGACTTTTGGCGAGGTTCTTTAAACGTCCACAGCCTTGAGCACTCGAAGATTCGATTTATTGTCCTATCTAATCTACTGGATGACAGTTTTCATGTAAGCCATTATCACACGAGTTGGAGGACAGGGGTCTAAATAGCGGTTCACAAAGACAGTATCATCTGATAACACATCTTTCACAGTTTATAAAGTTCTTTACTTTAAGGATCCAAATAGCGAAAAGAGTTTTAGAGAGTGAAACTCTATGCCAAATGTATGTCAGGTAAATCCTGCAAAATATTTCTATGTAGTATAACAATATTTATTCCAGGTGTATTTGTTGGTAACTATGGAAAAAGTAACAGTAAATTAGTAAAGGGTATCATTTTATTTGCGTCCTATCTGACCAAAGGTAATAAACTAGCTGATTATCCAATACCAGTTTTAACTGTATCTGGTGATCTAGATGGTTTAACTAGATTAACTAGAATAGCAGATACATTTGAGTAAGTATTCATAATGAAAAGATAACCATCTTCATAAAAATTGATCTCTGCAGTAAAAATAAACCTCTTGAACCGGTGTCGCATTCTATGTTGATGGAAAAACCTAAACATGCATCCAACACGGGCAACATCCAAGCATCAGCAATTGCATTTCAAACGACTGCTACTATCGGCATCTAGGAGAATCTGACCAGTCCTTCCTCATCTTTTTTCTTATACAACAGTAAACTTTTATAAATGGCCATGTGCATTTTTACCGTTTCCTTCAGTACTATCTGTACGTATCCTATTTCTACTTTAGAGAACTTAAAGGTGATGTTGCAAAGAGAAGTGATGCTAAATATAGAACACCAGTTATCATGATGACTGGAGTTAATCATGGTCAATTTGCATCAGGAACCATGCCATCAAACGTACTGAACTATGACATTAAATCTGAGATTAGTTCCACTGCAGCTCATCTCTTGATATCCAAAAATACTGCTGATTTTATGGTGACATCTATTGGAACCGCTGGTTCAGCACTAAAGTCCGCTAAGCACAGATTAGATCAAGCTTATGCTAGAACTGATTCTTTCTTCAAAGTATGTATTTCATGTTACTTAAAAGTCAACTACAGCTAGAGATATAGCCAATTCGTTTATATGATGACCCTACCCCAGAATCCTCATAAATAGCTTCTGAAGCCGCTGTTAAAACTCTCACAGCTATCACGTTGACTATTGACTATTGAAAACGCTTTTGACAGTCTACTCTTCAACGGATTCTGTTCGTTAAACTGGAGGAAAACTGGTCGTAGGACTGTGAAACGGGATGCTGACAATTCTTATTTATATACGTGTAAATCAAAGTTTTCTTAAGTCAGAATAAGTATATGGTTTGGGATAATTTCAGAGATGTTTGTACTGATTACTATTTTAGCCAATATTGGATATGAAAAGAAATGATGTTAATCCACAAAGATCATCCAGCTGGACTATTTCAGCCCAGTATCTAATCTCTGGTCTTGATAAATCAGTACTCAAGGTAAGGTTTTCCAAATGCACTAAATACCCCAACTTTCGTTCAGGCCCACTCAGCTGATAGAATTCAGTTTCATTCAATTTTCCACAGTTACTCTGTGTACTTCTAGAAGCGACATGTTATGTGCGTATCCAACCTAGTGCGTCAAGGCGTAAAACGATAAAACTGAGTTTCAAAATGGACCCTTGTGAAAAGAAAAATGGCGTCGGCGTTATAGTTCAAGGGAGATAATTCTATAAAAATAAACAATTATTTATTAGATTTATATAAGACTACCATCAACCACTTACATCATAATACTTATATAAGTATATTGGCCAGACTTTTCATAGAACTGGTATTGTGTTCATGGTTAGTGGATCAGATCTATGCTGTGTGACGGAAGATCTTTTCATCTTGTTCAGAATGTTTCAGGTTACCAATAAAGAGGAATCTAATTTAGCGTTTCCTGTTTCTAAACCGGAAGTGAAAACAGCTTTTTCTTACGAGTCCATTAATACCCATTCTTACCTATCATACGCCAACAATCTGATGGATGTATCAACAGTTATGAGCGCACCAGACTCATTAGATGCTAAATTAAAAAGTAAAGAAGCCGTATACAAGGCATTACCTAAAAGTTATAAACCACATTCTACTGCTTCTAAGACCTGTATGGATATCAACAAGGTGGGTACACATACTGTTGATCATCGATAGTCCTAGGGTTTGGGGTTATGAATTAGGGTAGTGCAACTTTTCCCTTGGGATACCATAGCCTCTTAATCGTTTTCAAACTTATACTATAAATATGAAGTAGGTCTGTACAGAAGCAAATGAAAATATAACCAGAAATATCTCTTACACTTAAGTGGTTTAATCTTTAACACCACCGGTTCAACGTTGCGCAGATGACACTCATGCAGACTCCAAAGACTAAATACCACCAAAAGCATTGTCTCTTTCAAGTGGCCAAAGTATTATAAATGTAGATCTAATAATATTGAGAGTTCTTGATACGAAGAAGTCTTAAAATATTAATATGATTCAGATTACATGTATATGATACTACTACTACTGTATTTCAATTAAAGGAAGCATGGACTCTAGCTCTAAAACAATCTTCAAGGACAGCAGTAAAAAGATTTCACAGTATGGGGCGATCGATGAAGTTTATCAAGGATCACGTCTTCTCTACTGGTATTGATTGGATATCCTCAAGTGCATCATGGAAAGAGACTACATCAGATGTAACTTTTCAATCAACTGCACTCGTTAGTAAAGTAGATGCCTTTCCTGCGGCCTTTGCTGGTATGCACTACTGTAAATTGCTGTCCCCTTACAGAGCCATGGAATGGATTTATGTAGACTCATTGAGGAAAAAAGCACGTGATAACAGCTTTATCTTTGGATAAGTGTACAAATTAATGTTTGCTATCTTCCATGAATAAATTTATATACTAATATTCCATGTTGCGTTAGTAAAAATCTTTGCTTCTCCGAAAGAAGCATTATCGTCGAAGACTCTTTTGTTCCTTGAACGATTATAAAACGTTCCTACTCCTCTAACCCTGCATAAACCGTATACTTGCGACTTACTGAAACCCAGATCCAAGGTCCCATAATGTAATGCTGAAACTCAAATAGCGAAAATGGCGAAGAAGAAGAAGAACCATAGCAGATGAACTGAGTATCAACCATACAAAAGATAGTTTTCAGCAGCATCGGAGTTCTGCTTGTATCAGGAATTTAATATTACGTAATAAATATTTTTAGATAAACTTTAATCATCCCAGATCTTATCTTCAGATAATTTGTACTGGAATATCTGAAAACTTCTTACGGTTAGGTACGAGAGACATTTAACCTATTTTAGTTTATCTTTAGAAAATCTTTGAGATAATTTCCAAATGACTTTGCAAATACGCTATATGACTGATAAAGTTCAAACGTCATTCTGGTGTTGATAGTCGAGCTAGCACCATGGGTATTTTAAAGGTAACACTACTGTTAGGATGTGTTACTACAGTATTGGGCGTGACATCTGAAATTCTCTCACCATTAAAAACTTCTGGAGTTGATGCTGCTTTAATTATTGTTCCTGGTGCAGATATTAAAGGTGGAGCCTACAGACCATTAGGTATGTTTTTATTCAAGACTGGGTTATACGGACAGTAACTGGGATTATTAAGTAACATGTACCCTACATCGGAACATTTAGAAATTAAGATGAGCTCAGCATGGCCTTTTCGGTACACGGTTAGAATAAAAAAAATTAGAGCAAAAAGATATTTCTGGTAACCTAAAGTCTAAAACCCTGAAGATGTTTTTAATTTCCAAAATCTTTCTTTAAGAATCAAACAAGATAACTGAAATACGTGTAATTGTCCTTTTCTCCAGCAAAACACATCCAAGAAACATCTGATTTAAAATTATGGGTCGCTTTATTGGAAGATTTCCCATTGAACCTTCCTAATCCTCTACAGTTGAACGGTGCCATATCCCAGGCTGTGTCCAAAATAAAGGCAGCAGGAATGAAAACAAATAATGTGTTTGTAGCTGGTCACAGTTTAGGAGGTAAGTCCGATTCTTGTTATTTTAGTTCCCACTATTGCAATGCCTGAGGAGGAAGTTCAGTTCCTAGGATTAAAAATGAAAATGATCTGTGGTAGTCGCTAGCTTCCAGTTTTCAGTTCGGACATACGGAACTAGCTCGCATTAACACAAGGAAACATTCAATGGCGAATACGAAGTCGCCGAGGAAGACCATGCTATTTGTTGACTGTTTAATACTCAGATTGGTACAAAAGGTGAGTTATTGCAGTTGTAAGCAAATACATCTCAAGCCAAACCAAATTGGTTTCCCGTTCTATAAAATGATGTTCAAAATTGTGCAGCTAAAGATTGTATATGACTATCTATTCCAGGTGTATTTGTTGGTAACTATGGAAAAAGTAACAGTAAATTAGTAAAGGGTATCATTTTATTTGCGTCCTATCTGACCAAAGGTAATAAACTAGCTGATTATCCAGTTCCAGTTTTAACTGTATCTGGTGATCTAGATGGTTTAACAAGATGTACCAGAATTGCAGACACTTTTGAGTAGGTATATAAAGAGAACTTGTCATCCATCAACATCTCAATCCTATATCCAAAGGACATGGCGTGTATGAGCTATCCGAACTACACAGAAAATACATCCAATGCTCCTAGAACTTGGTGTGCATGGTCCATGCTCCGAGGACTCTATGAGTTTGACCTATGCTCTGACTGGGACTTGATGTGTATATTCTATGCTCCAAAGACTTGAAGTGCATCACTCATGCTCCTAGGCGTGTTTGATAAGAACTTGACCTGGTTGATCTATGGTCTGAGGATTGACGTATTAAAAGACTTGGACTACAGACGTGATACAAGGACTTGGCGTGTATGACCAGGGCTCAAAGGATCAGTCGTAAATGTGTTATTGCTTTATCTTCAGAGAACTTAAAGGCGATGTTGCTAAAAGAAATGATGCCAAATATAGAACACCAGTTATCATTATGACCGGAGTTAATCATGGTCAATTTGCATCAGGAACCATGCCATCAAACGTACTGAACTATGATTTGGCATCAGAGATTAGTGCCACTGCAGCTTTTCTCCTGATATCTAAAAATACTGCTGATTTTATGGTGACATCTGTTGGAACCCCTGGTTCAGCATTGACTTCTGCCAAGTCAAGATTAGATCAAGCTTACGCTAGAACTGATGATTTCTTGAAAGTATGTATATTATTTTCCTTTGTCTAAGCTTCTGAACTGGAGTTTTGCCTCCCACTGCCCACTGAGCCAATGATGAAGACAAAGGCATGCAGTCGGCAAAGAATCTTGAGGGATATTTTATGCCTTCGACTCTTCCGAGGACAATAACATGCTCTTGAAGGCTCCTACGACATGTATCTTCGACATCGTCTACACTTTTGGAAGAGGATCCAAACCTTCTTGTAAATTAAAGAAATACGCATTTAAATGCTTTTTGTCTAGCATTACACATGGCATCACTTGATGGCAACTTTTATTGCTTCACATCATCTGGTTTATATTTTAGGGGGTGGTCCACTGTTGCAGCATATCTACTTACTCATGGATCATTTTTAAATCCTCTCTTATTGAAAATTTTTTTTCTATTTCAGCCACTATTGGATATGAAAAGAAATGATGTTAATCCTCAAGGTTCATCAAACTGGACTATTTCAGCTCAGTATCTAATCTCTGGTCTTGATAAATCAGTACTCAAGGTAAGGGTTTTGCAAGGGGTGATCTGATTTCCGCGGGGGATTTGACAGTTCTTGATGCTGCTGTATATGTAATCTTTCAAAACAACGGAATATATATAATTTTTCTAGTTATTGATTGCCAAATCCTCCAACATTAACAGTTTAGATTCTGGATCATTTTCATGATAGAATCTTTCAGGTAACCAATAAGGAAGCATCTCAATTACCTTTTGTCGAATCCAAACCAGAAGTGAAAACAGCTTCTTCTTACGAGTCCATTAACACTCATGCTCACCTATCATACGCCAACAATCTGATGGATGTATCAACAGTTATGAGCGCACCAGACTCATTAGATGCTAAATTAAAAAGTAAAGCCGCCGTATATAAGGCATTACCTAAAGGATATAAACCACCTTCTTCTGCCAATGTAACATGTCTGGATATCAACAAGGTATGTTCTTTCCTTTCTCGCTTCACAGTAGTGGTTATAAGTGCACTGGATCGGGAACTGAGGGGGTTTTCATTCCCTTTGTGTATAAGGGACACTCATAGAATTTGCACAAATCCACAAATCGGATCTCTTTAGTCATGTTATACCCCGAAACGGTTAAAACGTCACTTTCGAAAATCGCTTAAAATGGCTTTCCAACACAAGCTGCTCAATTAAGCAAACATGGGGGTCTTGAATAGAAATAGAATAGATTTGTGCAAACGAGCTGTATTATCAATCATTAGGATCATAGGTTATGAATTCTATAGGCAGTGCCCAGAAAGAGTTTTGTATTCGGTTGCTATATATTGTTATGTTTACAAGAAGATACATTCCGTGCTTTTCAACATACATTACTATTAAAATTTCAGGCAGCTTGGTCTCTTGCTTTGAGAAATTCATCAAAACTAGCCGTTAAGAGATTTCAAGACAGAAAAGCACGAGCAATGAAGTTTGCTAAAGATCAAGTCTTCTCTACTGGTATACAATGGGTTCTTTCTAGTGCATCATGGAAAGAGACTACATCAGATGTAACTTTTCAATCAACTGCACTCGTTAGTAAAGTAGATGCCTTTCCTGCAGCATTTGCTGGTATGCACTACTGTAAATTGTTGTCCCCTTACAGAGCCATGGAATGGATATATGTAGACTCTCTCAGGAAAAAGGCACATAGTAAGGGTTGGCTCTTTGGATAAGTATAAGTCACATTTGTTTGCTAGCGTCTTTAAATAAATTTTAAGTAATGAGTTTTGTAATATATATTGCACCCGATGCGTTCCATTGCCAACTGCCATCCTCTTTAATCCACAATTATCACCAAACGGAAAACCAATATTGAAAAATTGGACTGTTTCATTTGATTTTTGGCAATGTATTTTAATTCGACAATACCTGCATTTTTAACCGAACTTTTTAATTTTGTGTCCAAAGTGTCATTGAATTCAGTCCTTTGGAAACATCCCATATATTAGTTGCGGATGTGGAGAAAGGACTAGACGGGTAAATTTTGAATGTGACACATCTGGTTCCGTACCCGTTCGATTGACGCCTAGAATCTGTCGGAACTTATCAATCGAGCGCCATCCAAGGGGGGACATTACCAAGCTGGCAGTGAAAAACAGAATACAGTTCTTGTGTGTGGTGAAGAAAGTCCATCCTATCAATCATGATGACCACGTAGCATCTACCACTTCAATTAATCGATTGTTTCTCACTATCATAAAGACCAAAAAAGTTTTTGAAGGAAAGAAAGATATGGGGTGGGGGGAGAGTTTGTTGGAATCAAAAATAATTTAATTTATAAAATTATATTTTTAGATCACAATATCAATGTGATGAATAAATTACATAAATATTTGATAACAATTAAATTGGTAAAGATAGGCTAGTTGTAAATTGGTGAAAAATGTCAAAGATTAAAGTAAATACAATAAAAAATATTTATCACAATATAAAGATCACGAATTTATGATCTCAATAAAAAAAATCATAATGTAAACATCTGGCAAAATTAAGATTAAAGGATGAAGATCACAACATGACAATCACAATATAAAGATCACAAAAAGGCTTATTTTTGGACGGACACAACATTGAGTGGTCAATATAGATACGATCATTGTATTTCTATAAAAAGCAAAGAAAAAAATCTATGCTCATAAACATTCAGTACTTATCTTGATTTTGTTCAAAAATAATCTGCAATTTCAGAATCAAGCATCCATCTAACATAAAGACAAAATTTGAGATTTTGCAATGAAAATTTTTTACATTAAAAGATCTGTAAGTGCTATTATAATTTTAACAAGTGCAAATAATTATTTAAAATGTAAATAAATTAATAAATTAAATGTGTTGACTAACTTACTTTATAATTCATTAATCATTTCTAAAATAATCATTATAATATGAAATGGACATCAACTATAATATATGTAATAAATTGCTTAATCAAAAGTTTATTTCACTTTATTTAAGAGTATATTATATTCTGTTCCTCATTTTGCATGAATTCATAACAAAAATTATAATTCAAGGCATTTATGACATTGTAACCTCAATTAATATTATGTAAAGAACTATGAATTAATTACATCTACATATAAATAGTTAATATTACGTCTATGAGACAGTTTTTTTGTACTACCCTATTTTTGCCACTAGAGAATAAGAAAGGTGACACTGAAATATATAAGCTTTATAATTATAATAATAAACTCAAATTTCAACTCATTTCCGATCATTTTGGGGCAAAAGAAAGTGCATAGCAGACTTCCTAAAATACAGAATATTAAAAGACAAAGAATAAATATAAAATTTGCATAAAGAAGATCGAGGTTCATTAAAATTTGTTTATAACATAAATAAATAATGGTCTACCCTAAACAACCTAATTTGAATGATTAAAGCACTGATATCCAATTATTATTAATTTAATTTTTTCTTTCGTTTTGGCTTCTCATCAGATTCTTCTCCTATAGTTGCTGGTAGTGCTAATTCTGGTGGACCAAATGGATCGACCTACAAAATAAAAAAGGCTTCAAGCTACTGTTCTAATGAACTAAATCATAAAATGCTCTCCTCAAAATTGCATTCAGATGCTCTATTAGTATTTCATTGTTTCTATATTTTACATCGGTGAGCCCCTGATTGATAACACTTAAATGAATGCTAATCTGCTAGTCAAAGTGGATATCAAAAGTGACTACCAAATCTTGAGTATTCAAAATGCTGTTGTATGTAAACTTTTTGTTTAACCTATGACCAATTTCAGTTCTATGTTCTGATGCTACTTACATCAACTCGTTCATTCTTATTAGGATAAACTCTGAGATCTGTAGCTTGGGGACCGTATTGTTTTCTAGCACGACCCCAATTAGCTTTCACTTCTATATCTTGTGTTAATGTTTTAGGTGGTTTATAATTATTACCAGTTGAAATACACAATAACTCATCTCTACTGATATCACTAAAATCTTTAATCTGTAAATATAATTTATAATATATAATTATTACTAGTTGATATACACAGTAACTCATCTCTACTGATATCACTAAAATCTTTAATCTGTAAATATAATTTATAATATATAATTATTACTAGTTGATATAGACAATAACTCATCTCTACTGATATCACTAAAATCTTTAATCTGTAAATATAATTTATAATATATAATTATTACTAGTTGATATACACAGTAACTCATCTCTACTGATATCACTAAAATCTTTAATCTGTAAATATAATATATAATATATAATTATTACTAGTTGATACAGACAATAACTCATCTCTACTGATATCACTAAAATCTTTAATCTGTAAATATAATATATAATATATAATTATTACTAGTTGATATACACAATAACTCATCTCTACTGATATCACTAAAATCTTTAATCTGTAAATATAATTTATAATATATAATTATTACTAGTTGATACAGACAATAACTCATCTCTACTGATATCACTAAAATCTTTAATATGTAAATATAATTTATAATATATAATTATTACTAGTTGATATACACAGTAACTCATCTCTACTGATATCACTAAAATCTTTAATCTGTAAATATAATTTATAATATATAATTATTACTAGTTGATATACACAATAACTCATCTCTACTGATATCACTAAAATCTTTAATCTGTAAATATATCTATAATATACAAGCATTACCAAATAGTAAAAGTTACACAATACCGTTTTAACATAAATTTGATCTTTATGTAATTTTACCTGTTTTCCTTCTTCATTGAAGATAAGTTTAGCTTTCTTCCACAAATTAAGTTTCAAGGTAGCATTTTCTAAGATCTGTTCTAGGTTTTCAGCATTGATATAAACAGCTCTTTCTGAACTTTCACCATTAGGATATACCATAACACGAATCTGCAATAATCATTGTTTGAATTTTTCACATGGCTCCTTGAGAAAAGTTAACCTTATTACTTTTCTGCTACTGATATTACTTGAAGATAAGCAACACCATGCAGTGTCCCATAATAGAAATTTAGAGTGAAGAAGATTATTTCTATGTAATGTGCTAAGAAACTGGGTTAATGAGGAATATCTACTTACAGTTGATGGAGGATGATATAGTTTTCTTGTTGTTCTTACATTTAATGTTGCATTACTACCAGTCTTCTGATTATTACGTATTTCATTTAGATGACTCTAAAAATAAAAAAATTTCATCCATACTATGACACACACGAAAAAAACACCAAAAAAACTTCTATAACATAGTGAGTAGAAACATGATTTTTTCACTTAATATAACTCGACTGATACCATGTGAACCTAAATATAAACCAAAAAATAAATTTTTTGTAACAAAATGTTGTTTCTTTCAAGATTTTCAATAACAAAACACTACACACTTTACCTTCAATCACTATTCAAATGTATGAAGTTATTTAAAAATAGTATTTAAAATATTAATATATATATTAAGTGTCACATTAGCTACTCTAGATTTTGTCATACCACAAAGAAACAAATTATAATTCTGATAACAGCAAAAATATCATTAAATGTTCATACCTCTAATTTAGATACATTCTTATGTTTTATAGCTTCTTCTACTGTTGGTTGTTCCCAGTTACCTTCTTTAACAACAGGTTTCTTACTATCTAATGTTGTTTTATATTCTCCTGGTTTCTGACTCTCTAGTCTTCTGCCTGAAGTAGTCATACATATAGTTCAGATAAGGCAAGGCGTTCTCCACCCTATGGAACACCTAATTCCCCTCTGCAACTGAGTTTGTCTATTAGAAATCTATTATGGGAAGTAGCTATGCTATTTGATTACATATATTTTTGACAACAAGTGTTTCGAAAGAGCTTAGATAAAAAAAATGAAATAAACATACCTTTCATCTGTCTTAGAACATGTTTTTCTATATCTAATTCTAGAGAAACTTGGGCTCTGAATGCTCTTCTCTTCTTTCTGTTGGTTTCCTTAGATTCCACAACTGAAACAAACATTAGCTTTAACTATTAACCTTGCCGTTGAAAGCTATAGTATGTACTAGCAAACCTTTTTAAAACTGACTACAATAGATATTTTGATCTGTGTTTCTCTTGATGGTGATTCAGGTCAAATGGGCTGACATGTTCATTCTGTTAGGACAAACAATTTAGGCCTGTGTGTTCATGCTGTGTGCATTATAGATCCACAAAAAAGTAGAACCAAAGCAAGCTTCCCTTTATACATCTCCCTATTAGTACCACTACATAGCTTTGTCAGTATTTATTAGACCAAGAAAGCTGCAAAAATCCAATTCATTTTATTGTAAATAACAGTATGGAATAATGTTGAAGCAATAATGTTCATTCCTTTTCTTACCTTCAGGAGGAACAAAGGATTTTCCACTGGACACCCATATTTCTATAGGATAGCGTAAAATACAATCTAATGTCGGTAACTTGATGGTATTCAGTAACTCATTTCTTCTTTTGGCAATCTTCTCAGCTTCTTTAGAATCAACTGAGGAAAAAATTATAAACTATAAAAATGACAACCTCATTTTCGAATCAAATGTCGTGATGATGGATTCGATAGAAAAGATGAGCTCATGTCAATTCATTTATGCACAAATATTTTTTAATAATATTTCTTACCTTCTCGTCTCTCAGCCAAATTTTCTGCATCTGTCAAATTATGTGTGTCTGCTACTTCCTGTCTATTGTTGGCCATATTGTTTTCTTGATGTTCTGTACCATCTCCACCACGTTCAGAACTTCCTCCTCTTTCATCTTCTTCATCCTGTTCAATATGATCCATAGCACGTTGTAGTTGAGAATTCATCTCAATTGGGTTTCTATCTTGAATCATATTCATGTTACTTCGAGATTCTGGCTCTGCTTCTAAAAGAATCAAAATGGCTTCATGTAAAACCTTATAATTTCAGCTGTTTTTTCTAATAACCCTAACTTACACTTTAAAGTAGTTCAGTATGTCTCAACTAAAGCAGAACAGAAACAAAAACACTGTTGTCATCACATGCAGTTAGTAAGCCATACATCAAACAGAGCATTTGATTAATTGAATGTTTTAATGACGTAGAAAAGAACATGGATAGCTAGATCATCACAGAAAATACACATAATGGAACATCTAGATCTGCATTGATAAAATATTTTATGAACTTCACATCCTGTTACCTTTAGGTTCTCCATTATCAGACAACATCTTCTCTAACCTATCTACCACTGAATTCTTATAATTCTCCACAGCATATTCTATCAGATCATCAATATCCAACATGACTTGACCATCTTCTGTATACAATCTTCTGGCAGCATTGCTTAACTTTAATCTTGTCATACACTGGTTTAATAACTAAAAGAGGCATTATTATGTGAATCCAGGGTTCAGAAAAAGTAAAATTTAACAAAAAAAAAAGGTTCCATGATGCTCCAGACAACAAGATCATATTTTATTATTAACTTGCTTTGAAGTTATAAATAATATACCAAAACCTCAGAAATGAGAGTAACCTACCCCTTGAATACTCGAACCACAGATAATTTCACCAGGTCGTAGTCTACCTTCACCATTTTTATATGCCAAGATCTTACAGTTCTTAATGTTTTTAACACCACTGATATGTTTGGCTATTGTTGAGGCGTTTGTTTCTTCTCGCAGCTCAGCAAGGTTTTCTTGCCATTTACTAAGAGTTATCTCTGCTTCGTGAGTTGATAAATCAACTTTACCATTCAATAATCGTAGACTACCAATCTGTTTTAATCGTAATTTTTTTGCTGAAAAGGAAAATTTAACATAAAAAAGAATGAAAAAAATTAGAACACATATTTTGGAGTAAAAATGTGTTCAGATCTTAATTGTTTTAATTTACTGATATATCATTTCAAGAGTTCAGAACAGTAACAAATGAAAGAAAGAATTATAGTTTAACATGCTACTGTTTGGGTATGTAGTGTACAATGAGGGGTATTTTGCCAGGATATCAATATTAGCTTACTCTTTCCTTGAATTCCAATTACCAAGATATCTACCAACATCCACAACTTGTAGCACACAGGGCATAGGTTTATTGTCTCATCCAAACAATTTTATGCTTTTCTTTTTCGGCCCCTTTGACCTGCATCACTAATAAAGGGAAACCTTGGTGGAAAATCTGAATGTATTATCTCTTCCTAAGTTCACTAGACCTCTGTAAAGTAAATAGAAAGCATACCTGTTCCCATGGCACAAGAGAATGGTGTATTAGGTTTTAACTTGGTGATCTTATATCTTCCTCTCATAGCTCTAGCACATGATATACATACTTTAATCTCCATTGTATTAGATTGGTTGTTATTATTACTTCTCAATGGAATTTCTACAGAATAACCCTACAAATAAAAAATCAATTGTATACTAAACCCTTAGAAGCTAAGTATATGTTTCAATCTTAATCTGCAAAAATATTTTCTTCCCATCTGCTTAAAGCATAGATAAAATACCCTATACCATGTCTTATGGCTATCTTGAAATAATATTTTTTTTATAAATATTTAAATGACTTACTGGTTGATCTATCTGAACTGATTGAGCTATAGCATGCGTACAGACATCAGCCTGGTTAGCAGCTGTTATTTCTGAAATAATCATAATAAAATCATGTTAAAAATCTGATTCAGCAGATGAATATAATTTTTTTACTGCCAAGCAACTTCAACAAGCACTTACAGCAATGTAGACTTCATACATACTTTTTTAACTTTGATCAGAAACACCTTTGATATACCATTTAATAGTTAAATGACTATGGCCGCAGCTAGTCAAACACTTATCACCTACACATTTTAACAAACCTATCTATACAGCTAAATGCTTTTTAAATCCAATTACACACAAGATTCCACTGTTTAATATTACAAAATGTAAGAAGAATGTATTTGGAAATGTGTAACTTGTACTCACCTTTATCCGGTAATTCAGTATAAAAAGCTCTGATTAAACCAGATTCAGCATCATAATACCAACGTTGATGTGCTTTACCAAACTGATTAGTGCGTCTAGTCTGTAGGGTTACCGGGCAACCAACAAATGTCATGGGATGTTCATCTTTTGTATTTTCTAAGTTAGGCATTGACACTGTCAATACCAGTTGCTGATTCAATTTGGATCGAATTTCACTGAAAATAATATAATATAGCAGTTTTAATCACAGGCAGGTTCACTCATAATCACTCACCAGTGTCACTACCAGATGTTCTGAAGCTGATATCGGACATGACTGGCAAATACAATAAAATCAAAGGCCCTGGTGGACTTGTATTTAAGCAGTCATCTTTAATCAAATAATTTCTGTTAAAATTTGAGATCAACTTGTTGGTTTGTGAAAAAGCTCACCAATATTTCACAATATATCAGCAAGGTTTGACAAGTACTTGCAAATACTGGATGAGGTTTATTTTCATACATACCCATGTTGTGTCATGATCCATTTTTGATTGATGTCATCAGGCATTCTCTTAACCAATAAAACTTCACTGACATGCCCCTCTAGTTCATTGACACCTAACACTAAATTTCTATTGGTCGTTGATGCAATATAACCGTCCTCATAGGAAAATGTCTGCAAAATATCTCTTGGATGTCTTGGGGATGGTTTTGGCCTGTAATAACAATATTTAATGATGATCATTTTACCTAGGGAAAGTAGGTTGGCAGGCTAAGTTGAACACTATAAAGTTAAAGATCAACCAGCACATTTCTCACTATAGGTTATTGCATAATGATTTCCTAATGGTGCTGTACAACAAAATACAGTGCTAGATGAAACTGAGATATTTTAAAATCATTTCGGCCAAAATTAGTGCACAACTCTTGTAATTTTGAAAATATCTATCTTGTCATAAATCATTAGGCATGATGATTAGACAAGTGCACAATATAAATCATCTTAAAAATATTTATATCAGTTTTCAATACAGTGGAGCCTTGTTTATCCACACATTTCCTTTTTTGATAAAATCATGCAGTTTAACACATTTAGGGATAGTTGAAACATGCCATACCATAAGAAGAGTTATGTCCCTTCCTATATACATATCAGCATTTGAAAGACAGACTTTATAGGGCCAATATGTCATGAAGAACCCTAATTGTTCATAGTTCATGTATTTAAATAATACTAATTGCTAAGTATGGCAAATGTTTAAAATGTTTACGTTTGAAATAAATGTAAAATTGAATATGAAAGTGAGAAAGTGACATGCTGTCTAATACTAAGTGAAGAAAGTGATAACATACTTATATTTTTCATACATTTCTTTATCAGTATATTTCTTAGCTTCAGGATCTTCATAATCATAACTTTCAGTTACATTAACTAATCTCTCCCACGGCCATTTTAGTGCATTTAGTCTCTTATCTGACTTGATTCTTGCTCTTTCTCTAGCTGTCCTGTAAAGAAATTGTTCAGAATTAAAAGAATATGCTAAGCGAATCGTACTAGCTATGTGGACTCTTCTTGACAAACCTGACTGTTATGTTTCCGAGAATGACAGAGCTCCACAAAAGCTTTTTGAAATATTAAGCACTCTCTGTTCCCAATCCACCTAGTGTGATATGAATTTAATGTTACATGTAAATCAAGAAATGTCAAAGTTACTTACAAATTAGTAAGATCTTCCTCTAACTCTGTCTCCTCTGTTTCTGCTTGTTGTTGATTTAATGTTTCTGATGTCACTTCCTGTGATTGATTAAGTGACAGACGCAGATCATCAGATTTGACATATTCTTTATTTATAATAATCTTGGAATTCGGAACCAGGCTACCATCAACTTCCAGTACAAACTCTAAAAAAACAATAAGTTTGATCTTTTAAAATGATTTTATAAACTTATATGCAAAGCACAAGTATAATGTGTCTTAATCATGGTACAGAGAGCATAAACATGAACATTTTCAAGACAATAAACTCTCTATTTTACATTAATTTAGGTCAATAAGGCAGTGGTATAGCTAAATTGATAGTGATTGTTTTCTGAGACAGTGCAAGGGGATCGGTTGATGTATAGACCTTATTCAAGCGTCAGCCATATTGAATCCAGAATGAGGCTCATAACGCAAACAAATGTAATGTTGTGTTACTGCAGCAAAATCACCATCAATAACACCTGGTTTGAGGTTTGAATGAGGTCTTTTTCAATGATTAATTTCTATATTACACTTGATCTACTTACTTTCTGGATTGCGTAAAGCACAAAATCTTTCAATTTTAGCCACATCATGAGTTAGCTGAGATAAAACTGATCTTTTTTGTTGTTCTTCTTTAGTTAATTTAGGATCAGTCCAGTTTTCACCACAAGAAATATAAACTAATTGATCTCGTTCTATAGTACGTAGTGAGAAATGTTCTTCACCATGTTCATCAAACATTCTTCGACCAGCAAATGGCAGATTTAATATGGATGTACAGGAATCTAAAAACTAAAATATGTGTAATATTATAACATAGCCATGATACTCCAGTATTGGTAGAGTAGTGTTACACATGTATGTCATACAATATCTTATATCATAGATCAGTTGATGGGTTGAAAATAGAACTCATCATTGGTGAGAATGTCATTGGATGCAAAGATATATTTATCGGATCACAAACAAAACATTCTATGATTATAACAGGATCTTACTCTAGTAAACTCTAGTTCTTGTAATGTTAAATCTGAACAATGTAGTTGAAAATCAATATCACTTTCACTATTACTATTCTTCTTATGTTCTTTCATCTGAAAATAAAAAAAAATAAAAAATTAGAATATCCCTGACTTTTATATTTCAAATCCAAATAATGATATAAAATAGATAGTATAATATGTAGTTTGAAGCTGAATAGCCATGGTTTTTCCGCTCCAGCACACAGTCATAGTTTGATGTGTAAGAATCTCTATTGAAGTGATAAAATATATTTACCATGGACATATTAGGAGCTACAATTGGTATAGCTATACTTTTATCTCTTTCACCATTCTTTAATGCTATTAATTTCAATGGAGAATCTGCAAGCAAAATGAATATCAGAAATAAATTGTAATTTTACATCCTACTTTTCTCTTTTATTTATTTCGACAGCAACACATGCAGTCTGCAATCAGGGAACTTTGTCAGATCAGAGCCATGTGCCTCAACATTTTATCTTTCCAACTACAGTGGAGGCATGTTTATCCGGAAACCCCGATATCCACACGCTTTTTACTGAGAACGGAATATTTACTATGTAAAAGTAACTGTTAATCCGGTGCTCTGGTCTCCGGTTCCGTATGGCTGTGATTGGGAACCAATTATCAAATTCTATAGTAAATAGTATTCATCATTTGATCGCATGTTACTGTGAGTTCTTATAATTGGCTTTCGGATTACCGGTATTTTTTATGTCGCGTGATTGGTGAGATGTATAAGGGATCATGCAAAAATATCAACTCTTCTTTTTGTGTTACTTACATCCTTTTGGTCCGGTTTTTCTGATTGGAGGAGCATTTGGTATTAGATATCCTTCCATTGGCCAATCATATTTCTACAATTTAAATAAAATTTGAAATAATTTAGATATCAAAAAATTGACAAGAAGTCATAGCATAGGCATTTTTTAGACCAACTCTTACAGTTAAAGTTTAAAGTAATGTTTACTTACTTCATTTAATTCTCCATTTTCTTTTACTGGCCAAGAATAAGCTAATTTATTAAATTCAGGATTACTAGCCTCTGTAAACTTCCATTGACCAAGATTCTCAAATTTCTCTTGTTTTAGAGCAAACCTGAGGGAAATAAAATAGAGGTTAAAATTTGCTTAAAAAGATCAGTCTAACAAGGTGACGACTTCAACAATTCACCTATAGTTGCAATATCATATCCACATGATGACGACAATCTGAACAACATTGTGACTGTTACAATTGGTTAATCAAAGTTTTGATCACACTGTTTCCAAACAAAACAAAGTGCAAATAGTAACTGAAGTGATAGTATCAATTGGCACCATTCCAATTTTGTATCTGTCTATGGTTCCTGCAATTCCACTAAAACTAAGTGTTATCACGCAAAATTTGCTTGAATCACCTAAGACCTTTGTGGGTGTGACGTAAAAAAAATCACTTAGTTTTTATAGAATTGCTAAAACCACAAACGTCTGACTGAAAATTGTCATCATTGTGCCCGATACACATACAAAATTCAGAAAACCTATTTACAATCTCTTTAAGAATTGCAAATGGGAGTGAACAGATGTCTTCTGATTATACTGCACAAGCTATAGCACATCAGTAGTGGAACAAAAGGATATATATATATAGTCTGATATCTATTTTATATATACTGCAATTAAACATATCATATTAAGTCATTCTACCAACTTACTTACCTTTGACTTACTGCATCTTTTTTAGGTAAAGGTTCAGTAACTACTAAACAAACTCTTTGACCAGAAACAGTACCGGTTGGTTTATTATTCTCATAGGATTCATCATCACCATTCTTACTACCAATATAGGTTAGATTCATACCAGTTTTTGACTGAAATAGTATTAATACTTATTTTTCAACTTCCTTCTAGTCTAATTCAAAGTTTGCTGACAAATTCATATTGTAGAAGGTTTTCATGACACAGTGTGGGTAAGTATGTCTATGCGCACATTATTTTGCTCCTGCTGAGTAAAACTTATCTTAGGTGATGCATTATTGGATAGTCAATGAGAGAGTAGTCTTGTTGGTCAAGACTATGTTGAGTTAGCTCATATCGTATGTGGATTATATTCCTGTTTGTCTTGCCTGCATACTATCATTTAATGGTAACATAAAACTAATAGTGTTGTGCGGTCACAGTACACATCAGTTCAGTTTTTTTTTTAAATATCTCATATCTGGAGTGGAGGACTCTAATATTATATATAACACTAATATTAATATGCTTTGAATTTTTTCAAGTTGATTTTGAATTTATTTGCAGTAACAAATCAATATTCTGTGTTTCTATAAGTCTTGAATTCATCTTAGTTAATGTTTTAAGAAATAAGACCCCAAATGCTACGTTGAAAATGACAGAAAGATAACAAATGAAATGGTTGAAAATACTAATTGAGGAAAGACATGAAACAGTTACCTGTGGTGAAACAGTACCGTCATTATTAAATGTCCATATTTGGTCAGGATTTTGTACTTGTCGTTTCTGTAATGTTACAACTGAACCTTCTATAGGTATTTCTTTATTAAATATTTTACCCTCTATTTTAATATCAGATACACTTAGACATAGTTGAGGCATAGATTTACTATATATATAACCAGCCTGAAATATTCAGAAACAAACAAAATTAATATTCACATAAAACTGTTCATACCGTGATCATGTTGTTTTCTGGAATATAAAACTCTAAATAGCTGTTTTAACAGCTGATAGAGCTCTGGGTTATCAGTGATTATTTTCAGATATAAAAATGGTGCGACATCATTGGTTATAACTGCATGTATGCATGGTATGACTCTGAAATATTCTCTAATAAAAACTTCAATTAAGGCTTTGACTTTTGGATATGCAGTCTAGTTCAGTATTTGGTATTCATGATTAACATACCTTAGATATTAACCATATCTGACTGTTATTATAGGTTCTTTTTATTTTCTCATCCGCAGTAACTTCAGGATATAAAACTTTATCTCTTTTTTCCTGTTCATAAATAATGTTAATTCAGTATCTATATACAATGGAGTTTTATTTTCTGCTCATGATTTGAAAATTTTGTCAGGACATTTGCATTAAAGAATCTTTATATTAATGTGTGGAGCCTGTTGCACGTTAATCATCCCATCTGGACAAGAAGATGCTTTTTCCATGTCTGCCGCTTTGACCTGCATCACTGACATAAAAAACAAAGCTGAAAAATCTTGATCTAAGACAGAACCTCCAGGTTCTTCCAAGTTAACAAGGAAACATCTTATTTGCATGATTAATGTTTCAATCATGACACTACATAGTACAACTAAATATATTTTCCATGTCAATCTACATATAATCAATATGAGATGAGATAATCGACTTACTTTATGTATTAAATAATGAGCTCTACCATCTAAGAGAGCATTTTCTATAAGATATCTATCTCTCTCTGGATCAGGGTAAAGAGAATCCATTTTAGGTTCATATAACATAGGAAATCCTATTGTTGATTCCCACTGACTGTGTCTAGAAAGACATGGAACAAATGCATTAAAAAAAATTAAAATAAAAGTTAGTAAATTTTTAAAATTCAGAACTGTAGCATCAACCATATTCGGAAAATAGACTGTTTGATAGTAGTTCTATGAAAATCAGGAGTTATCAAGGTCATAACCTATTTTCGTGGATATAAGGATTCAACACCGTATTTCGTCTTAGATGAGTAACCTATTTTCGTGTACAATGTTTGATCTATAAATAAGTCTAGAAAAACACGTTGTATGGATACCGGGTGGTATAATTAACTTCTCTTAGTATTTATCTTTAGTATCAATTCATTATAACTAGTGACAATTCCTTCAAAGAACCACGATTTAAAAAAAAATAGTGACTGACATAATAAGATACGTAGCGTGATTTATTGCTAAAAGTCCCTGAAACAACATAAGAATATGCTCCACTTTGTGTTCCATAGAAATTTTCTGCTGACATGGAATCCTCTAGTTGATCACGTGACTTCATTCGTTAGACTACATTCTAGCAGACGACACTTGGAATTCCGATTACCGCTTGGGTTTATAAGGAAATTCGGCCGATAAAAATCGGAAATCCACCATTTTGTATTTGTCAAAGTATACATTAATACATTTTACCTTGCTTGAAACTACTGGATTCATTCTACTAGCTGATATTGTAGAGAAAACCCATGTTTATCAAAACAAACTAATGCGGAGGTCGCGCAAGGTCGCTCATGTAAATTATTTACATTTACGGAAATCCACGAATAATAGGTTTCCACGAAATTAGGTTACTTGACTGTACTTACGATTCAACGCCTGAAGATTCTTCAGCAGTAACAGGTTCTCTTATAACATAATCTACACCTTCTCGATCTATTCTCTTAGCTTTATCAAAACTTGCTGATATACAATAAGCTGCAATAATATTGAATATATTCTTTAAAGTGATAGACATAAGATTTTTGTGGTTAAGATTGTTATTTTTCCATTACCATTTTCATTATATTTATATTATTATTTATTTATATTTTTGTAAGTGTATGAACTGGCGTGAACTTGGATATCACTCAAATTTGATTTTGAATGGACAGAAAATGAGCAAAGATACTTACTGAAAGGTGTTATAAAAGCTTCACCAAATGATAACCAGATTTCATTATCATATTCAAGTTTATGTACATTAGTTATTTCATGTCCAAATTTATCAAATACTTTCTGGGCTACAGCATTAAGTTTTGGTGCTTGTGTATGTTGTGTCCAATGGCATGCTGATAATTCATCCAAAAGCTGAAAAATCAAATCAACATTATCTTTAGTATGTAACAGTAGTTTTCACATGACTCATCATGATGTATTCCATATATAATAAGAGAATTGAACAAAGAACTGCCTTCATCTCAGTTATACACTTTTATATACAGTTTTCAAATATCATTTCAACTTCTGTTTAATACATTTAGATATTCTTACTAGAATCTAGATATTTTTTCATGCTAGAATTTAAAAACCCCAAAAAATCGTTTTTCAGTCTTTAAACACAATTAAATAGTATAGACATGCAGTAAAAAAATTTGATAAAATATGGAAAGCCAGGTTGTAATAAGCTAATGTATAAAAAAGTAAATATATTTACCCTTTTTAAGAGGAGGTTGTTTTGAGAATGTATTCCTTTCATGCCTTCACGTAAATTAAAGAAAAATACATGATCACCTTCATTTAAACCATTCTCATAAACCTACAAATTCAAATCAATTATTAGCAGAATAATCAATAAGTAATTCATATATGTATTGAAATAAAAACCTACAACCTACAGACCTCAGTTCTAAGCAGTTTCAAACACACATTTTTTACCTAAAAATGAGTACCATTATATAACAAGTTTAAAAGAATTTCTAGGCATAAAGTTCCAGCAGATGAGGTGTGCAATGAGGTATTATGGCAGTTATTTCTAACAGTCTTCTACCTGTTTATTCTACCTTCCTCTAGAATAGCCACTTGACCAACATTAGAGGAGATAACTCTTACCTTTAAACGTAAACCTTTAGGCCCTACTATACGGCTATCACATGGGATTTCTTGTATATGATTCATTCTATATTTAGCTCCATAAGCCTAGAAAAAAAAAGAGTTTTATGTCTTGCAAAAAAATATAAAGAAAAGCAAATGTCACTAAAGAGTTCATCCAAGAAATAAAGGTATTTAGAGAAATGACAAGGTGATTAAAGAATGGTCAAAAGTTACCTCCTCTTGTTGATGTTGTTCTTCTAGACTTTCTAATCTTCCTTTAACTTTACTATAGACATCTTTATATTGATCAACATCACTCTCAGCCTAGTAATAAACAATATCTTACATGTTAATTAACACAACTCATCAAACATCAAATATATCACTCTACTTTTGGTTTAATAAGACAACTTTATAGAAATCATATGTGAATTTGTCAATGTTATAGGGATGTAGTAGTATTTGCCAATCATGTCCGTTGAACATCCAAAATGGCTGTAACCAGATTTTTACGGTAAAATGCATTTTTCTGGTGTGGAATTTTGTAACAAATGGCCTGATTTCGAAACAAATGCTCAAACTATAATAATGTAAATGTTAATCATGACCTACCTTAGACTGTGCCTCATATAATTCTTCTGGACTCATAGATTTAATAGTTTTATCTTGAACATTTTCATCATTTAAAGATGCTTCAACCTACAAAAAAGATACCAAAATCTTATAGTTGAGAACTAAAAAAACATGTAATATTCACACAGGGGAAAGCTTTAAGCCTTTATATCTACAAGGAACATTGAGAGGTACAGAGGGAAACCTTTACACATGTACCATATTGAAGAATTTAAAGTTTATTAGAGGGCACTGATGACTATAGTGGTTTTTTTTTTTCGTCTTACCTCAGATTTATAAAGTTTGGCCTGTTTTAATTTCCGTTTAATAATTGATAGTAACTGTGTTAGAAAATCTCTTGCACCAGACGGACTAAAACCATCACCGACTGATACCCAGAGTGGTCCTAATACAGGAGTTCCACCAGTCTGTAAACAATCATCCATCATCGGCGCTATAAATAGAATAATCCATTAACAACCCATCTACATGAATTAAGCAAAAAACATTCTTGAAATCAGAAATAAACTTTTCTTCTCCTTATATGGTTAATGAAGACAAAGGTTTGCATTGTGAATAGAGCAGAGTTAAATTGTGCCAAGTGGAATAAATCTATTTTTTATCAATTTCAAAAGTTGTGGATATTTGTGTCCTTTGTTTATAACCTCGGATCAGCATCAGATCATAAATTTGATACTCTTTTGGTCTGTGTCAGGATCAAATCCAAGACCTTCATGGATATTTCAGCCAAATAATTGACATACATTTGTAAGGAAAGAATTAGAAAGAAAAGTTCTGTGAATATGATTCCACTGCCACTATTCAACCCATTGTTAGTATAAGATATATACTACTTACTTTCATTTAAATCTGTTATTTCATTACCATCCCAATCATATAATAATCTAGCATGGGTAGTTAGATTTAATCTTCCTGTACAACCTTCTAGAAACTATAGAGAAAAACAAAATTATATTCTTTCCTGATTAATAAGTACAGCTAGGTAATCATATGACTTATTATATGCCTATGGGATTGTCAAGGGGTTTTCTAAAAAAATTATGTGTTATGTGTTACACTTATAGCATCAATTAGCATTATTCCATCAATCAGACGTCTGTGGTTCTTGCAATTCTACTAAAACCAAGCGTTTGGTGACGTCACAAAGAAAATTTATCAATGAGTGACATGATTGCAGGAATTGCAGTAACCACAGACGTCTAACTGATGCTCTATCAATGACCCTGATACACATAAAACGATACATTTTTACCAAGTTATCAAAATAGAAGTCATCATGAATCTTACATTTTCTTTATCAGATAAATCTGCTACAACTTCTGCTGGTTCATGTCCATTACCATTTTTAAACACCAATATTCTTACTTTCTTCTTGTCTATCAATGATCTAAAAGACACAAATATACAATCTCATTACTGATTCAATATATCCATCACTTATTGTCCTATTCATTAGCAATTAAAAGTTAAACTAACAGTGGCAGTGACACCTCTTTACAATTTCTTCTCATTATACTGAGAAGTGGAGAGTTAAAATTTATCTCTATCAGGAAGTAAAACAAACAAAATGATGACTTGATCATTATAAATATTAATTTCGAACAGTTTGGCTTAAAGTTTTAGAGATTCTATGGACAATGTTTACATCCTCTCAAGCAACTAAAAGATAACTGACAGTAAGTTTAAGACCGAAGATAGTTCTAAATCTCATGAATAAAATACATCAGATTCTAATGCCACAGTATTAATTATACAACATGCCTTACCTCATACGTTTAGAAATCTTAACTTTAGTTGTTTTCTTCTTTCCCTCTTGTGGTAAATTTACACCAGTCAATGTCCATGTAGCTCCATTTCTTTGAATCAAATTTCCTAGGAAAATATTTGCTGATGAATATCATTTCAATGCAACGATCAAAAAATTTGACCAATTTTCCAGTTTTGGAATACAGATTAAATCAAATGCAAGTTCCTGTATGTAGCTGCTAAGCAATGCCACGCCACTTGAGCTTACAAATTTTGGAAACTAAACTATAACATTTTTGGATGAATTGAGGTGAATGAGACATAAGCTTAAATTTTTTATGTTTTAGTTTAAAGTAATTTTATCTCCCATTGAACACAAATCTTCACTTTTTGCTTAACCTTTTTAGTAATCTTGTCATTTTCCTTCTTTAAGTTGATAAGTAGAACAAATTGAAAAACACATACTTTTGGCTGGGGCATCAGGATCTTTATATGGCTCTCCCATAGAAATAAAAACTTCAGAATAAGGTGGTATGTCACAAGCATCGAATACCTCTATACCATCTTCTAAAAATATTCTTCTAGCAGCAAATGGTAAACCTAACTTGTCCGTTAATAATTCTAAAAGCTGAAATCAGAAGAGGAAAAATCAAATGTTGTTTATTGACATCTAAAGGTTGATTAGAGTCTTGAATATATGCAAGTAGTCTTTAGAAGTACTAGAAATGTACAAAAATCGCATTATACTTCAAGCTAGGGATTTCACTCTCTATTTCTATATATGTCTTTTCTATATTTCACAGAGTCGTCTTTTTAACTTTTAAACACAGATAATTCTAGACACATGGATTTGGAGGCTCAAATTTCGATGGTGAGCTTTGAACACTACTACTAATTGGCTAAAATATTCCCGTTTCTGAGACTAAGGTATGATTGGTAATAAAATGGCGCGTCTGTCCCTTTAAGAGATGTGACGAAAAAGAATGATTCTTAATTCAATATTCATTACATTTCTTTATCAGAAATTAAGCCTTGAAACCTAAATTGCTATGAAAATAACTAACCATTTTGATACTGCTTGCTGCTCCTCTCACAGCAGAATCTTTACATCCATTCTTATAGGCACTGACTCTTATAATATTGGGTTGTTTTCTATATAATGATTTACAACGTCCTGATGGAGGGCGTGCTCTCCTACTATAAGAATAAACTGAAGAGGTTGCTGATTGAGGTCTGAAAGATAAACAAAGATGTCTGTTTCAGGTTTGTGAAATGTAATAAATTCATGTCTTTCAATGTCATGAGGTGTGCAACAAGGCAAATTTGTAGTATCATCGCAATCAATGTAGTAATTTAGATCAAAAATATTCATTAATATGATTATGGTAGCAACCTGGCAAAACATATTGAGGTCATATATGACATTATATTCCTACCTTCTATGTCTAGTAGGTGCACTAGCTGGTCGGACTAGTTTGACTGGTACCACTTTATCAGAACGTGGTGAAGCCGGGTCCCATAATGAATGATCAGCAATATATTTCAGATCTATTTTAGGTTTACCAGTTAATTTGGATCTGCCTACCATAGAAGCTGATAATGGTCGTCTGCGAACTCGTTTGTTGGATATTGGGAAAGTTGCTGTCTTTTGAAATTTCTGTGAGTATGGCGATACAGGAACTCTAAAATTATATACAGACAGTAACTTATTGACAAAAGATCATCTGAAGCTGTTGAAATGTTTTTGATATCAAATCCATCATCACAATGGACAGAAAATTGAATCCAAATCTTAATTTAGAGCAAGAAAAGTCAGCCTATGGGAATCATCAACCAGTATTAACTGCGTTTTCAGCTACCAAAAAGATGAGAATTTTTTCGATTTGAAAATGAAAAGTTGAAGTCAATGTAACTTACGTTTAAATTTTGAAGACATGTGGAAGATGTACTTATTGTCTGAGCAAGTAAATTGGTGTATCAAATTTAGCCCATTTTATTTAAATGAATTTGAATGAAACTAAAGGGTATTGATATTCTTAGAATGTCAAAAAACTCTTAATTTACTTTTTCTGTCATCCTATTTACACTATTATATCTAAAGCTATCAATAAAGAAATATAAGTTTTTCTAAGAATTGAAACTTACTGATGTTCTTTAATTTTATTCTGTTCTTGACGGGTTCGCCTCATATCATCAAGATATTGAGCAACTATTAAATCTTCATAACTAACTATATCTGAATCAGCTTTGTTAAAGGCTGACATTGGTCGTTGAACAGACCCCTGTGATCTGCTTTCCATTGGCATGATGTGATGTTTATATTCCCTAGAAGTAGAAATAGTTACATATGCGAGTTGAAATATGTTGGCATAAAAGTGATATAATCATGAATTCAGTTTATTTTTTGTTTAATATTTGGCAGTAGGCCTACAGTAAGAATTCCAATATAAAATATTCAGGCATATGTTTCTTTCAATTTGTTTAACAGAAGACAATTCATTAAAAAAAAGTTTGGAAAATATCACCAATATACGATTTCACACATAAGCTATAAATCCGAATTCGGAATCAATCAAGTGAATAAAATACAGTGAAACTGACAATTACTTATACAAAATAAACAACGTCAACGGGCACCGGCATAGTGGGACGAATAATTAACAAGTCAAACATTGAATGTTGTAGTGAAAACCGATATTCTGCAACAAATTACGATGCCGGCAAAGACATTTCATAGCAAACAGTTATATGAAAAAAAATACACATAGAAAAATTCATGGGAAACAAACCTGACATAAATTTAACCACATTTCAGCAGCCATCTTGGAATATTTACTTCCGTTGCCTAGGCGATGACGTAACATAGCCTCAAACCAAACTTTATGATTTAAAATTACCAAAATAATAAATAGTTTTATCACACAACTTCAGTATCTGAAAGATCTACAATTCAAGTAAAATGAAAATCAATCAAAAATAGTCATTCATTTAATTTTCATGTGGTGGGTGTACCACCTGCCTCGTTTTGATTTCTACATGTTAATGGCGGCCATTTGTAGCTAATGCATCTACTTTTGACGTTAATTTAGTGATATTTCTCTCCCACTTTTAGGGTAAGAGTAATTGATGTCATGGCCTAGACCCAAAATTATTTGTGTCGTTGTATATCCCAGACACAGGCAACGTTGGATTGTTGATGCCCTGTAAAGTAATGCCGGTTGACGGAATGTCGCGATTGTCACCTTTGAGATTGTTAGGGGTTGGGAGGGGGGATTTGTAGATGAGCCTGATTGACAACATCTGCACAGGCTGAGGACGAATATGTAATTTTAATGTCACCTCTAGGTCTAACTGTCGTTTTTTTCAATATGCAGAGTGTAATTTCATATTGCCAAAGAAAGTCAGTGACTAAAATGAGTATGAATGTCTGACTGACTACGTCAGATGAAACTTAGTAGGAGTTTCGAGGGCTGTAGTGTACAGTGGTGGGATGCATTAGTTTGATATCGAAGTCATGAATCATTTTGATAAATTGACTGCTTACTGCAAGTTAAAGAGTCAACAACTTCGCATTCCCATGCTCACATAGCAAATCAGACTTGTTAGTTTCACAGTGATGTTATGATCATCGTAAATATTTCTAATGGCTATGTCAAAGTTTTTTAGCATTTCACTTTGATCCTTGAGAAGATCCAAACTAATTATTTTTGTGTATTGGTACTCTAAGCACTTTTATATTATACCCGTAAATAGGTAATGTTTGATATTACATCATAACTGAGCATTGATTTCTAAACAGATTATCGGAAAAACCTTGTATATACATTTAAGTTATTTATTTATTATTGCTTTACAATTGGATTTTAATTATGTATCTGTTCTAAAGATATTTTCTGTCTTTACACTTTAGGTTGGACGCATCAAAATGCCGGCAGTAAAGGGAGATGGCATGCGTGGACTTGCAGTCTTTATATCGGATATTAGGAATTGTAAGTAAACAGTTTCTTTTATATTTTCTTTGATATGGAAATTCATCTCAAACAGCCTTTATTTTTTTCTTACATTCAGTGCCCTGGAGTAGCTTACATTCAATACAGTACGTTTCATACTGATGTTAAAATTGAAAATTGGAGAACTGTATCCTTTCATCTCAACATTCTGTAGTTATGGCTCTCTGTCTGAAGACAAGATCACACAAAGAAAGCATTAATCAGAACACTACCGTAATTACACAGCAAGGCCTATAAACCAATGATACCAATACTGGTATTACAATATAAGAATTTCCAGTGCTTGTAATATAGTCTAATTTAAAAAAAAAAAAATTGCATTATTTTGATAAATTAAATGGTGATTTAAAAGTAGGAAAATATGACATTATTTTGATAAAATTAAATATAAATTTGGAAATCAGGAAATTTTCCATTATTTTGATAAATTAGATGATAATGTAAAAATAATATAATATTGCATTATTTTGATAAATTAAATGATAATTTAAAAGTAAGATAATATTGCATTGTTTTGATGAATTAGATGATAATTTATAGGTATTATAATTTGTATTATTTTGATAAATTAGATAATAATTTGTAAGATAATATTGCATTCTTTTGATAAATTAGATAATAATTTGTAAGATAATATTGCATTATTTTGATAAATTAAATGATAATTTAAAAGTAAGATAATATTGCATTATTTTGATAAATTAGATAATAATTTGTAAGATAATATTGCATTCTTTTGATAAATTAGATAATAATTTGTAAGATAATATTGCATTCTTTTGATAAATTAGATAATAATTTGTAAGATAATATTGCATTATTTTGATAAATTAAATGATAATTTAAAAGTAAGATAATATTGCATTATTTTGATAAATTAAATGATAATTTGAAAATAAGATAATATTGCATTATTTTGATAGATTAAATGATAACTTAAAAGTAAGATAATACTGCATTATTTTGATAAATTAGATAATAATTTGTAAGATAATATTGCATTCTTTTGATAAATTAGATAATAATTTGTAAGATAATATTGCATTATTTTGATAAATTAAATGATAATTTAAAAGTAAGATAATATTGCATTAAATTAGATAATAATTTGTAAGATAATATTGCATTCTTTTGATAAATTAGATAATAATTTGTAAGATAATATTGCATTATTTTGATAAATTAAATGATAATTTAAAAGTAAGATAATATTGCATTATTTTGATAAATTAAATGATAATTTGAAAATAAGATAATATTGCATTATTTTGATAGATTAAATGATAACTTAAAAGTAAGATAATACTGCATTATTTTGATAAATTAGATAATAATTTGTAAGATAATATTGCATTCTTTTGATAAATTAGATAATAATTTGTAAGATAATATTGCATTATTTTGATAAATTAAATGATAATTTAAAAGTAAGATAATATTGCATTATTTTGATAAATTAAATGATAATTTGAAAATAAGATAATATTGCATTATTTTGATAGATTAAATGATAACTTAAAAGTAAGATAATACTGCATTATTTTGATAAATTAAATGGCAATTTAAGAAAATTGTATTATTTTGATAAATTAAATGATAATTTGAAAATAAGATAATATTGCATTATTTTGATAAATATTAATTTAAGAATAACAAAATATTGCATTTACAACCTTATTTATGGTAATTTTTATACACAATTTTAATGATATCATTTGTTTGAAATTGTATTCAAAACCTTATTGCGAGAATTGAGATTAATTAATGTTAAATTTTGCATTATCCAGCCTGTTTTACTTTGTCTAGAGAGTAATTCAAACCTTTTTCAGGAAAAATTAAACAAATTGATTTTACTGAAACATGTTCAAGTTTGCATTTGACAAGAGGTGGCAAAATATTGATGTCTACTGTTATTATCAGGAATATTATCTTATTCCTGCAGGTTGTAATCAACCTTGGTGAGATACATCCACTCCCTTCATTCTGATGATGTTAAAGTGATTTCTGCAAAAAGCAATACAATTTTCTAAGGTGCAGAATGCAAAATTTTATTTATTTACAAAAGTTATACTGTAACTTATACATGAAATATTTCTTATATAGAGTAAAAGCACATTTAAAACTGAATAGTATGTTGAAAACTTAACAAAATTGATGTTATTGTGAGACCCAACTTATACATAATTCTTGTTTTTTACGAAGTTGGCACTTGTTCCTTCTTTGATCAATGCTCCGAATACAAAATGATTTTTAGCTAAATTACAGCGAAGTTTGAAAAATTTATTATACCAGATATATTAAAAGCCTCTGAATTCAAATTATTCCAATGAGATCATCACTGAATTGGTTAGTCATCAATATTGTGAAACTATAGACATTGGATAAAGGTCATTTCTTAAGGTCGCAAACAATCAATAATAAATCTTCAGCCAGTTAAACCATAATTCTTTACTTGAATTCTTTTATTCTTACACTAACCATTTTACGCTTTGATAATTCTTTGAATTTTACTTGCCATTCTTTCATCATAGATTAGTGCCTCAAGCATAATTTCTTTTGGAACAAAGTTGAAATTGTTATTTGGGTTATTGAGCCTTGAAATTTCTGCTCTAAATTTGTATACAAAAGTGTAAGAATTGTATGTACTTTAATTTGGTGTTTTTTTCAGTTGTAAATTGTACCTCAATATTTGCAATAAAATTTTAAAAGTGGCAACACCTTGCCTAATGGAGCACAAATCTTGCTATAGGTATTAAAAAAATTTCTTAAAAATGTTTATGAAATGAATAAAATACTACCAGTATAACAGCTTCTTCAACATGTAATAACATCAAATATTTAAAAAGTTTTATTCTAGTAACCAACCAATTTATGCAAATCAGTGTGTCTCTAAAAGCAATTGGATTCCTGCTACTTAATTTACCATATTGTTCTTGAATAAAGTTATTTCATCGTTTTTAGATGACGGCATTGTGGAATAAATTATCTTCTACATCTTGTGAGCTGTCAAATTATTCTCATATTGATTTTCTTCTGATCTGTCATTAGCTCAACCACCAATGTAATAAATAGGCTAAGCTAATCTTGATTATAGCATGATTTCTTTATTGCCTATCTAGCCTCTGGCATTTGTGTTGTGATCATCTTATTTACAAATGATAGGGATTCCACTCAATGACTTTATTCAAGACTAGTTAATGTTAATTGATTGTATAAATTTGGTAACAAAAGTTGCTGAATCAAATCATAATCTATAAGCTTATAATATTACTTGTACCAATACTGAATGATGTTTCAAACTAACACTCATGCCCTCATTGTCAAGGCAGTGATCATTGGGTTTTGCCCTAACTTTGTGTTCATGTCATAATATTGATGTGGGATAACTCATCAGCAGAGTTGTTTTGTACTTTGTAAATGAATGGGATCCATGTAAGGTGTTATATTAAAGATTTATATAAATTTTACTTTTGCTATGGTAGAAATTTTCAAAAACTACCTCTCCAATAATAGATCTGTGAAACTTCCATAAAATTTTATGTTTGGCCCTTGCACTGAAATTTCATCTGTAAAGACTGTCTTAGGATTTGTTGGGCTGCAGTTAACCATGTCACAGGTTTTGGAGCATGTTTATATTTAACTAGATTTAGTTGACAGTCTGAAAGCACAGCTGATGAGGATGATTGGAATGTGGAACCCTCCAGAAACAATATGCTGCCTTATTCATCGTATTGCAGAATGACAATGATAAGTTACAATGTAGTCAAGGATAGTTGATATGAAATCAGCTAGTGTAATGTTAGTTGACAGTAGAATTAGATAGCTATTGATTATTTATCTAGTTAGTTAGTGCTGTAGATAGAACAGGATGTTTTCACCAGTTCCTATCAGAACCTCAGTGTTTAATACAATTACATTTAGATTTATCTTGATACTGCTATTAACTAATGGGTTATTTACTACACTCTGCCTTCAACATTGTTACTAACATACTGTAATAGTTGAATCACATTTTGAAAATTGTTTCATGAATTGAAATGTCTGTTTCTGTATCTTAAAAATATGTCCTTACGGTTCTTTTAGATAATGCTTATTGTAATTGGAGTCCATGACGATGCGAAAGAAGAACAATTCGCTTTACTTAATGAAGATGATAAGAGAACTAACCTTTGATAGAAGAATGCTCACTTTAAAGTGTTATATATTTCATGTGATCTACTTAATACTCATTTTGGCACGTCAGTGATGACGGGGAGATTTGATATGAACAAAGCTTGAAATAGTTAATTAGGACCATTTGTGCTATGTGCATTTTTATGATTCATGTTTTTGTCTTGACGAACATTCCCTCATTGTTGCTTGTAGAATTTTTTCAACATATCTTGTGGTGGTTTCAACTCAGATGAATTTGAACTGCTATTATCATCTTATGATTCATTCTTCTCTAGGCTGCTGTTAGTATTATAACTCCCATCTGACTAGATAGATATTTATATTCTCAATTGATATTCCTGAAACAGAACAATATTTTGATTGTCATGATTAGGTAGTCATTTTATGTTGGCAATTATTTAGCTTGCTTGATGTTGAATTAACATAATTCATTTCTGATGCAGGCATTTTATCAGGAATATATGTAATTATATATCTTGACTTTTGGAAATTGAATACAAATAGGAAAAATAACCTGACAAACACTGCTGTGTTGCCTGTCTTCAATAGCCTAGTTTGGAGCAGAAATAGAATTTTCCTGTATGCTTCTGCATTGTGTCATAGTAGATTGAAGTACTTTATTTTCCACATAAATGTCAATATATCTGTGTTAATGTTTTAAAATTTAAATAGTCCATTAAATAAAATTCATTGCAATCTATGTCTATATCTATGTTTTATTTGTAAGATAAATATCAGAAGAAAATGAAAAGAAAGCCCCAGGGAATAATGTAAAATGTCAGCCATGTTCTCAATGATTGAGCTAACTTACTAGTAATTGATTTGTTTCCAGGCATTCTGTCTATTTCTTGTATTATTCACAATTTTTTAAGACAATTTCCTTTTGATTAGGATTCTGTTTTTTTTCTTGAAAAAAAAAAGGTATTTCTTGCAGCTCTCTTCATTTTGTTTTTGTTTTTTTTTCATGAGAAATTCTTCATCTTAGATAAGGGAAACTTGTCGTAGTATTAAATATCCAAAGGGCATACACTAATTTTGGAAACTCATATGATAGTAAAATTGCCCAGAGAAAATAATCACTTAATTGTTAATTAGTTCTGAATGAGAAAAACAAGAAGCTTGTCACAAATTAAATAATTGATACTATCATTTTACAATAATCAAACTAGTTTAGATTATTAGATCATTCAATACTTTATATTGATTTATAAAATCAAGTCAACTATAACAGATTTATCTAATATTTGATTATAACAGAATTTATTGATTCCTTTTGTCCTGATGTAACTAGTTCAATGTACAGTGCCTTAGTGAGTTTTACACTTGGTCTATATTGACGTGTTAACACTGCGTGATATTTTGCTCAGCCCACTTGAAACTAGCCAAGCCCCTAGACCTTCAACTAAGTTTTCCGCTGTCTCAATTGTAAGCATGCCGGTAAAAGTGCCTAGTCAATAGAATGAAAAATTAGATCCTGTGTGCTACAGGCTGGTCTAGCGAAATTTCCCTCATTGCACTCTGCTGACTTCAATTTAGAGCAGAGAAGATTTCATTTTAGATTTCATTTCAATTATTCAAAAGTATTAGCTTGAATTGGGCCTTACACCCATCAAATCAGATAGGAAATTGTCCTTGAAAGTTAAAGTAGCCTATCTAAATAAAGAAAAGCTTGACATTTTAAAGGGTGAAAAAGAAACACATCTAGAATATGTGTGTTAAATGTGAAGTATGCCAACAGTTTTTTCTTGTTGAACAGATGAAATACTTAGTTCTCTCCAACCAAATTGTTACAAATAATTTCAGTCTTTATAAACGATCTTTACACACATGTACATGATCACTTTAACAAATTGTAACTTATTCTACCATGTTTCCCTTTAGCAGGTAAATCTTGTATTTAGGACAGAGATAATAACTTGTCATGATATAATGTCAGATATTCATATTATATGTGAACACCTCTAGCCTACAAGCTTGTGAATATGAGTTAGGTCAACCTCTTTGGTATCATACGAAGCTATTATTGAGGATGTTAACCAGGGTTCCATCTAGTTTTGATCAGGTGTCCTGGATTTGAAATACATGTGTATATTAATTAATGTGATGTGATAAATTTAATAGGATGGTATATTAATATCTGATTAGAATTTTGACCATTGGTAAAGAGTTTAATTTGAATTTTGTTTGATACTAGGGGTATTTTATATTGAAAATGTTATATATTTTCAGGTAAAAGTAAAGAAGCAGAAATAAAGAGAATAAATAAAGAATTGGCTAATATTAGATCTAAATTTAAAGGTAATGGTTGTTATTTATTTCAATATTAGTCAAATTGCTGTGAATAAACTTCCATACTATTGTAGACCAGAGAGATTTGTTTTTTTTTACGAAAGTGAAATGAAATGTGGATAATTCTGGACATACATGAAATTGAAGACGAAAACACTGTAACTGATTGGCTTAGCTAGAATATTGCCCGTTTTCAAGGTACAATTGGTCAAACAAATTGCAAACCTGTGTTTTTAAGGGACTGCAGTGAGAAAAAGAATTTTGACGGAAAGTGTGGCAGTAATGTTTGACTCAATTTGGCTTCATCTTAGAATGAACATAAAATTTAAGTTTTCAAGAATGGTCAATATGAGTATATATTCATCAGTTATCTTTCCTGGTGTCTTAAAGTTACAACAGAATCACTGGAAAATCTGGAAAATTCATTAAACTAAGTCATTATTGATAAACGCTTAAACTTAATATTAAGCGTTTTTCAATAGTTAAATGCATTTTTATGGATAATAACTAAGTTTTTTTGGATTTATCGTATTATATAAGGATCTTGTTATGTTATTTATAACACCAGGTATATCTACTGATGAATATATATGGTCTTATTGGCCAAGTTTAAAATTGGTAAATGTTCATTCAAAGACTGATGCTGATTCTAGTATTCCTTTAAGAAGACCTTTTATTTGATATAAAAACAGACATGAAAATGATTTAGATATGTGATATCCATGATAATATGATACTCTATCAGAGTGTAAAAAGTAATTAGTATAAATAATGACTGATTACTTATCTTATCACATTGTTGTTATTGTTGTTGGATATTTGATATTATTTAGTTTATTCATGTCCAAGGTAGAAAATAACTGGAATTAATAATGATAAATAGCATACTGGTTACTAGTGGAGGGAAATGAGACTGGCCTGGGTTTGGATGCCCACCCACAACCACTTTCAAATTTCTTATCATTTTGCTTAAGGAGAAATGTCATCTTAGCCCCTAAACAGTTCTATGGCTCTTACTCGATCCATAACTAATAATTCACAGAAACACAACAGCTATCAGTGATATAAGCTTACATAACAATGGAGTATGTAAACAATTTGTAAGTCTGGAACAGCAGAAAAACAATGATGGAAGAAATAACATCTCGTGTGTTCTGCAGACTGTGTCAAAGATTCCTTTCAGCCAGAAATGCAAAATAGGGCACTGGTAATTCAACTTTACTGGTCAAATGTCTTATTGCATGCATATTGCAGTGTTTCCTGTCTTCATTAGCTCAATCAGTAGCAGAAAAGGAAGATGTAAATGGTATTTTGTAGTTGTGATACTGAATAAATGTTAAAAATATCTAGAAAAATATATGGTATTCTGTCTAAATGATCTATGTATATATTATAGGTGATAAAACACTAGATGGTTATCAGAAGAAGAAATATGTGTGTAAATTATTATTTATATTTTTATTGGGACATGATATTGATTTTGGTCACATGGAAGCTGTTAATCTTCTTAGTTCCAATAAATATACAGAAAAACAAATAGTAAGTGTCTACAGATAGATAATGAATACAGTCTTTTCTTTTGTCTATTATTCATACCAATTGATATTTTTTAACCCAATCAATCTTACATGTATGACCAGAATATACTGATACAGAAAACAATGGAAGATATTAATAATAGATGAATTCTTTGTAGTGTCTTTTCAATTACATCTGTAGTGGTATTTTTTTTTATTTCTTGAATAGATAACATTCTATCAGAAAGAACAGAGTTTAGAACCCACAACCATCATTTGTTCGACATACTCAAGCAAATGACATCATATAAAGAACCAAATCTCAGACTTAGAGATGCAATCGCACACAAAAATATTATGATTTTGTTGTTATTTTTTTTCAGGGTTATTTATTTATCTCGGTACTAATTAGTGCTAGTAATGATTTAATGAAGTTAGTTATACAGTGTATTAGAAATGATTTAGTTAGTCGTAATCCAATACATATAACATTAGCTCTACAGTGTGTAGCTAATATTGGCAGTAGAGAAATGGCCGAATCATTGAGTATAGATATACCTTCATTATTGGTTTCTGGGTAAGACCACTTAATTTTTTTCATGAAGAGAATTTTTATACGCCCACATTATAATGTGGACGTATATTGTCGTCACCCATGTCCGTCCGTCTGTACACAATTGGCTTGTGAACGCGATAGAGACTACAGTTTTCATCTGATTCGAATGAAATTTGGTGTGATTATTTATATTGATGAGATCTTGGACAAGTTTAATATTCACGATTTTTTGATGAACGGTTTTTGAGTTATTGCCCTTGATTTATGAAAAACACGTCAAAATTTGTTTGTGAACACAATAGATAGTACAGTTTTCATCCGATTTAAATGATATTTGGTATGATCATTTATAATGATGAGATCTTACTCAAAATTGAATTTGACAATTTTTCGATCAACAGAATTTGAGTTATTGCCCATGACTTAGTAAAAAGATAGAGGTGATTGTTTATGTCAGAATTCTATTAAATAGTGTGTGTTTGTTTAAATCAACAATATCTTGCACAAATTAGATTTTTGGTGTGATTTGCCACAGATAGGTGACTGCCCGTGATATACTGAAAATGTATGAGGAAAGTGGGCGTATCTTGCTAGGGAACCACTTGTTCTATAAAGATGTTGATCATGTGTAATATAAAAACTCCTATCTGTAAGCTTATCCCTATAAGTTTATCCCTTTTGAGAATTAAAACCAGACTTCTACTTTTTTAGCAATTCAATGATATTTGTGAAGATAGTCTGACTAGTCAAAAAAATCAGATTTTGATTTTAAATGGTGATAATGTGGAAATTGAGTTGTAAATCAAACAACTAAGCTTATACTCCTTAAAAAGGGATATCATGCCTAGAACAATATAAAATGTATTAAATTTTTCCCTAATTAACATTATTTTTAATTACAGAGATACTATTGATTCTGTTAAACAGAGTGCAGCTTTAACATTATTAAGATTATTACGTACAGCACCAGATTTACAGATGGGAGAATGGACATCTAGAATTATACATTTATTAAATGATCAACATATGGTAGGTGAATTATTTCTCTTATAAACTCTTCACTTATATTAGAGGTATACTCCCTCTTAAGATGACGGAAAATTTGAAATTTTGAAACTTGTGAAATTGTGATGAATGATACATCTATTGTGAATTTAAAAAAATGTTCTCATTTTTGGTACAAATTTTAGAGGATGTTTATCACTTAGTGTCATCAGATATCTGTTAATGCTAGCTAATAAAAACATTTATTCTAGAAAATTTAATTAAGATCTTAACTAAGATAAAATCTAGTAAGCTAATTGGATAACACTAGATTCAAAATCAATTTTACTCCAATGACTGGATCTTCTAGAAAAAGGTCCCTTGATAGTAAACTGAATAATAGTTTTAGTCCTGAAAATCTGAGCAAACCTTGCCTTTTACATTTATGTATAATCAAATTATGACATTTGGTTTTATTTCAGGGAGTAGTTACATCTGCTGCTAGTTTAATAGAAACTTTAGTAAAGAAAAATCCAGAAGAATATAAGGGTTGTGTTTCTCTTGCTGTCTCTAGACTTAGTCGAGTAAGTTACACCACCAACATTTTATTGCTAACAAACATTGTGAAGGGAACAACCAGTTAATTATAGTGAAATGAAATGGAGTTTTACGTCCTACTTTTTTTTACACCTGTTAAGTGTAATGCAACGCCATGCAGTATGCAATAAGATATTTTTCAAGGACAGCAGTATTAGTATTAATCTTTTAATTTCCAATGGCACAACCTGTAACACTAATGTAAGTTTATTATTAAAATCTTAATTTGTCCATTTCATTGTCTCTCTTGTTTTATTATTTAAATATTAATTATATTTTTAGATAGTAACTTCATCTTATACTGATTTACAAGATTATACTTATTACTTTGTACCAGCACCATGGTTATCAGTTAAATTACTTCGTTTATTACAAAATTATCCTCCACCAGGTAAAGATAAAGAATAAAATATTAGTGTCTTTCTTTATCTCATCTGAAAAAACAAAAGAACTTTGTAATTAGTGCTTCCAAATATTTGTGTTAGATGGTGATGAGAACACATTCTCATGAAAGCACTGGCCTAGGTCACAGGCTTGTGTTACATTTTAGGCTATTTCCGACTTTTTTGTATAGCCTATGCAAAACAAGAGAGACAACTCTCCTATTATTTATCAGATCTGCTGATGATGACCTAAATCTATAAGTAAACATAAACACTAAACAGGAAACTGAGCATAATGTAGCCTATGCTATATACAGTAGAAACTTTCGAGCTTATAAGGTATATCAAATCCAAAACCCATATGTTTGTTTTTGCACTAAAGTCTTTTCCATGTGGTGTTTTTTATTCCAATAACATACTCTATATTCTTTCCTCTATATTTATGTAAATGCTAATAGTTTTGAACAAGTGTTTTATAATTTGTTGTTTTTGTTTTCTTTCAGAGGATCCAAGTGTAAGAACAAGATTAACTGAATGTTTAGAAACTATATTAAATAAAGCACAAGAACCTCCTAAATCTAAGAAAGTCCAACATTCAAATGCCAAAAATGCTGTATTATTTGAAGCAATTAATCTTATTATTCATATGGACAGTGACCCTAATCTTCTAGTCAGAGCATGCAATCAGTTGGGACAATTTTTACAACATAAAGAAACAAATCTTAGGTATATATATTATACATCTATCTGACATCTTCTTCATGGTGTCGAGCTATTACAAACCTTGTCTAATACCTTGACTGCAATACCCACCTTTCTTGTGTCACAGAAGTTTGTAAAATGCAGCGATTTGTTTGGATTTTATGCTAGAGAATATAGCCAATCAGTCCTTGACATGAATACTGTAAACATTAAGGTTTATGGTTTACAGTTTGTTTGTCAAAGGCTGCGATTGGTTGTATTCTCTAGCATACAATCCAATCAAAACTACAAAGATTTTGCCAATGTTTGCAGAAAAGAAGGAAGTAAAAGTCCATTTCATATCTTGTTGCTATGGTATTGATGTCAATATATATTTGTAGGTATCTAGCACTAGAAAGTATGTGTTTATTAGCAACATCAGAATTTTCTCATGAGGCTGTGAAAAAACATCAAGATACAGTTATAACAGCTCTAAAGGTAGGCATAATTACAGGAATATGGAATATAGTCTTGCATGATCAGATGTAGACATGCAAGATAATAAATATTTCATAATTTCCCATAAAAAGGAATGTGAGAAGATATCACTGAACTAATCATGAAGCTATATTTATTTTTTTAGACTGAGAGAGATGTAAGTGTAAGACAGAGAGCTGTAGATTTATTATATGCTATGTGTGATAGAACTAATGCTGAAGAAATAGTAGGTGAAATGTTGGAATATTTAGAAACAGCAGATTATTCTATTAGAGAAGAAATGGTAAGTTTGTTTCTCAAGTATATTTCTGAAAGTGTATTGGACCTCACTTGCCCAAGAGCCACTAAAGTATTACTTAGACTAGGTTTGCCCTAGCCAATTTGATTGTGTTGATCAGTTTGTGGTATTATGATAATATAAGTATTAAATAGTGCTATATATATGTATCACTAGGTATTAAAAGTTGCTATATTAGCTGAGAAATATGCTGTAGATTATACGTGGTATGTTGATGTAATATTAAATCTGATTAGAATAGCTGGTGATTATGTTAGTGAAGAGGTAAGATTCTGAACGGGTATTTATTTAAGTTTCTCTCTGGGCATCTAATATATTCTGTGGCCTCCATCTGCCTGTACCACAGTCTGCATTCTTGAGGTGTATGATTTCAGGAAATTTTAGCGCACCAAATTTCTCTTCAAAGTTTTTCTTGGATCTTGCAGCACTCAGATTGTCATGTGTTTTTCGCTGGTTTAGAATTTCATGTTTTCAATAGGTATGGTATAGAGTGATACAGATAGTTATCAATAGAGATGATGTACAAGGCTATGCTGCTAAAACTGTATTTGAAGCATTACAAGCTCCAGCCTGTCATGAAAATATGGTCAAAGTTGGTGGTTATATATTGGGAGAATTTGGTAATCTTATTGCTGGTGATCCTCGATCTAGGTGAGGCATTATAGGTGTTGATCAGGATCCTTTTTTGGAGTAATTTACTTTTGTAAATAATAAAATAAAACCAGGTTTAGCCCTGTGAAATGCTATCCATATCACTTGTCATAAATTGATATCTAGCACGAACAATTCAACAAATATGTACAGCAGACGTCATTGACACTATCTACATGTATGTAAACACCTATGTATTGTGTTTAAAATGATGGATGTGTTTATATTTCAGCCCTATTGTACAATTTCAATTATTACATTCTAAATATCATCTGTGTAGTCCTTCAACTCGTGGTTTATTATTATCAACTTATATTAAATTTATTAACCTGTTCCCAGAGATTAAACCTCAAATACAAGATGTAAGTAGATCTTTGTCTTTATATGCTCAAAATAGCAAGAGTACAAGGGTAGTAGGTAATTAAATGATTGTATGAAATCTCCAGAATGAAGTATTGTAGATGACTGTTATTAAGATAGAAAAGATTCTCACATAGTTTCAAAATTGTTATGTGTTGAGCATTTAGGTGAAAAGAATTGAAAAATTTACATACAATCCTTTAAGTTGATCTTGGTAATTGTTTCATGGTAAAAACAGTCCAGTATTTACAGTCAAGGTTGTCATATGTTATCAATAATCATATTGTTTCGAGCATTTAGATGAAATGTTATTGAAAACATATGAAAATTGTTAAATATTTCCATTGTCTTACTCAAATCAAATGGTCAAGAGAAATGAGATATGTAAATATTGTCAATATATATTGTAGGTATTGGGTAGTAAAAATAACATGAAAAATCCAGATGTCGAATTACAACAAAGATCAATAGAATATTTACAACTTAGCTCTAAAGCTACAGCTGATGTTTTAGTAAGTTATAAGTATATTTTCTTTTACATTCTTATTTCACATTACAAGGTTTATTTTAAACTTCAGTAATAGATAAGTATTTTGCATTGACCTGTTTTTTTTTTTTAGTTCAAACTAAGAAAGTACACTTAGTGGAAATTGATGAAAGAATGCTTAGTAGATGATAAATAGATCCATTTCTTGTGCTTTTGAAATTAGTTCTGATGTAAACTCTGAATCCCTTCACTAGCTTAAATTTGTTCCAAGAATCAAATATATATTACCTTTTAATTAAAAAACAAAACTGGAATATCTAGAATGAATACATGATGGAATCATCATTGTAATGATTTTTATTTTCTGTAACAGGCAACAGTATTAGAAGAAATGCCACCTTTCCCAGAGAGAGAATCCTCCATATTAGCCAAATTAAAGAAGAAGAAACCATCAAGTGTCCCTGAAAATTCTACAGAGACAACAAAGGAACCTAAAGCAATGCCAGCTGCTCAAATAAATTCAGATTCAACTGGTTCTAATCCACAACCTTCTCTACAGGTTTGTTCTCTATATTGATATACAAAAAAATCTTGGGTCTTTTCCACAAGAAAAAAACTTCATAAGAAGAGTATTTCTCACTATAGAATGTCACACTCACAACAAATTGTTATCCTTAACCTTCAATTTTTAAGGGACTGGCCCCAGCTGCTATTCCAGGTTGAATTTCATGATACATTCTTTATTCATTATTCATATTCATTTATAGTACTGTAAAGGGATGAAGCCATTTAATTTTATGCTTTTTGGGATTAATTTCAATTGCCTGTATGAGAATTAAAATACAGTTATTCAGTTAAAATAAAATGTATTCATTCTGAAAGGTTTTTAATATGGAAACAATGATCACTGTGGGTTATTATTGCCGGTATAATCTTTTACCATATGGCTTAGTACTAAAGCAAAAGAACCAAATGACATAATTTAATGCCATAGATATTTGAAACTTAGCTCTGTCAGCTGTAAAACAAATATCTTGATCTTTATTCTTATATCTCATCAATAATTATAATGTCTATCACATAAGGCTTATATTTCATTATATGTTACAACGAACATTATGACCCATGAGACAGTATTGGACATGTGAAATTGAAAATGCTTCGATGTCTATTGTAGATTTCATCACCAAGCAGTTCTGGGTCAGCTGATTTGTTAGGATTAGATATGGATGGTACAGCACCCAGTATTAATGCTGGTGTTGGCGGTATATCTTCTGGTGGTGGTGGTGGTGATTTATTAGTAGATATACTTGGAGGACCTATACCTTCTGTTGGTGGAGGTACAACTAATGGCTTAGATGCATCAGGATTAACAGTGGGTGCAGAGGAAAATTTCCAGAAGTAAGTTTTTATCAGCAAGTACATGGTTCAATATAACCATAAGATTTCACTTCATGTTCTTGGTTTCTTATGTAGGCCAAACAAAATGTGACTGCATGTGATGTGGCTTTCACAAAATCAGGTAGGGATAGACAGGCTTTATATGCAAGTTTCACGTATATACTGTTTCAATATATTTATATAAATTGGGAAATTTCTTTCAGATTTGTTTGTAAAGTGAATGGAGTATTATTTGAAAATGATCTTCTACAAATTGGAGTAAAAGCTGAATATCGTCAGAATTTAGGTCGTGTTGGTCTATTTTATGGCAATAAAACATCATTCCAATTTACTCAGTTAACAACTAGCATCTCATGTCCTGGTCAACTATCTTCTCATATCCTTTATCTAATAATCATTATTATAATGTCAATTGTCGTATTGTCATAGAAAATGAATTCACAATGGGTTTGGGCTACTATTTGCGTGAAGAAATGATGTTCATGAATATATTGATTCCTTAACATTTGTGTACAAATAAGTATCCAAGAGAAAGAGATAGATCCAGTGATGGAAGGTGGGGCCCAGGTACAACAGATGTATAAAGTAGAATGTATATCAGAATTTACTCAATCACCAATATTAAATATTAGTTTTACCTATAGTGGTGCCAACCAGAAATTACATCTCAAATTACCTGTATTACTCAATAGATTTATGGAACCAACTGAGATGAACGCTGATTCCTTCTTTACACGATGGAAGGCTTTATGTCAGTAAGTATTTTATGAATTTATAAGATAGTTTTGCAATCACCCACACAGGTTTCTATACACATCCAATGACAGGTTCCCGTGCAACTAATAAACGGTTTCCATACATACAACTAATGACAGGTTTCCCTGCATGTAACTAATGACAGGTTTCCAAGCAAGCAACTAATGACAGGTTTCAAAGCATGCAACTAATGACAGGTTCTCAAGCATGCAACTAATGACAGGTTCTCAAGCATAAAACTAATGACAGGTTCTCAAGCATGAAACTAATGACAGGTTTCCATGCATGCAACTAATGACAAGTTTCCATGCATGCAACAAATGATAGGTTTCCGTGCATGCAACTAATGACAGTTTTTATGCATGCAACTAATGACGGGTTCTCAAGAATGCAACTAATGACAGGTTTCCATGCACGCAACTAATGACAGTTTTCCAGGCACACAACTAATGACAGGTTTCCATGCATGCAACTAATGACAGATTCTCAAGCATGCAACTAATGACAGGTTTCCGTGCATGCAACTAATGACAGGTTCTCAAGCATGCAACTAATGACAGGTTTCCATAATGACAGGTTCTCAAGCATGCAACTAATGACAGGTTTCCATGCACCCAGCTAATGACAGGTTCTCAAGCATGCAACTAATGATGAGTTTCCATTGTTGTAAATAATGTTCAATGTATTTTCATCTTGTAGACCTGAACAAGAATGTCAGAAAATATTTAAAGCAACCTCCCCTCAAGATACAGAAGCATCTAAAGTAAAGGTGAGATCTCAAAGAGTCTTTGTACAGAACTGTAGGAACCAGTATGGAATTGTATTAATGTAATGGGATTCATTTATATCTGATTTAAATTATCTATACGGCATTTGTGCCTTAATCAACCAATTTGTCCAAAATTTTAAAAATTTATGTAATGCAATTGAGAGTTGGTTTACATGGATGATATAGTAATTTGGTCTATTTTTACCTGTTATTGATATTGATTCTGTTTCTATTTACAGATTCTTGGCTTTGGATCAAGTGTATTGGAGAATGTAGATCCTAATCCAGATAATTTTGTATCAGCTGGCATAATACATACCCGTAATGCACAAACTGGAGTATTAATACGTTTAGAACCTAATAAACAAGTTCAGGTTAGTATAATAATACTAAGGCATGTTTCATCCTTGATAGGTGGAAATAAAAAAAGATTAGGTTAATACCACTTTCCTGTATTTATTAGCCCAAACGAGGCAGAAATGATGCATGTTAAACTTGATTCAAGGAGACCATATTATAAAAAGTGTAACCATCCCTTGCTTTTAATGTGTGTGTGTGTGTGTTTTTGGGGCCAAAAGGAACATCAAAACTTGCCAAACTATGCCTATTTAATCTTTTTCTTTCCTTTTTTTTCCTGTTTTTTTCCTTCTTAAAATTCGATGTTTCTGTTTGTAGATGTACAGATTAACAGTAAGGTCAACAAAGGGTGAAGTAGCAAAAACAATCTGTGAATTATTGGAAACTCAGTTTTAGAATACTAGTAATAATACTATTGATAGAGACAACTTGTGCTTTTAATAATGCTGTGGACATTTCTAATGATATTAAGTTTAAATAACTATTATAAGTCAAATCAAATTGATGATAAGTTTCTAATGAAGAAATTATATAATCTTTACATAATATGCTTAATTGTATTGAGGTGACATGCTCAAGTATTCCTTGTTGGTGCAGAGCCAAGGACTGACAGAAAAAGGTCTTTTTATTTCAAAATAGGCCAAGATTCTGCCACAGGCTATGCATGTTAAAGATCTTTCAACAATTGGAATTTGGAAAATTTTCCCTCATTACACACTGAATTGTGTTACCAGATCAATGTCCACAGCATTTATTATATGGAAAAACAATAGATAATTCATATATACTCATAGTATTATCAGTTTCACTCTTAGTATAATGTACACTGCACAATCTCGTAATCAACTTTTACAAACTTGTTGAAATAGATATATGTTATTTAAGATATTATGTGACTCTCCACTACAAAATGACATGAGTCAATATTTTAAAAAATAGGGAGGGTTCAATTAAATGTTTCTTTTTCAAAAATTTGAACCCATTGGCTAATTTTGTTATGGAGATCTTTCACATAAAATTTGAAATTAAGCTTCAGATTTGGGAATTCATAACAGGTTTAATACATATTATGATAGGCTGAATGAGTGTATACAATTTGTATTAACAATTTAAGCATGTAATAGAAACAATGTGACACTGTGATAAGTTGAAAGAATAAAATTACTGCTTGTTTAAGCTTTGCAGACAGCTCTTACACTACCTTGATTTACAGTGGATATCTTGACCTTTACATCCTCCACGAGGGCAGCCTATTCAGTGTTGATATGCACAATGTAATTGGAAATATTTTGTTATTTATATAACCAATACTGTCATTAACAAACATAAGTATACTAAAAAAAATAAAAAAGCATTCCTTTTTCAGTCTTTCTTAGAATGATGGACGCATATAATACATTGTTAGAAATTAGTATCGGTACTATGATTATTGTCTTAGCAAACTTTACATTAGTCAAGTTAATAACATGTAAATTAGATTAGTAAATTGGTAACTATTTGTAAATGTTGGACTCTAGTGTTAAAACTGCCTTCTTTTCAAACTTTTGCTACAAATAATGTAAGATAAGGTAATGTATATGGGGAAGCTTATAGCCTTATTAATGGCACTTTTCAAAATATTGATAACCATCCAAGATATCATAGCAATAAGTAAATATTTTGTAGATCATATTTTGCATTAGAGCACAATTAGAAAAGACAGCTATCAAAGTATTAATAGGTTGAGTTTCCTTTATTCTTATTTTCAGTCATTGAAAAAGCATTGAACTTTAGAAATAAATAAAAATAATTTCAGTGTGTCTGATAAAAACTACTGCAAGTTTTAAGTGTCAAAGAGTGCTTTATTCAGAAAAATGAGGTTCACAATCCATATGACGGGCATTATTGCCCTTCAAAAATATTTTACATCATTTTCAATAAGCCATCAATGCCCATAATAGGTGTTAAAAGAGAAATCATTTGTTGATATTTATATGTGTGTACTAGTAGTTATGAAGGGCATTGATTTATTTCATTGAGAACTATGTTATGGTGACAATTAGAAACATTTTTAAGTTTTTTGTTGCTGTGGGGTTGATCTTTAGTTAAAAAAGCTATTTGTAGATAAATTGTATATTTTTTTTCTATTTCTTTTGTGCAATAGTGAATTATTGCCTAGAATATCTTTCAAAACCAATTATATATATACATACATACTAAACCAAATGAATATATGCATATTGATAAGAAGAATGGGTCTTCATCTTAATATCTTTTTTGAATGGCTGCATACCTTGAATAGAAAAAATATATGTAAAAATTAAAAACTAATATTAAATAGGGATTGGAGAATAGGAAATACACGTTTGAAATTATATGTTGTCAAGCTCTCAAACATGAGGTACTGCACAAGGAGTCATGCCTTGCTTTAACATGCTAAGTATGATGATCCTCAGTGTTTAACTGATACCCACAATTTAGAGCAATGTAGCCTGTCTATTGGCACCACAAGACAAATGGTATTCTGAAAATTAGTTCTCGTGCAGAAATACAATCTATAGCACTAATGAAGATTCTGTTGATTTGAATTAGAGAGATGTTTGATACTGCTTTGTTTTTGTTGATGTTTATTTTTATCCACCTGATAAATACTGCGTATGTTTTTGTTTATTGATGAGTTATATTGTATATGCTAGATTATTTAAGATAAATTGTTAATTGGTGCAAAATTAGGCTATATAAAATGGTTTCAGACTTTACAGAGACAAGACATAAACAAATAAATGTAATCCTTTTGGGGTGCGTGTGAAAACCTTGATAAGAGTCGATTCTTTTTTTGTGTAGCCTATTCTCTGTTTTTCTATTGTAAGTAGATTAAATAAAATTAAGGATGGTTACAACTTGCTTTGAGTAGCGGGTTCGCTTAAGTAAGATCAATGAAAATTTAGCTTTTCTTGCATTTCATGGGACAAAGCATTTTTCAAAAATTTTCCATAAGTTTTTCAGTAGAATTACTTGTAATTGTGGATAAAATTTATAAAGAAATTTGGGTTAGAATTAGATATGTTGTCCCAGTTTGTAGAAAATGGTGTTGATCTATTTCTATTATTGATTAGTAAATAACCTAGGTTATATTATTATTATTATTATGATATTGTAGCTATCCAGTATATAACATGTATTGTATGAGCTCATACTCATGTAATAAACATTGTTTTTAAATGATAACCAACTTCATTTCTTATTCACCCATTACTGTAAAAAAGTGAATTGATAATCATTTTTTATATTTGGCATTTTTAAGAAAAAATTAGGGCCATGTTTTAACACCACTAGATTTTTACCACAAAACTCATTTGCTTGGCAACTCTCTTGTTCAACTCTCCCAACGCTCTGAACTTAGTTTCTCACCAATATTGATAGAAACAGATTTTGACAATTTGCAATGATGTTTTAGTGAATATGGTATATTCCTTTGCATGGCAGGAGTAATGTTTTATTCAGTTAGCTGAACTTGAGCTTTAACATTCAGACAACTGAAATCCGACAAGAGAACTCCAGTTTTACAAGGCATTGAAATCGCCTTAACTAGAAACTATTTGTTGTCTGAGTTAGACAAGTTAGTAATTTCCCCTTCAGTAACTTTTCAGCGTTTTGAGGCTCAAACAGTCGTATTTCCGGTAAACCACATTTTTCTGAGATTGAGTCTTAAACAAATTTGTATCTTTAAGTCTTATCAAGAAAAACAACATGTAAGTATTCTTATTTTTTCTCTAACATTCTTGAGTTTGAAATTATGAGAAGATGTGTAAAGCCACGACAATAAGAATTATCTCATATGAGGTCTTTGTGATTCATGAAATCCATTTCTAGAATATTCGATTTGAAAGGTACCGGTATGATGAAACTTGCTTCACGAGGTTTCTGGAACAATTAAAATATTTTAAGTTAGAAAACTTGATATAGAATTACACACTTGCTGTGATTTATTGATTACATTACACTGATTACAGAAACCTATAAGGTATAATGGCAGATGGTGGCGATAGAAGAATGATTCCAAAAGATATGAAAGGATTATTGAGAATTTCTAGTGAAATAGCTGATCCCAGTAATGCAAATAAAACAAGTGAAGAAGTTATAACTCAAATGGATCCTGAGGTTGGTATTGTATTCTTATGGGGAAAATCAAGCACCGCTGATAATGCCTGGTTCTAATGATTTTGATTATTAGTGTGCTGTATGAAATAAAATGTGCTGTCATAATGTCTTAGATTGACTCCATCCACAAATACAATTAATTCAGCATTAAAATGGTATAAACTTACTTACTCATTCTTTGCATTTATTCTTACAGAGAAAGGAATTTTTAGAAAAGGCTTTGTCTGAGTTAAATACGGATCCAGTACAAAGAATGAAAGCCTGTATTCATGTTATCAAAAATACTGATGATTCTGAAGATGGTGTAGATACAAAATTATCTGCTCTAGAAGAAATATTAGATTGGTGTGGTCAGATAGATTTTGCTATTGGTAGGTAGATACCTTGACTTTTATTGATTAAGAGAAAAGATACATTGTTAGCTTACTTTAAAGTTTGGAGATACACAATAAAGATATAAAGAAGAAGCTTTCTGTAGTAGTAAATAAAAAAATGGGAATTTTGTGATGTTTTTCGATATGGCAGTCTCAACTACGATTTAGAAGCAAAAGTTAATACTCATTATCTAGTAAATTGATCTTTAAAAGATTTTCATTTATAGTAATTCCACTCTGATTTTTAAATTCTGATTCATAAAGCCTATTTTGAAAGGATAAATTACTTTGGAGATTTATAATGGTTTTATTTATTTTTTTTGTCAGATTTCCATAAAATAGGAGGATTTGAAATATTACCACAATTATTAAACCATGAAGAGTCAGAGTTAAGATGGAATTGTTTAGAAGTTATAGCAGAAATAGTACAGAATAATCCCTATTGTCAAAAAGCAGTATTAGAACATGGATTGATGCCAGTGCTGTTGAAAATGTTAGATACAGATTCTAACAATACTGTTAAAACTAAAGCCTTATATGCTTTATCTTGTAAGTTGTTTACTTTTTTGTTTTTTTTGGGGGGGTGAGTCGGGGGGGTGAGGGGTGTAATTTGTGGATACTTATATATTTTCAGTGAAGTTTTGCTAGAAAATATTTTTACTGCATGGCTTTGTCAGGATCAGAAAAGAATCAATAAATAGAAGTAGAAGTCCAGTTAGTTTGACCTAGTTATTTACTTTAGACTTCAGTTCAATATTGTAAACTTGTAATCTTACCTTAAAGCCATTATATTGAAGGTTGACCTCAACTAAAGAATTCATTAAATGATTAAATGTGTGTGTGCAATGCTATAATTAGCTTTGTAAACTTGATGTGGTCCATTTTTCGCTTCAGGTTTAGCCAGAGATGATCCTGATAGTCAGAAGAAATTTGTAGAACTCAATGGCTTTTCTTACTTAATGAGAGCTATGCAAACTAATGTTGAAAAATTACAAGTAAAAGCATCATTTATGTTACGCGGCATGTGTACAAGTAATCCTGAATTTAAAGGTATTTTCTTTGTTTTAATAAGATATGTAGTATTATGTTTTGATAATCTGTTAATCATGGGGGTTAATTTGAACATAATTTATGTGTTCATTTGGAAAGAAAAGTTAAAAAAAAATTGTAAAAAATTTTGAGATTCCTAAGAACTTACTTGTTTTTGGCCACAACATAGATAAGAACAATTTCTTGAATTTGAGAGGAAACTAAAGTTAATTGAAAGTATGTAAGCCTTGTTTCAAGTAAGCTACATATCATATGCAGTCCATTGTAATTAGAAACAGTTTTATGATTTGTCCCTATATCTTACCTTAAAGGTAATGGAATGTCCAACCAAAACCATTTTTGCCAAGCTAATCCTAAGTATTTTTTGTACAATGCATGTTATTTAATAGATATCAAATGTGAGAGTTAATCATAGAATTCAGGTTTGGTAGATCATAAGGTGTACTCAGTAACTGGATTGTGAACTTTGCATCACTTTTTGGTGATCCAAACAGCTTAAAATGTGTATTTGGTAATCTAATCTAATTTCAGATACACTGTGTGATATTGGAATGGTAGAACAATTAATAGGACTCGTACAACAAGATCACAATCAACAACATGAACATATGATGAATGCTTTATTATTACTAGTCACTAATCATCAACGAGCCAAACAAATAGCTCAAAAATCAGAGTTTAAACTTATAGACTTCTTACAACAGAGAATAGAGTTCTTAAAAGGCAAAGAAGAATTTCTGGTGGGTTTAAATTACAAATTTTTTAACAAAATTCTGTTCTAAAGAGAATTAAATTTTCTTGCGATAAGAGTTTGTAGTATATGTCTACTGTGTATCAAGTTTTTTCAAATTAAAAAATAAATTAACACCATGAAAAATTTGCTTTAAAAAACAAAACTTGTTATGTTAAATTATTTTACTCTGAAAATTTTTGTTATAATTTTTTTATCTTTATAGGAGGAAAGTGAATATGCTCAACAAATTTTATCTATTATGAAACAAGAAGAGGATACTAGTACAGCCATCAGATAATATGTACAGTGTACAATGTGAAATCTAGTGTACCAAGTTAATTGATGTCTGTACAATGTACCATGTGAAATCTAGTGTTTAAAGTTACAAGTTTTTATTGTATATATAACCTTCAATGTGCTATTTGTTTATTGATATCATTGTGCCAGATCTTAAGACTATAGAATAGAATGATGACATTCCAGTATTCATCTTATTGAATCAAATCATCATTGAAATGAGCATTGTAATCAGAATACAATCAAAATAAAGATTTTACTTATGTCTTTGTTGTTTATATTGAAATAATTTCTATCTGTCAACATGGTGGTATTATAATGCAAAAAATTTCATTCCACCTTACTTGGATTGCTCTTGTAAAATGCCAGATCTTTTGACACACTCTTTGCTAAATCAAGGGCAATAACTCCATGAAGGGTTAATCAAAATCTCAAGATTTTCATGTGGGTGTGTATAAGGGAGCTTACCTCTGAATACAGAAGGTAATGAAAATAACTTCACTCATTTAACACAGGAAGCAAACATTTATTATGGCAAACAACTTCAAAAATCATACAACATTGATAATAATGAGAATAAAAAAAATTATATATAAACAATGGTGATATCACAATTTAGGTCAGGAATTTCCTTGAAATATATAAAATATCTTAAAGATACAGTGGGACAAAATATATGATATTCTTTATTGAGATAGTAGGATCACCATTATATTGAGTATACCAGATTATTGAATTTAATTTCATACCTATAGCAGAATAGGCTTGTTTTAAACTTGTCATTCCAAGTTGCGGAGTGACATCGAGTGATATGAGAGAATAGAATAATTTTGAGGCAAATTTTGTAGATGAAAAAAGATAACTTCAAGTAAATGATCTGTAAAAAATTTTAAAAAAGCCATAAAGTGTTAATGAATGAACCGAAATATTTCTTGCCGATCAAAAAGACATTCCAAAAAGTGAATACAAGTTTATCAAAAATAAACGACTAAGGCACTAGCAAATGGACAGAGAAACTGAAGCATAGCAATTATTACCTGAAAGTTGAAACCTTATAATACAATGTATACATTGACAATATATAAGACTTTTAAACATTCAAAAAACTTAATAATGAGCAAATTGTATATAATAATGATTTCCAAAATTAGCTGTGTAGAAATAGACTGGCTCCAGAGTTCTAAACTGGCTCCCTGTTGTGTTCACATCATATCTCTGACCGCAGGATTTGGCAAGATGTAGTCTATTTAGGGTTAAGAACTAGGAACCCCAATGACAGTTTTGTATCCTAAGCGCAGAACTTTGTTTCATATAAGATAATATTTTAAGAAAAGTTTGCAGCATCTTTTGTTTGATCATTAAGACCAATTGAGCATCCTTCTCATGCACTGTTTTGCCAAAATAAGATATCAGAATAATACTAGTAAAGTCTATAGTATACTAAATCAACAATAACAATAAACAATATGTATTTAATATAGGCCTATGTATAAATATATGTATAATATACAGGTAGTCTAATACATTGTGGTTATATTGTTGTAATTTTCATGCATAATATAATAAAGGAATAGGCAATATTTCACAAGCCATCTCCTACCAGACTCTTATATCTTCTGTAATTATCACTATTTCTGGGCTTTATTCTTGAGTCATCTGATTGCTCAATTAGCTAAATCGATTTCTTAGAATATGGGTTTTATCAAAATTAAGTTTCACAGAGCAGAAAATCTGATTTCCAGAAAATCTTGACAAGATGTTGACATCAGTTCACAAACAAGATTTAGATCAAATGAAACTTGTGACAGTGATGTCATCATCTGGTCAAGTTTTTATAGAACTACACAATCAACCAAAGTTGAACAAGAAATTGATATGCTGCAAATTGAGGCATTAAGTTTCCAAGATACAGATAAGAAAGCAAGAAAATCTCTTTAGAAAAACAACTAAATATTGCCAAATAAAGCCTGGAATGTCTGAAAATGATATGTCAAAAAATTTTGGACAAAAAATAAGCAAGTGCAATATGCCACACTTGTGTTGTTACAAAATGGGTAGAAATAATGTGCAAACCTTGAAAAAAAAACCACCATGTGACTGGAACCATTCTTCTACTTTGCAATTCAAAATTCATTTTAAAAATCTTTTGAAGAAATGGTATGGAACTCAAAGTTAAAGATTTAAAATTCATCCAAACAGACTATGATTACATATGTTTGAAATTTGTATCAATTAATGGTGTACATGAAACTGCTGTATATTTTTTTCCAGTTATTCAATAAGATATAAACAAAGCACTCAGTGAAAATGACATTAAAATATAAAAAAATAAATTTTTTTTAAGATAACTGAATAGTAACTAAAATTAAAAGTTTTTATCTAAAATAATGGCTGTGGCTGTCTTAAATCATTTGCACTCACCATTTATTATAGTACCTCAAAGACATAGGTACATTAGTGCATGTAAAATAATAAAAACTAAAGCCCCATTCACATTTACTTACGTGTATATACATACTTAAGTAAGTTTTTGTAAAATTAAATGCTTTTACTGACTAAAATTTCTTCAACCCTTTCGAAAAAAAAGGAAAGAACTTTTTTTATTTCATAGTTTTAAATACAAAATCATTTCAGGATAATAGTAAAGCCATTTGGCCTTCAGTCAAAAGAGATAATATGGCTAATATGACATCATTGATATTGGTGTATCATGTGACACACAAACTCATACTAAGTTTTACACTATAATGTCATTTTGTACTACCATTAATTGCACTACTTTCAAGCATTGGGGCCGCTCAAATTATGGAATCAACTGAACATTCAATAAAACAACAGAACAGAGATCAGAATGTGTTCCACATGTGCCGAAAAAATAGTAGACAGAATTCAAAATGGCTAAGAAAGGAATAAAGAGGAAAATTTTGAAAAGTGACATAATATTTTGAGTCAAACAGAACCTGTTCAGAACTCACCAATCTAGCACCACCATAGTTACGTTCTTTCTTTTTTAGCAAATTAAATCAAGGAAAATCAGTTCCATTATAATCAAATCATAGTACTTGAATCTATGTGTGGTTACATTATATAATTTGTAGTTGTTAAGTGTTATGGAATGTTAGATTACAGTGACAATAAAAAGTCAGTGTCAGATATACACAGAATAGTACACAATATATTCTAGCGCCATTCAACAAGGCAAATAAACCCATGATAAAATCTAGTTTGGATAGAAATATTGTATATTTAAGTGCATAGGTTTTAAGGTTGATTATAACATTATCTCCTAGAGCCATCAATCATTTCTTATCCTTTCTGGTAAATTAGCTAAATAAAAAGTAGACATCTTACCAACAAAAGCTACCAAGTTAAAATACTTGGCCCTGATGCTCAAAAAATAAAGTATGATCACATATTAGGGTAAAAATTTATATCCTAAGATTTGTTAAGAAATACAGGCCAGATTTGAGTATTATGACAAATCTTAGTTTATTTTTTTCAGGTTCTATGGATGATTTATCAGATTCTAAATTAAATCTTTTTCATTGCATATGTTCTTTTTTGAAAGGTTAATGGCTCTACACAAATATTTCTCTATTAAAACTATGTACATAACTTATTGGGCACATACAATACTAATATACATATAAAAAAAACTTATTAGGACTTTCAATACATATTTCTTTATTAACATCAAGTTCTCAAATATGTTCTTCCAGTTTCATTAATTCAGCTTATTTTAAAGCAATTGATAAATCTTTGTAGCATAAATTTGATAAAACAGTGCTACAGAAATTGATCAAACTGTGTAACAGAAATTGATCAGACTATAACAGAAATTGTTGACACTGCGTAACAGAAATTGTCGTAATTGTGTAACAGAAATTGATCAGACTGTGTAATAGAAATTGATCGAACAGTGTTACAGAATTTGAAGTGTGTAACAGAAATTGTTGAAACTGTGTAACAGGAATTGTTGAAGCTGTTTAACAGAAATTGTTGAAACTGTGTAACAGGAATTGTTGAAACTGTGTAACAGAAATCGTTGAAACTTTGTAACAGAAATTTCATCAAACTGTGTATCAAACAAGACAATTGAGAACTTGATATTTTAAAAGGACATTATTAGGGCTGTAGATTTCAGTCAATAAGAAATTTTCTGAAGTGAACAAGATCAGTCAATTTTGTTTTGAGGTAAGCAGTAATTAAAACTGTTTTAGTCTACCAAAAAGTACACTGTTTTGACTGTGTTAATCTTCTAAGAGTATGCAAAGATTTGATGGTTATAGAGCATAAACTAAAATAATCAGATGACTTTAAAATCAACAGCCTCAATACTTTAACTTATAAATTAAGATCTTCATCATGGAAATCATCAACATGTAGTTGATCTCTATCTTTCTGGAATGGGGGGTGTCTGGTTTTCTTCATCCTTCTAAATCCAATACAAGTAAATACAATACCTAATAATATACCTCCAAATAAACAACTTAATGCCACTGCAGTCACTGTATCTACAATTTAAAGGAAAATCAATATTAAAACCAATGAGAAGGACAATCATATTTGAATTCTGTCACTTAGTTATGATCAAGACTACCATGTGCTCAATCACACTATGGCAGTCACTCCATTTTACCAGACACATTACTTTAAACTTTGATTACCCACATGATCTACCAATGACTTTGCTACACTTTTGCTATTTCTATAAAATCCACAAAAGTCATAACTCAAGCTTGTAGAGCTGAACAAGTAATACCCTACAACAAAATCTTCTGAAATATGTACTATTTTTTTTTTATCAAAAGTCAATTTAAATGAAAACTAAGACAATAATAAAAGATACACAATATATATTTGGACTAGTAAAATATATAGTAGGCTATAACTTACTAGCATAATAATATGTAGTATGGTCACGAGGTTTAACAAGACCTTTCTCTAATAGATCATGTAATATCCATTGCCACATTTCTTCATTAATAACTTTATAATAGTCTAGTTTAGCATAGGTCATATCATCACCAGTCCAAACAGCAATTCCTGAAAATACATAATACATTCTCATTAAAAAGCAGATTTTGAAGTTTTATTTCATCATTTTCAATATCTTGACATCTTAAGTTATAATTTGCAAATGTCTGGTTAACTTCATATGATAAATATTACATATATTCGTAACTTTTTTAAAATATAGAAATAATCTTTGTAATAAAAATCTTGTAGCTTCAAATACCATTCTAATGATGTTATTTTTAACAAATCAATGCTTGTCAGTTGTCATATTGGACTCATTATTTTATACAAGGACAAATTGTGGAATATCCAAAGTCAAAGATGCTGTTGTTATACTCTAGAATGATGTTTAGCTAACCTCTTAAAAATAGATCTTTAGCCATCAAATACTTCAATCTTAAACTTTCAACATCTTCTAACCATCGTTGATGAAATTCTTTAGTTGTATCATCCTACAATACATGTCTATGGTTAATATTGTTTTCATCTCATCCAATGCAAGTATTTTTAGTGATACTGGTATATCACACATCTATATTTCTAATGCTTCAACTGTAAACTGCTATCACTATTAGCAATTTGTAAAGTTGTAAATAAGAATAGCGGTCATAAGTTTTGAATGTAACTCTCATGCAACTAAGTTGTCTGGTAATCTCTATGGTGTGAGGGAACCTTAAAGGAATAATTATAAAAGAAGACTTACATAGTAGGAATGTAATGGTGCCTTGTATGAGTCACTCCAATCTTTTTTAACATGTTTGGTTAGATCCATATTGAAGTTACCTAATGGTAATTTAACTCTGTTGGTTATATCACATGTTGTAGTGTTAGAAATATAGTTCAACATACAGGTCTGGCTTTTATTCTGTAACAAACAATAATTAGTCTGAAACTTATTCTTTATTGCCACTGATAGATAGTGTTGATGGTTATCAGATAGTGTAGCATCAGAAACATTAAAGGGACAAGTTTTGGCCATTTTTTTGACCAATCATACCTTAGTCTCAGAAACGGGAGAAGTCAATCAAGTAACAGTTTTAAGAGCTCATTGTCAAAAATTTAGCCTCCAAATCCACGTGTCCATAATTATCCGCATTTGAAAGTTAAAAAGTCTTTCCTTGAGACACTATCATATATAGAAAAGACATGTATATATATTCTGAAGACTTAAAATCACATCTGAATGATCCCCATAAGTATGTGATAATCAGCAGTAAAGGATACGATATTAAGATGGGATAATAAACAGAGGCTCAGTGTGCTACACATATCATATATTACAGATCCCTCAGTTCGATATCAACAATTTTTTCAGGCTAATTGCAAAGAGCAAAAGCAATCTTTAAAAAAAGGAACAATAAAAAATATCAGAATTAAACTTACATCGAATGATTTACAAGTGTAGTCATAACCATGCCATGGTATACCTAATATCAGTTTTTCACTTGGTACACCATCAGAAGTATATTCATCAACACCTATCATTTAAAAAAAAAATGGTAGAAGCAATGAAAAACTTTCTTTATAACTTAAAGTATGCTTTAATGAGGAATATCAGAAGTAGTAACATCAGGTTGAATTCCTTCTATGTCCAGTTATAGGCACCTATTGATAGAAAGTGTAAGCAAATGTTAACAAGCCTTGGTTATTATGCAAACATTACCAGGCTTGGTTATTATGCAAACGTTACCACACTTCGTTATTATGCAAACGTTACCAGACTTGGTTATTATGCAAACGTTACCAGACTTGGTTATTATGCAAACGTTACCAGGCTTGGTTATAATGCAAACGTTACCAGGCTTGGTTATTATGCAAACGTTACCAGACTTGGTTATTATGCAAACGTTACAAGGCTTGGTTATTATGCAAGCATTACAAGGCTTGGTTATTATACAAACGTTACCAGGCTTGGTTATTATACAAACGTTACCAGGCTTGGTTATTATGCAAACGTTACAAGGCTGGGTTATTATGCAAACGTTACAAGGCTTGGTTATTATGCAAACCTTACAAGGCTTGGTTATTATACAAACGTTACCAGGCTTGGTTATTATGCAAACGTTACAAGGCTTGGTTATTATGCAAACGTTACAAGGTTTGGTTATTATGCAAACGTTACAAGGCTTGGTTATTATGCAAACGTTACAAGGTTTGGTTATTATGCAAACGTTACAAGGTTTGGTTATTATGCAAACGTTACAAGGCTTGGTTATTTCATTATAGGAGGTAAACTTAGCATTTTGTGCTTTCCTTCCCCTAATGTAGGATTTGCAGGGTTAACTTAAGGTCACATAAATTGCTTTCCGATAGTTTTATAGATCATAAAAGCTGTAAACTAAATGCAATTATCTCAAGCCTTAACATTAAGTTGCTTTTTATTGTAAAACACATGATAGAAAATGCAGGACCAACTTTTAACTATGATTATCTGTTTTTTTTAAATAAGGAAATTGGTCTATTTTCACATATAGACAACATTTAATGGTCGAACAAACTTACTTACCTAGTACAAGTTTAACAATAGGCATAGTTGCTCTAGCTTTACATGCATAACCCTTTAAATCCATATAGCTATCAGGTCCCAGTATAAAATGATCACAGTAAGGTGCTAGTCGACGGGTCAAACTTTCTTGTTCACCATCAACATATTTAGGCTTCCATGGAACAGCACAATCAACCTTAAAAAAATCATATTTTCAATAACAAAATATCTTTACTGTTAAAATACTGCTCAATACATCAACTGTAAATATACAGAATTATTATACTTTCTTTAAGTGCATTTTGCACTTTCTACCAAAGTGATTTAAAATGAATCACGTACATAAATCAAATATCCACTTACAGAGTTGATATGAAGTTGACCATGTACATCAGCCATTAAGTCTATCAGATCCTCACTAGAATATTTCAGTTCAGTATCCACAAACAACGGCATCAAATTAATAATAACAATATCAGATAATGTTGTTGCTGCTCGTGCTATTACTTTGTCTTTCCAATCTTTAACAGCAGGATTAGAGGAACTTAGATTACTTGATTCCAGAACATCAACTGTAATAAAAATAAAACCACTCTAATGCGTCTTGTTGTCAAAGATCCTGACCACTAAACAAAAGTTTTGCTAAAATGTAGAAGATAAGCAAATGATAGTGACTTTCATCAACTGCTATATTTCAGTTGACTAAACTAGCTATTAGACCTATTCAGATTCTTCAAGATGCCTCCAGTTGTTCAGAGACTTTGAAGTTGTTTTATGACTCAAGATCAATCTGAGATTCCCTTAAATTTTTGAAAAAATGAAAGGAGGGAGCATGATGATGACATATTTTAAAGAGGCAGTATGCAAAGTTTCATTATCAAAAAAGTTGTTAATCAGGGCCAGTGCATGAAAATATTTTCTCGAATATGATTTAATAATATGTATGTACTAGATCAAGCTGAATTAGTTTTTAAGCTATTTAGTTAGTTAGTTGAAAGATGGGTTTCCTTATTTCTTAGTGTCAAATGTGGTTAGTTGGTTTCTAATGAATTATCACGTATTCTTATCATTATGTTCTTATTGCAAATAATTAAAGTGTTTTAACCAATCATAAATGTTTCTATGAATGTACAGTCTGGATAAACAAAATATTACTTTTTGACCTTTCTGGATTCACTCATTGGAATTCTACTGGCAATTCTCTTCTAATTTAGCTAATTATGAATTAATTATGGACATGTGAGACAAACTGGTATTTTTCCAAGTCATTAGAATACCTCTACTTTCTATTCATATAAGTATAAGCATTTTCATTTTCATAAATAAAAATAAGGGAACCCATGTTTAAACTATTTTTTGCGCTGGGCATAAACAATTTTTTCAGAACAAGTGAAAGGTAATTTTAGTTAAAGCTTTCAGATAAGGTAGAGGGACACATTTCTCTAGATTTTCTTTTTCATCCTCCTGTATTATATCAGACTGCCTCTTTAAAACAAACTATTGAACCAATTTCAACAAACAATACTATTAATAATACATACCCATAAGTCCATATTTCAATTGTTTGCTATGAGCAAGGCACATCAATTTATAGTCCTTATCAAAGTTTTCTGTTTCTATGACAGCAGACAATGCCCCCCAATTCCATTGGTTATAATCAGAACTACCATTAGTTAAAACATACACCTGGAAAATATGAAATATGATGATAAAAGGGTTACACGGATCATAAATCTACACCATACTGTAACTATTCACTGTACTACAACACATTGTGTCTACACCATACTGCAACTATTCACTGTACTACAATACATTGTGTCTACACCATACTGTAACTATTCACAGTACTACAACACATTGTGTCTACACCATACTGTAACTATTCACAGTACTACAACACATTGTGTCTACACCATACTGTAACTATTCACAGTACTACAACACATTGTGTCTACACCATACTGTAACTATTCACAGTACTACAACACATTGTGTCTACATCATACTGTAACTATTCACTGTACTACACCACATTGTGTCTACACCATACTGTAACTATTTACTGTACTACAACACATGTGTCTACATCATACTGTAACTATTCACTGTACTACAACACATTGTGTCTACACCATACTGTAACTATTCACTGTACTACAACACATTGCGTCCTCTCTCATTTACGCAGCACAGTTTCATATCTAATATTTAAAGTTTTACTGCTTCAATAAACAGATTAAATCAAGTAGACCATACTAGAAAAATTTACAAAACATAAAACAAGTAGGATCAATCAAAATTTTATATTTGGGGTGTCAAAATCTTTAATAGGTTTCTGCTGCTGTACACAGAGTAAGTTTTAGGGTTGATTTAGTTCCTAGCTAGGCTATGTATGCCAACTATTTATATCAGTCATTTCAAGCTACTAGACTGAGGGGTTAAGGGTTGATAAATTTAAGTTGACAAGCCACGGTGCCTTACAAAAGTTAGAAAACCACTTCACATTCCCTTTAAGCCTGTTGAGCATTGAAATGAAATGTATTTATATTGTCTAGACCTGGTAGAGATGTATACTATAGATCTATTAAAGATCAATACAATAACAATATATAGCAGCATATTTCCTATAGATTATTGTTGATTTCACCTTGGTTACATTCAACATAACATACAGTATTAGATATGAAATGAAAATGAATTTGAGTTTTAAGTCCTACTTTTCTGCATCTAATTGGGCTAATGAAGACGCACAATGCAATGCAATGTGCAAAGAGGGAAATTTTGCCTCAACAGCAGCATTAGCTTAAGAATCTTAAACGTGCGCAGTCATTCTAATGCCTTCAGTTATTGTCCCATCCAAACGACTAAAAACTTTTTCCATGTCAGCCCGTCTTACCTCTATCACTGACAGGACTGACAGGGTTGTTTTAGATAGTTACTGAGGATTATAAACCTTTCCTATATATCTTACTCAATTATATATTCAACACATTATTATTAAATGTAGAATTTCAGAAAGGGAAAAAAAAATAGTTTTTTTTTAAAATAGGACCTATGGTATTTTCAATATAGCTGAAAGGAAATGAAATAAATAATTGATCATTTAATGGATAAGCTCGTTCAAAAATAATTATGTAGAATATTATTGCATTGACTTAACCCACTAATGAGGAATTTGAAGGGTGAAAATTGTAGTCAAGATTGCAAAAGTGACTAAATGTTTAGACAGGAATATTAAATTCATCTATTAACCCTTTAACTGCTAAATATTTTTTTCAGAGAATTGACAATTTGTCTTTTCTACATATGGCAGTGTCTCCAGAAAAGATGACTCTTCTATTTAACTTTCAAACACAGATAATTCTGAATACACATGGATTTGAAAGCTAAAATTTTGAGGGTGAGCTGCGAATACTATTACTGATTGGCTTGGCTAAAAACTTCACATCTCTGAAACTAAGGTATAATTGGTAAAAAAAATGGCAAATCTGTCCCTTTAAATTGACCTTTATTTTGATATAATTCTGTCTAGGGCTATCCCTTCAAACATGCAATAAGAATTTATCCAAAAAAAAAAAATTAGATATCTTCAATAGGATACAATAGAAGATGGTGTACCAGTATCAAATATGATTTATTGACTCAAGAGTTAAAGGGTATACCGAGCTCATATTTCCTATTTTAAATACATAATCATACAATGATACATAGTCAACTCTATATATAGGCCACACCATTTATACTTTCATTATTCAATACTTTATACAACATTCATATCTCACTTAATGGAAAATTATGCATGAAAAGTTTCATACGAATATTTGAATTGAACTTAATGTTAATGGCCTTGCCCACTATTGCATTCCTTTTAGTGAAATGTACTTGACCACAATGTGAAGTCTGAGCACACTCCACTTTTAACACACTGTTTTATGTGGAAAGAAAAGCGCCAACTTGGACTTCAATAATTTTTTATATAATATAAGCTTAGTGTGTTCTGCTAAGTGACTGCTGCTTGCAAGAACTATTTCAACTGAGGTATTGGTTGGACAGTTAAATCTTTATGCATTTTCATAAGTAACCTGAGTGGTCAAGCTTTTCTTGGAAACTGAAGTGATTATGCTTTTTCTCCATAACACTGATTAACAAAATGAGATTTGTTATGATTCAGTATTCAGGCGAAGTTCAGGACATTTTAGCATAGGCCCTAATGGTTTCAAGTTTCTGAGTTTGATGGTTTCCTCCCCATTTTTTTAAAATCACAAATTTCCCAGTGCCTTTTAATCTTAAATGACATTCACTTACTTCTCTATCTGCTGGATTATCCCGAGCCATTCGATAACAATCTTCTCTATTTTTACAATGACAATGACTGAGTTTTCTTAGCCCACATACCGATATCACAAATAATATCACAAAAAATGACAGGTATTTCACGCTTTTCTCCAACATGATGCAGTCAAATCCAGTTCAAATAAATTCTCTAAAACACCAAGAGCACAAAGGAATGTCAAAATAATTATTCTCTATTTGATAATTGACCTAAAACCAGTGTCATTTACACATGTTTAGAACATCAATATCAGCCGCCATTTGTCGCCAGGTAAAAAGTACTTCAGGTCGGTACAGGTCAAATAATACAGGACGGTTGGAGATACTTAATTTAAAGGGATACTTTCAGGTTATAAATGTAAACAGTAAATAGATAAGATGAGATTTATTGCATATATACGCCCAT